CGCGAGTGTAAACACCTAGACAACGAAACCACTGGGTTAGTCTAGAGCACCGATCACTCGTACCAGCCGGGGAACTTACCCAGCTCACTATACACAGATAGTCATCTGCCCCAAGTCCGGAAAGATATTGGGTCCGCACGAATACACGCACCAGCACCCCAATGCTCGCGATCACGATGAGCACCGTGTTACACACGATGATCGACGGGACTCGTGAGGCATCTAGGTCCACCGAAGAATCGGACGAAGACTGCTCTCTGAAGATCAAATCTTCCATGACAACCGGTCGTGCTGGGCAAGAAACGAGCAGAAGCAGACGCGAAAAGATGGAAACTTAGGCCCTACATGAAGCATGTAGTAACAGCAATCAGGTAGTCAAAACGTCCTTCTTGCCCTTTCTATCCTTAGTTATTGTGCCCAGGGGTGGACGGAATTACAAGGAGGGTCTTTTGCCACTACCCTTATTCTCCGGGGCTATACCGTAATCTCGGCGAAGACAGCCCTTCCTTCGGCCCAGTGACGATGACAAAAGAATTCATTCTACCTATGGTGTGGGAGAACCTCGACTCGGTACTTACCTACTAGTTAGTTCCTCGCCTCAGTCGGTTCTGCAAACGAGCAAGCCACACGTGGAATCTCTGTAAATTGCCGTTCCGAGCTGCAGAACAGCTGACAATTTTCATTTCTTTTGTGTTTTTCCTGCTGGAATTTCTTATTTGCTCATTTTCCCCTCCATGGCAGGCAGCAAATCCAAAACAGAGCACTCTAGATCGATCGTGGGGCGACTGGATTGGCTGATGTTGGGTTAAGTCATTCGCCGACTCCGGCTCCACCGACTACTGCGGGCCCTTCCCAATATCGCGCAAGGACCGTCGCCGACTTGTTGTCAAGATGAACGAACCCTAAGCGGCGGCCTTCTTCCCCTCTCTTTTCATGACCACCAGCCTACCTGGTCCATTGTCCCCCTCCCCCCCCTCTCTTATCCTAGTTCCCCACTCACACACCACCCAGGTACGTATCTTCTACTCACAGGCCAGACTAGGCATTGCATGTTGGCTCTTGGTATGCCGTACAAGGCTCGTTGGCCGTGCCTACCAGTTTCGCGTGCCAGTAGTCTCTCATAGTCCCAGTCATAGTGGTAATCTAGACTACGGAAATGAGATGGTTTGACACTCCAGTCCGGTTTGATGACTTTCTAGCGCCTTTTCGCCTCGTGGCTGTCGCCTCTGCCCTGCATATGGCCATGCTGGGCCTACTTTAACTATCTGCATTTCCTGCAGCTGAGGAACCTCTCTTCCGTTTTATCCACTTCACACCTCTGTGCCTGCGACTTCCCCTCTGTTGAAGGATCCCAGCCTTTGATTTTGAGGTGCATTATGGCGGACGAGAAGACTCCTCAGCCCGTCGAGGGCTCCATCCAGTCCAAGAGTGTCGACCTGGACCAGCTGCCGACGGGATACTACCGCAGTCCCAACTTCATCGGCTCGGTGGTGGCCGTTTGTTTGATGGCCATCAGTCTGTACCTGGGATATGTCTTGCCAGTGCGTTTCTCTTCGCGCGTGATGTGATTCTGGCGTTCTGACTCGCAAATAGGTCAACAGCTTGACTGCGATCAACCAAGATCTCGGTAGGTCCCCATCGCCCCCCTGAACGGGGCCGATCTGAGTGGCATCCGCTGATCGTCTCTCCTTGCGCGCACAGGGCCGGACCCCAACTATAGCATGATCTCAACGGTCTTTACGTTAATCTCCGGAGTATGTCGATCCTTCTTCTGTCTGGTCATCATCTTTCATACTGATGTGTGTGTATAGGTCGGATTGCTGCTGGTCGGCCGTCTGGGCGATATCTTCGGTCGTCGGTACATCCTCATTGGCGGCCAGCTGCTGGGACTTGTCGGGGCGATTGTCTGCGCGACCGCAAAGAATGTCCCGACGGTGATCGGCGGGAGTGTGCTGTGTGGTCTGGCTGCTGCAGTGCAGTTGACCTTCACCTTTGTGATTGCTGAGCTGGTGCCGAACCGCGCTCGTCCTGCGGTCAACGCCAGCATCTTCATCACCACCCTCCCCTTTTCCGCCTTCGGATCCATCATTGCCAGTGACTTCGTCGCTCACACCGCCGCCTCGTGGCGCTGGACGTATTACCTGAACATGATCACCTGCGGCCTGTCGATCATCCTGCTGGTGCTCTTCTACTTCCCCCCTGGTTGGGATCAGAAGCGCGGTGGGCAGAGCCGCCTCGACGGTCTGAAGAAGTTCGACTGGATCGGGTTCGTGCTCTACGCCGCTGGTGTTGTTCTGGTGCTGCTGGGTCTCTGTATGTGCTGTCTGATTCATTTGCATTGACACGGCTGACGAGTAGATAGCCTGGGGTGGTACCTCGTATGCGTGGTCCTCGGCTCACGTCGTTGCCGTGCTGGTCGTCGGCTTCGTGTCGATCATCGTCTTTGTTCTCTACGGTATGTTCCTCGCAAGTGCTGCATCCCATGCACACACGCAGTTACTGATGCGACCGCAGAAATCTACGCGCCCCTGGAGCAACCCCTGCTCCCCATGTCGCTGCTGCGCAACCCCGGCTACGCGGCGACGGTGTGCTCTGCCCTGGTCGGCAACATGGTCTACTTCTCCATGAGGTAAGCGCGCGAGCACCCGGTCACGGTCACGTCGTGCCTTCAGCCCTAACCGAAGCAACAGTCTCCTGTGGCCCGAGGCCGTCCTCTACCTCTTCACCACCAACACCATCAAAGCCGGCTGGCTCTCCGTGAGTTTGATCTCCTACTACTCAGTAAGTGAGGAAGCTGACAAGCACTGCAGATCACCACCGGAGTCGGCGTCATCGTCGGTGAAATTGCCGCCGGTATTCTCATGAAGCCTCTCGGCTTCACCAAGTACCAGCTCATCGCGTCGACCGTGATCATCACTGCGTTCTCCGGTGCCCTGGCGGCGATCAACCAGCACCACCAAGCATATGGCATTGCAGTACGTCCCTCCTTCGTCTCGTCCCTTTCCCCTGATCTCAAACACCCACCTCTACCACAAACAGCAACGCCCACTGACCCACTGAACCACCAGTTCACCGCAATCGGCGGCTTCGCAGTCGGGTACCTCGAACTGATCACCCTGATCATGTGCCCCCTGTACTGCAAACCGGAGGACATCGGGCTCGCCAGCGGCTTCCTGGGCTCCGCCAAGCAGATCTTCGGCACCATTGCCAGTGAGTGTTCCCTTGCCCTTGCCCTTGTCCCCAAGCCCCCACCACGACCCTCCGAAACTAGACCCATAACTAACACATCCAAGCGGCCATCTACGTCGCCATCCTCCAAAACCGGATCACCGCGAACCTGCCCACGACCGTGACGCACGCCGCCACCAAGGCCGGCCTGCCCTCGTCCTCGCTCACCGACCTCCTCGAGGCGGTCGCCGCGGGCACCAGCGCCGCCCTGGAGGCTGTGCCCGGCATGACGACCAAGATCCTGGCCGCCGTGGCGGACGCGGAGAAGACGGCGTATGCGATGTCGTTCCGCACGGTCTTCTGCGTGAGTATCGCATTCGGAGGGCTGTCGATCGTCGCGTCGCTGTTCTCCCGCGAGGTGGATACGCGGTTGGATGGCGGGGTTGCGGCCAAGTTGCAGGGGAAGGGGGAGGGTCAGTCGCATCCGGAGTGGGAGACGAAGGGGAGTGTTGATGAGGAGGCTCGTTAAAAATTATTTTCTGTGGTGGTCATGACGGTTGAAGTGGAGGGGAAGGTGGTTAAGAATGCGAATTATGGGTGTGCGGTGTTTACGACTCCTTTTTGGTTTGATGCGTTTGATCTATGTTGAGGATTTAATGGGTTCATGAAGTTAATTTATGGATGGTTATGAGTGAAGTTTGTTCTTGTATGCGACGAATTGTGGTCGGATGGCGTCTGCTTGCAGAGAGATGTCTTCGCTGACTGGAAATGAGGTCCTTTTTTGACTCACGCCAATTTTGGACGTAGACCAGCAGGAGTAGGTGCCATGTTTGTGATATACTTGTATATCTTAGCAGCAGCGCGATGACTAAGGTATTGTGACTTGGCAGTGGTGAATCCCGGGCGCAACTGGCCACCAGCGATAGTGAGCGATCACGTGCCTTTAAGCTTAAAGTTCGACCCTTTAAGCCTTGGTGCCTCAGGCATAAATATGCACACCCTGGCAAAGTGTTGGGCATTCAGAGCGCTCGAGGGCATAATAGGACTCTGTCTGAAATTAACTGAAGTGAACGGATTTACTGAGCTTGACGGACTGCAAACAAGCATGGGGACCTAACACAACCTACACCCCTTGCATTTTGTGGTACCTGCAGCGCAGCGGCCGTCGCAATCTCAGCACGTTGGGATCGAAACATTCTCTTCCAGTTTCCCACCGTTGCTCATTAGGCTAAACCAACAGACAGGCCAGCTGAGAAATGGCTTCATGGCGATGAAATGCGGGGGATCTCGCCAAGCTGCTTATCTCTTGGCACCGGCAAATGCTGATCCGTTCGGCTTTCAGAATGCGGGGAAGTCGCCGACAACCTCGTGTTTGTCGGAGGGGCAGAGGGGCAGAGGGGGAATGCTGGCGTATCGGGGGTTGAGGTGAGGAACAGGAAAAGAAGAAGCAGAAGAAGCGTAAAGAAGCATTTCTGGATGGCAATCCAATCACGGCCGTATCTGTCACCGCATGGCGAGGCTGAAAAATGAGGTGCAGAAGGTAATTGGGCGGTAGTGAATGAAAGCAGCAATGAACAGAGAAAAGACGCAAGGGACCAGTAGATCATTGGCAAGGATTACTCAGCCCCCGCACGGTATTACCCCGAGATCATCGGTTCCCAACCGTACAGGGTAGCTCGACTTCGCTGGCAGGGTTTTGTCTAGCTGTCCTTCTTTCTCACGCTTTCCCTGCTCTGTCTTCTGTCTCTTTCGCATTCGTGTCGCAAACCACCTCACTCCCTCTACAAAACACCCCCCCCCCCCCCCATCTCACCCCAATGGACACCAAAGAAATGGGCGCCCAACCTCCAGCTCCCGACGAGAAACCCCCCGGGTTCCACGACGCGGAGATCTCCAAACCCACCGCTGAGCACCTGCACGAGATTGACGATCCAGACGCTGGTCTGAGCGAGGCGGAGAAGGCCACTATCGTACGTACTCGTGCCTGTCTACTGCCAGGAACGTGCAATTGACACATCTCCGTCCAGGACCGCCGGCTACTCCGCAAGCTCGACCTGCGCCTCATCCCCTGGCTGTCACTGCTCTACCTGGCCTCGTTCTTGGACCGCACCAACATCGGCAACGCCAAGCTCGACGGGCTGCAGCAGGCGCTGAACATGAGTAATGCGCAGTACAACGCCTCGCTGACCGTGTTCTTCGTCTCGTATTCCGTCTTCGAGCCCCTGACCAACGTCCTCCTAAAGCGGACGCGCCCCAGCTTGTTTATTCCGACGATAATTGTTCTTTGGGTACGTCTCCGGAGAGTCAGCGTGGGAGTCCGTGAGATCAGCAGCCCTTCCACGGTAGGCATGCGAAACCAATCGACCAGTGACTGACGCATGCTCGACCCCACAGGGCATCTGCATGACAACCATGGGCCTGGTGCACAACTACGGCGGGCTGATCACGGCGCGATGGTTCCTGGGCCTGGCGGAAGCCGGCCTCTTCCCGGGCATCAGCTACTACCTGTCGTGCTGGTACAGACGCTCCGAGTTCGGCATCCGCATGGCGATCTTCTTCTCCGCCGCCGCGCTGGCCGGCTCCTTCGGCGGGCTGCTGGCGGCGGCGATCGCCAAGATGGACGGCGTGGGCGGCAAGCAAGGCTGGGCGTGGATCTTCATCCTGGAGGGGCTGGCGACCGTCGTCATCGGGGTGCTCTCGTACTGGCTCGTGTACGACTTTCCGGACCGCGCGGCGTTCCTGAGCGAGGACGAGCGCAAGCGGGTGCTGCGGCGCCTGGCCGCCGATAAGCAGGCGAGTGGGCTGCGCGAGCACGAGTTCAAGACGGCGTACATCTGGGCCAGTGTGAAGGACTCGAAGACGTGGTTGGGGTGCGTGATCTACATGGGCGCCGACGGGGCGTTGTATGCGTTTTCGTTGTTCGTGCCGACCATCATTAATCAACTGGTGAGTTTATCCTCCTGCGGTGGGAGGATGGTGATGCTAACGCGGTGATTTAGGGTATTTCCATCCTCAACCCCCATCAACTCACTGGCCCCAGCTGTTGGGAACTGACCAGAGACAGGCTACTCCTCGACCCGCGCGCAGCTCCTCAGCGTCCCGCCCTACGCCTGCGCCGCCATCCTGACGGTGAGCATCGGCTACCTCGCCGACCGCACCCGCCAGCGCGGCCTGTGCAACATCTTCGTCTCGCTGATCGGCATCGCCGGGTTCTGCATGCTGCTGGGCTCGAAAACCGCCGGGGTCCAGTACGCGGGCGTCTTCCTCGGCGCCATGGGCATCTACCCCTGCATCGCTAATACGATCTCCTGGGTCAGCAATAATGTTGAAGGTGAGTGCCACAGCCACAGCCCCAGCCACGGCGACATCCACTATAAACTCCCCCCGCCCCTCCACGACAACCCATCAGCTAATTGAGGATCATAAACCATAGGAGTCTACAAACGCGGCATCACGCTCGGGCTCATGATCGGCTGGGGCAATCTGAACGGCATCGTCTCGTCGAATATCTACCGCAGCGAGGACGCCCCGCGCTTCTATCCGGGGCATGGCGTCGTGCTGGGGTATCTGGTGGTGTTCCTGTTTGGCGGGTCGGTGACGCAGTATATCCTGTTGAGGAAGGAGAACCGACGGCGGCTGCGCGGGGAGCGCGATCATCGGTCGGAGGGGCTGGGGAGCGAGGAGCTGGAGGTGTTGGGGGATAAGAGGCCGGATTTTATCTACACCTTGTAGGATTTATGGGTATAATGAACGGTTGTCGGGAGGGGATGGGTGGTTGAGGTCAGGATGAGATAGATGCTCTAGATGTGATGTGCATACCTTTCGAATTTCCGGACGATGCTGTTTGACGCTGTTGCAGTAAAGTACCAAGGTTACAAATCCTGCAGGAAGGAAGGTAAAGGTATGTGTCGTCCTTCAGGATACCATGACTCTGTGGCAATACAGCCCACCCCAGAGTGCCTGTTTCCACAGCCCCAGACCTGCTCCACGGCCTCGCTTAGGACAACCCGGATCATCGAGCTGTGCTCTTGGCAATGAGCTTATCTACTCTCTGGCAGATGACGAGCGTGGGGCACCATCTGCTAGGGGCTCGGAAATCAGGATTTATCCAGCAGGTGGAGATCGGAGGACGGGCTAATAAGCTTCTTTTAGGTTGTCTCCGGTGGAATGTTGGGTGGATGTTATCGGAGAGACTATCCGGCTCACTCTCTGCTATCTTATACTATACTGTACTTGTTCAGGTCTGATTGGTGTGTTCCTTATCGGAAGGGTATCTCTATCTGGAATACAAATGTGAAACAAAAACAAAAAAACAAAAGGAAAGAAAAATGACCGCTGAGACGGTCTAGAATGCGTCATGCCAGGATGTTCTTTCCCTGGCTGCGCCACGCAAACCTGCCGTGCGACGAGAGAGCAATGGCGTGAGGTTTGCGCGGGATATCAGGGCGAGCAAAATGCCGTCCATTCTGTGGACAAGCTGAACTCCCCGAGTGTTGGGATAGGATTTCGCCCATGCTTTCTCCAGCTGTCAGGAGAGAGATTCGCCGGTCTAGTCGTCGAGTAATTCGGTGTCGAGGAATGCAAGTCAAGCCAACGTCCATCGCCCCTACTTTTCATACTTCAACCATAGTTCCAATGTTAGTCCACGCCAGCAACCAAGGGAAAAAAAACAAGTAACCGGTAGCTACCTTGAACAGTAGGGCGGAAATATCCTCCGCGTCTTCTTTATTGACCCGTGAAAGCAGCAGCTCCAGCATCAACCGATACTCATTCGCCTCCGTGACCAGCTGATCCATCTCCCTGTCAAATGCGACCCGAATTAACCGCGGTGTCCATGTAGGTAATAAACCATCCGACCGTCCAAGAGGGAAGGGAGCATCCCTACCTCTGAATCCGCTCGCGCTTATGGGCCGGGTACCAGCATTGTTTGCCCAGCATGGCACACCGCTGGCATTGGTTCTTCTCGCCGGTGCACTTGAATTTCCCCTGTCGACACGAGTTGCACGCCAGCGCGGCTCGGCTCTTCGGGGCGTATCCGCGTCCCGCCTGTCGCGGGATGGGTTTCTTGTTGCGGATTATGGTATGAGAGGTTGGGTTCGTGTTGGTGGTGGAGGTGGTGGTGGTGGTGATGGCCGATCGGGGGAGGGGAAGGGGGAGGGGGGAGGATTCTTCGGACGATTGGCTTTGTAGTTCAGGCGAGGGCAGGGGCTCTGGTTGTTGTTGTTGTCTTGGGAGTTGTCTGGTGTCATCCGTGCTTCCCATTCCCACCCATTTGGGCGCTTCGTCAATGTAATTCAGGACTCGAGAGATTTCCATCACGGCCGATCGGGGGGTGATCGATCGTGTAGTACGTAGATGTATGTGTAGGTAGGCGGAGGGGGTGGGCAATTATGGGGTAAACCGGTTGGAAGTAAAGTTAAGAGTCAGGGAGATAGGGAAAGCCCACCAACAGCAGAAGGTGGGCACTATGGTCGACTTTTGTAGAATAGGCTGAGAGCAAAACGGGAACTCATCAAGTGATTATTTCCGTACTTTGCCAGCAGCAGCCGCAGTAGTAGCAGTAGCAGTAGCAGCAGTAGCAGCAGCAGCCAAGCCCTTCATTCCTTTACCTTCTGGGCTGAGAGGGATTGAAGTGAACGATGGTGACGTAGTGGGTTAGGGCTCCCTTGCAGCCAACCACCAAACAGGTTTGCATAGACAGGCCACTGGAGGCCACTGGAGGTCACTGGAGACCACTCGAGTCCACTGCATTCCACCGTCTCCACCACTCTTTCCCTCCCCTAGACTAGTTGTTTGGCTGCTCAAGGCAAGGCAAAGTAGGTTTGCCGGCCGCTTGGGGCTCCCAGGGCCTCGACCCTCGGTCGGTACATTTTCCACCAGATTGACTTGGCTTTTCCTTCCTTTGTGGTTTTGGACCTGTACGTCTGACCAAGCTCAGCTCCCCCATCTAACCGGATTACCAGGAATTAACATTGTTTCCAATTCCAGGTTTTTTTTTGTCTCTTCTTCTGCAGTGCTATGAAGGGAGTGAAGATGGTTGTTAAGTAGGACCTGACTAGCAAAACCCTCCTCCCTTCGGGCTGAGCCGAATAAAGCCGACAGAAACCAACTAGAATGCTCGCTACCGGGAAAACACCCCCCCCCCCCCCCCCCAGCACTCCCAGTGACGTAGGGTAGGTAGCAGTGCAAGAGTAAATTAACCCTTTGGCCCTCGGGACTATCTTCCTGGACCTCGAGTCGATGGGGTCCACTTCTTTCCATAGTTCTCGAAAGTCGAACACATCCAGGGGCATGTGAGCAATATTTTTTTTTTCTTTTCTTTTTCCTTTCGTGTTGCCTTTGCGCCTTCTTTGCTCTCAGTCCTCTTACCCCGCTGGTCCGTAGCCTACTCTTTCTCACTTCTACTCGAATGAGACATGCACGATTCGTATTTTAGGCGAGACTAGCCAGTGGAGGGCGTTTTTGGCGGTGTCACCTCCCACAATAAGAGACCTGTAAATCACGGATTCGATATCCGGGTGGGGGTTGCATGCAATTTTTCCAGCCTGGCAGTTTCCGCGATCGGACTTGGTGGCTTGGGAGGTGATGAATCATCCCTTCCGCGCCTTTGATTTGCGGATCTCCGTCGCACCCTGGGTGCCTCGTCTTACTTACATCCGATCGAGATTAGCTTTGAAAGGGGGGAAGGGGGATTCCCCGGGGGTTCTACGGAGTATGTATCACAGCTTTGCCTTTAATAAACCTGACTTTGGGACTGATTCATCGCCTGGAGTTTATGATCAGTACTTATGCTGGACCCCTGGGGGGTGATTCCGATTCCTCTCCCCGAGTAATCTGTAGTGCAGAGCGGCTACTCCGTACCAAGGTTCAACTCGCACCCGAATCCGGATTCCAGGGCTGGCCGGGGACTTGTTGCTGGCCACAAAACAAGGTCATTCGCATTGGCCGCTGCATGGTGGCAGGTAGCACATGCATCACAATCAGATCAATCGATGGGGGAGTCTACCGAGAAACGACCGTACTTTATTCCCGGTTGGTAGGTTGCTGTCGGCGGGGAGCATCAAGGGACAACTGACCCCGACCTCGGAGGTGGGGTGTTTATTCTCGATGTCCTCCTGGTCGAGGGGCGGGCTGACACATTAATGAGTATCTGGGTCGGTGACCGTTCTCTGCTGCACGCAACTCTGGTTGAGTCATCTGGATATCTGGTGTTGCAGTGCTACAGAGATTCCATCCGGTGGTCTACAGTTCCACCGCTTCAGCAACCGGCCGAACATGGGGGAACTCCGGCAATGCTGATAGTCTTGCTGATAAGCGTGCTGCAGAACTTTGGAACTACATGTGGACTAGTATTCACTACTGTAAAGTCTCTCGCCTAGCCCCAAACTTGGACTTGACTCCGAACCAGACAACTTTCCCCCACCCTTCTCGAGAATGTAACCAGATGAGGTCAACCTGCTGTGGTGGCCCGCCCGTCCTTCGGATTCCCTCAGCCGAGACTACCCTTGGGTTACTCATAGCAAGCACGCCTGCATGATTCTCTTCAGTCTGGAAACCTCATTCCCATCAAAGGTCACCCGACTGATTGTAACAAGCCCGCAAAAACGACATATCTCACTCCATTGATGGTCCAAGGATATCGCAAACCCCCCCGCCCCACACCAACCTGAGACCTCCCAGCGGGCCCTCCCTCTCCAACAGTCCAAACTCCAATCTCATCCACCCTGGAGGAAGTGGAGTTTCCGGCGAATATTTCCGAGCTGCGGGCTCGCTTAGAAGGGGGTGATTGGCGAAGGATCGACAATAGAGTCTCCCGCGCTTAACGACACAGTCACCTACCCAGCTAACCAGAGAGAGGAGCACATGCTGATGTTTATCTCCGGTGACGGAATGGTGTCCCTGCGTGCCGACTGCCGACCAGTTCTGACCCCTGCGGTAAGCGTGATTGTCAGCACGGCCAGGTGCAATGGATGTTGTTCCGGATGATGTCAGTTCATTGCTTTAGGTCTTTTGGTGACGAAGGTGTAGTGGATCTTTGACCTTTGCTTCCATATCTCCACATTGGTATGGGGCATGTACGGCAGTTCAGTTGCCGATGTTCTCGCAGGTGATGATAACTTCAGACTCACCCAGAGGTTAATATATCTCCCGCTGCTCTTCTACCCTGGAAACCTTTTCCGGGCTCAGTGCTTTACTCCGCATGCGCAGGATACATGCGATACGAGATCTGGATTGGTTGAGGCAAGAACTCAGGACTGGCCATAGTCTTCTGCTTCACAGAAGCCAGGACTTCGGGATAAGATGCGAAGCGATTGGTTGCTATGTAATGGCCTGATCAGGTTGACGATTGGCTCATGGGCTGTGTTACTGGCTCGGTTTAGTCCATTTACTCGTTGAATTTTAACTTGAAGAACCTCTTTCAGAATGTGGTTAACTGTGCGCTTAGCCATCTAGCAGAGGATGGGAGGGGCCATAAATGCAAGGTCCCCTCGGCTGTGGCCCAAGATGTAGATGCTTCCTACAAGAAATGCTCGTACCCATCCTTGAAAGAACAGTTTCGCAAGCCCTGAGAGCGAGACAGATCTTTGCGGCTTGCTTTGCTTCATTTGCTAGATTGGTGCTCCAAGAGTTGTGCCTACAAGCCCGAACTGGTAGATCTCAGTCCTCATATATGTGTCGACACAATGAGTAGTCCGGTCCGCAGCACACCTTAAACACTACTTCTTTGGCTTATAGGCTCACTCATACATGGGAGCCTCACTTCTATCTCGTACTGTTATAACCCGTACGATCAGCATTGAATTAGAGACGATCTATCCATAACTCTGCAGAACAGAAGATGTTTTTGCCTAAGGCTCACATCGTACTGCCGTGGCCAGGTACGGGCGGTGAAGGCGACCGGTGGCCGGCGCCTGCCATTTTTGGAAATACTGGCATGCGCGGGACTCGGATTCTCTCTCAGTCAACATCACCGTCATCTCGTTATGATCCTCCTCCTCCTCCTCCTCCTCCTCCTCTTCTCCATGAGTTGATTGATAGCTACATTCTCAGCTCCCTGTTGAGTCTCTCCGCACTAACTATGAGTCTCACTTAATCTGAATCCCCTCCCGTCGCTACCGATTTCCTTCTTGGCTAATGCTTACTTCTTTGTTTATTCTGTGCCGTCAAATGAGAATTTCCAGCTCGATAGCACTTGCAGTAGCAAACTGAATCCCTCAAAAAGACGTCTTCTTATGATGACGCTTCTGGCAAGAACGCGCGTCGTTTTCAGCTGAGAGGGGGCTGGAGGCGAAGGCGCGCAACAGATACAAACGCCCCTGATGGTGAAAGATCACCATCGGACTTCCTTCATCAAGATGATCGTTCGCAATGATCATATCTCCACCACGGGAATTCGCTTAGAGCCGAACATCCACCGTCAAATCCTCCCCACTCGAGAACCTCGCGAGCCACAATGACCGCAACCTCCGAACCCAGAGACGAGTACAACCTCCAGGGGGCGTGGGAGCGCGTGTGCCGCTCGTTCGCGCAGACCATCAAGGCCGATCTGACGACCGCGCCCAAGTACACCATCGAGGAGGTCCTCGAGCAGATCCGGGCCTGGGAAGCAGAGGGCCTCGAAAGGAGCGCCGGTACAAACAAGGGAAGACTGTGATCGACAAGACCTGGCGTTCGTGAAGGTTCTGGGCGGCATTGTTGCGCAGGGCGCGAGCATGGTACGTCGCAGTCGCCCCTATGCCGTATCGCCCAGAAGGTGAGCTAAGCTGCTCGCTTGTGTATCTTCCTGGCACAGGTGTTCGCGCCCAGTAGTCTCTGTTTCAACGCTATCGCCTACTGATTGATACCGGGGCCAAGTACAAGCGCGTCTTTAGCAGCCTGGCTGAGCTGTTCCGGAAGATCTGTGACCTGTTGGACCGCATGCAGATCTACATGCGCCTACAGAACGACGCGGTGGATGTCGTCCTGCGGAAGATCCTCAACCAGCAGTTGCTCTGTTTTGTGGATATCTGCGCCTTGTCAGAAAAGAAGCTGCAGGGCCACAAAGTCCTTATCGCCCTCAAGGCTTTTGCCTTCAGCGGCGATGAAGGGGTCAGCGCGCAGTTGGCTGGGCTGGCGACCCTCGGCGAGCGCGAGTCCCAGAGACGCGCAACCCAAGGAGACTTTGTCAGCGCTGGCTTGTTATTGGACGAAGTCAGCAATAAACAACGTCCCGGCGAGATTCGAGACAGTTTGGCTCGCTTGGGACACAATCGCCAGGCCATTATAACAAGGAAGATTGACCCGCTGAATGCAACCCATGGCAAAGAGGATATTGCCGAGCTTGATGAAGTTTTCACTTAGGTCATGTCTGCTACAAGACCACTCACACTGAGGGAGCTTGACGAAGTGCTCTCCCTCAAAAGCCGTGCACCGTCGCTGAGACCACTAGCAAAGGTCATTATCGATCAGTATTCGTCCCTTCTTCGGGTCGAAGGCAAATTGAATGGCGCAAGCAAGGATTTCGACCTCAAGTCCCGTGTATTGTTGGTGTCGGAGTCAGTGAAACACTTCCTGGATGCACCATTACGAGGTGATACAGACATGGAAACGAAGGTTTGGGATGATGTTGAGGCAGTCAACAAAAGCGAGGTGCGAATTGTGCGCCGATTCTTGGAGTCCGTGTGCAATGCTAGCCTCTTCCAGAGATTTGGGTTTGAAGACTGTTTTGTGGCGAAGCTAAGCAGAAGCTCTCATTGTCGAGCAGTTATTGAGGGTAATGCATGTGTGGTTGTCCAGTCGAGAGTCGTGTGGCTTCGACCTATACGGCTGGCCTGGTGGATCTGAATAGCTACAATACAACACGGATTCTCTTTGACTGCTGGTATCCTGAGCAAACATGCTTTGTCGCAAAATATGACTGTTATCTCGTACTTTGCGATTGTTGAGGCTAGTCCAAGCCACAGTACAGCCTCTTCTAAGGTATGTACCTGCTGTACACATTCTTAGAAGCGGCTTGGGTACCCGCTCAATCGAAGCGAGTGGCTCAGTTCATAGTTTATTTACGTTTAGATTCAACTCGGAAAACCGAGCTCGTAATTGACCCAAGTATACTCGAACAAGCACGGGTTCGTGTTGATGCTATTGTTCGGTACGCCGGCCAGCCACCTTTGTTCATTGGTGGTGTCGTATATCTTCCATGGTCCGGGCCGCGGAGGCACTGCACCCTGTCACTATTTTCGTCCACACAAGCCTTTGGAATAAGCTTTCCCCGGATTTATTGGAGCTCAGAGCTCGAATACTTTTAGGTCTGTGGGCTCAGCCCGGGGCACTGGTGAGTTCATCCATGGTTGACTGACGGCTATCTTCATTGTTTGACATGCGTCCTAGATTGAACCTCACTGGTTACTATATGGTCTGAAGAAGCATAGCCTCTCTCTGCTGAAGATATAGCTTTTGATATGAAGACGATATCTATATAAACCTCAAGAAGTTCACGACAACTCCGGCTTGACATCCTCACAACAACAGCAAGTACAACAGCAACAACAACAACATTCAAGTCGACTCTCAATTGTTCAATTCCCAAGTCAAACTACCTCTCTACAAGACCAGCCATCACAATGTATACTTCAGCATCCACTCTCATCACCGTCGCCTCGTTCGGACTCCTTGCGCGAGCCCTGCCCACCGCTCGCTCGCGCAACGAAGTTCCAATAACGTTCTACGCGGCCGGTGGGGTACAGCTCACCCAGAGCTTTTCCACCGATGGAGCTCCTATCGCCATCAGTACGACATCCCTTCGCATTACCTACCACTCCTGCCTTGTGTTTCGTGGTTGCTAACACCTTGGTTCAACAGACAACGGACTGAGCATCTCCCGTATCTCATCCAGCACTGAAGGCGTTACCTGTGTCTTCAGCGGCATAGACCACAGCAGCACCACTGTCCCCGGCGCCGCGACAGTGGACGTCGGGCCACCGCAGGTGCAAACCCAGGGCTACTGCTTTGTGAGCTACGCTCCATCACCGGACTCAGCGAGCTCGTGGGTGCCGTCACCATCCGCCACTCCGCCGACTCTGATTCAGCCCGATGACGCGTGGACAATCTGGGTTCAGCCGACGGAGACCCCGTCAGTCTTGCGTCGGTCTAGGCAGGATCTGCCGGCCCCGGGAGCGGGCTCTGGTGATGCGCCAGAACTGGGGTCCGAGGATCCAGCTACCCCCGCTCAGCAGCTGGATGAGCCATCCACCACGATTCCCCCTTCTGGCGAGGTTACTGCACCGCCTGTTATTGCTCAGGAACCGGTCATCACGGATCCGCTTCCTGGTAGCTCGACTGCGCCGTTGACGTCTTCGTGTTCAACAACCCCTTCCACTGTGGTTACCTGCACCACGACCCCACCGCCTGTAACATCATCAACTATGACCCCATGCCATGAGTGCGAATCTATCACAACATCGTCGCCTGTGACGTCCTGCACTACCAGCCCCTCTCCCGTGACGTCCTGCACCACAACTCCCCCACCTGTAACCTCGTGCACCACGACTCCGTCGCCTGTGGTGCCACCGACTACAACGCCGTGTCATGAGTGCGAGTCTACTCCTACTCCCTGTGTTGACTGCGACCCGACGCCTACTCCCTGTGAAAACTGCACAGCGACCCCTCCTCCCTGTGAAAACTGCACAGCGACCCCTCCTCCATGTGATGATTGCGAACCGATCCCTGCTCCATGTCCCGAGAAGCCTTGCGTCAACAAGACCTGCTCTGATGACAGCTGCTACAAGGAGCCTGGCCCGGCGAAGCCCTGCCCCAACAGCACTTGCCCTGACGATGACTGCCCCGAGGGACCCTGCACTGATCCATCGCCCACTCCAGTTGAGTGCCCCGACGATGAGTGCGCCGAGCACCAGCGTCCCCCATACACCCCAGGGTACCCCTCGGGCGACTACATCGAGATCAACTTCAACGGAGAGGTCAACGCCGACTTCGCCGAGTTTACGCAGTAATCCCCTTCCCGTGACGGATCTGGCCTTTCGACAGCGTGTTTGAAGTGTCGACCGCGGTGAACGATAATGAGGCTAGATCTTGGACTTTGAACCAACCCAGATACAAGTTATGGGGCCTACACCGCTACTGCAATGTTTGGTGGTTCACCAGTTGAGAGCGCGAGGAGTCTATGGAGTTGATGGTTTGAATGGAGATGATTGTCCCTTGCTTTGAGTTTGATCTGTTCAGCTGTTCCTCGTGCTATGTTCAATGACTTTCCTGGTCACGTTGTGCTTTCTAATGTTTTCTTCCTATGCTTGTTCGTTGCATTGAACCTTCTACACTATGTTTGCATCCTTGTCTTGACATCCAGTACAGTTGCGCAGGTATTCAAGGTCTTTCTGGTGCATACACACGATGCTACTACTGTTCACGTATTTAATCCTACACATACAATGATTACTTGCAATTATATCACTTCATACCTGGCATCGATTTCAAATCGCCTCTTTCGTCATAGAAGCTCCGTCTCTGGCATCGGCATATATGGGTAGTACTCATTGGATCTGATCACATTGCGCATGCTTATCTTATCGCTTCGGCGCCGAAACTCGATGCGAGGCCAGTGGCTCCACTTTGGCCTTCGGCGCCGAATGGCGTCAACTTCACCGGGCCGGAAATGCCGAGCCAGGCGCGACAGGCAGGCAGTAAACACATCGATCTGATGTTGAAGGCAGGGATAGGATTCACACCTTGTTATATGAGTGTATTGTTATATTTGTGTCTGGTAGCTCATTGCATGGTTAAGGGCACCGAATCTACAGCGCAAACACCTGTCTAGCACAATCACCCCACTGATCATAGGGACACTGAAGTATACATCGATCACGCGATTGAGTGGAGATAAAACACTAATGATGTTGTCCATGACACCGCTAAGACAAACTTGTCCACTACACCATCTACAAGGAGTCCAACTCAAGCCCTCACCACCACGCCTACCCCCGTTTCACCCACCGCCACAACCGCGATACATCCACCCCACCCCGCACCCGCACCCCCCAATACAACCCCAACGCCGCAGCCACATTGAACCCGATGTACACCCACATGAGCCCGAGATTCCGCCAGCGATCCACATACTCCGCCGAGAGCTCGGTCAGGTACACGTTCGAGTCCGTCATCTGGCAGTAGGCGCAGTCCCGCGTGGCCTGCGGGTTGGCGAGGGCGCCGCCGGCCCGCTGCATGTACGCGGCCAGATAGCTGCCGCAGGTCTGGTTGGCCGGGGGTTGGATCGTGATTTGCTCGAGGGTGGAGCAGTGGACTTCCGTGTTGGCGAGGCCGGTCGAGAGCATGCCGCTGACCAGGTAGGTGAGCGGGGAGACGCGGTACATGAAGATCCAGAAGCCCGGGAGGGCTGCGGGGGAGGCTAAGACACTTTGTTTTGGGGAGGAGGGTTAGTCGGACTGGTATGCAGCTGGAAAATATGGGCAGATAGAGAGTCAAAGGGACGGACTCACCCGCAGAAAATCAAGCACATGCAGAACAGCAGCAGCGCCAGCGTCGCGCCCACCTCGGCCGTCGCCACGCCCGCCACCATCATGATCGTGAACGTGCCGCAGTGCATCAGGAAGGACCAGATGAGCAGGAACATCAGCCCGCCGCGCTCGCGCGTGGCGTGCGTCTCCTGGGCGTTGCGGTCCATGCCGATCAGATAGTAGAACGGGAGGTAGATCAGCACCGCCGCCAGCGAGTTCCAGGGCAGGTCGGCGAAGACGTTGGCCAGCATGAAGGCCGACCAGGCGTAGGTCTTGGCGGGCCGTTCGCGGACCTCATACAGGTCGCGCTGCTTGATGAAGTTGGGCATCGTCTGGTAGGCCAGGAAGGCGAAGATGACGAGGAGCATGAAGATCGCGTAGGTCTGGTGCTGCAGGCCGAGAATGGTGATCTTGGTGTTCAGGAAGGAGAGGCCGATGAAGAGGGCCTGCGTCGGTCAGGATGAGGAACAGGCATGGAGAGGGGTAGAACGTGTGGGCTTACCGCGCCAAAGCAGAGGATGAGCTTCGCGTAGATGTAGGAGGGCGTTCGCCAGTACTGCTCCATCACTCGCTGGGTACACAGTTGGAGCTGGGTCAGAAACGGGGCCGCGTATTGCTGGTTGGAGTCGACTCCAGGGCTTTGCGTCGAGGGCTTGCGCTCCTCAAGTCGCTGCAACTCTTGTCGCACCTCCTGGTATTCACGGCTCCCCCTCCATGTGGCTGGCCAGTCGTGCGTGGATTGCGTGCCGGGTGCTGCCCCGATCACTTCTAGCATCCACTCAGCCGGATTCTCTTCTCGGGTACACAGCCTGGCACCGTGTTGCTCGAAGTAGCTGGTCAGAACCTGGGAGTTCTGTCCTATCGGTCCGAAGTAGACCGTGCAACCGCCCTTGGCCAGGAGGAGTAGACGGTCGAACTGTTCGAAGAGAATGGCTGAGGGTTGGTGGATAGTGCATAAGATCGCCTGCCCGTGGTTGGATAGCTTGCGTAGTAGCAAGGTTATCGACCAAGCGGTCTGGCTGTCCAAGCCCGAGGTTGGTTCGTCAAGAAAGACCAGTAGATCGGGCTTTGCAGCGAGCTCCACCCCGATAGTCAACCGCTTCCTCTGCTCAACATTCAGGCCCTCGCCGGGAACACCGACGACTGCGTCCGCGTACGGCCGCATTTCCAGCAAGTCGATCACCTCCTCGACGTACCGATACTTGTCCGCTTTGGTCACCGAGGCAGGCTGTCGGAGCAGGGCACTAAAGCGTAGCGCTTCGCGAATAGTACTGGTCTCGAGATGGACGTCCTGCTGCTGAACATAGCCGACCCTTCTCTGGAACGAGGCGTCGCGAGGGACTCCATTGACAAAGACTTCCCCGGACACCACCCCGGTCTTGACTCTGCTGGCAAGGAGATCGAGAAGCGTGGTTTTACCCGCGCCTGAGGCTCCCTAGATGGTGTAGAATATCAGTACCGGCTCAATTGGATACTAACTAGGACAGATCCTACCATCAATGCAGTCAGTGTCCCGGGTGTCACCCATCCGTCGATGTGGTCGGATATGCGGCGCATCTCGCCTTTGATCGGTACATCGTAGCACACATCTTTCCAGTGAAGGGTGTTGGATTGGAGTTGGAGGTTGAGCTCACGGTCCGATACCGCAACATGGTCGACTGTCGTTGCGGCCTCGCTCTTGCCGGTTTCCTCGTCATGGCTTGCATGTCCGATGGCACTGGTTGCTTGTGACTTGCGTTGGAAAACGAGGACCTCGCCTTTGGAATGATCGAACGTCACGAATTCTGCAATCACTAGGTACATCATCATGAAAAAGAGGATGAAGGCAATAAGGATGCCGAAGTTCCTGATCATAATCCAGTCAGTACAGTACAGTACATGGATCGTCTTGAAGGGCATAGTAAACACATACCTCCATGTATGCGAGAAGTAATAGCTATAGTTGGCCGCCACGTAGGCATCACCGCTGACCAGGCTCGAGGTGGTCGACGCACCGGCCACGGCACACGTTCTGTACTCACTCGCAATGTCCTGATATCCTGGCCCCGAAGGCACGAAACTGGCACACTCGAAGTAGCGGCCGTGGAACTCATTGGCCACCAGCGTCTCGTACGAGTACGCGATTGGGTTGATGTAGTTGATCCACCGCAGCCAGCCCTGCATGTTGCGGGTCGGGAGGACAAAGCCCGTGTAGACCACCAGCGCGAGGACGCCCAAGGCGATAGGCGTAAGCGCCTGCGGGATCGTGCGCGTGGACTGGGCAATCGTGCGGAAGATCATGGACATGGTTAGGGTCGTCATGAAGGCGAACAGCAGGTAGATGACCACGTGGTCGGAGTCGCGTCGCAGGTTGGACATGTAGTATAAGGGGATGTTGAAGCCGATGGTGGAGAGCACCTTGCTGGGCAAATCGCAGATCATGGATGCCACGGCTTCGGACATCGGGTGGTAGAAGGCGTAGGCAGCATGTTTCTCGACGATGGGTCGTTGAGCGTAAAGCGCTAGGATCTGGGGACTATGTTAGCGATTGCTGATCAGGTTGCCAAGATGTACTCACTTCTAGAGCGCTGCTCAGAGCATTGAATAGCACGGCGAAGAACAGAAGCACGCAGCGATCGACGAAGCTGGCGGTCGAGTCTTCTAAGTTGTAGAACACACTGCCCAGGACGAGGGAGAGGAAGAAATTCCCGAGCACCGTGGCGAAGAAGAAGGTGGAGTCGCCCAAGACTCTCCGGTAGCCTCGTCGTATGCACAGTAGCACTTGCTGGGGAATTGATATGGTGTAAGGTGAGCTCGGGGTCCTGCAAAGTCTACTTAAGCTTCGAGCAATTTTGTGGCTACTGGGTGACGCTTCTTACATCAATCGAGATCTTTCCGCCTTCTTGGAGGCCGCGAACTTCTCAAAAACTACCTCTGCGTCATGTTGTTGGTTGAAGTGGTCGATCTCCTTGCAAAGCTCAGTTTTCAGTTGACTTTGTCTCCAGGCTTCAGCGAATTCATCGGGTGTTCTGGGCACTCGAGCTTCGAAGCCGGGTCGAATGATGCGTTCCACGGGGTTGGTCAATGAGGTAAGGAAGTCTCCAGTCGTTTGTCGGTCAGGGCAAAGATAGCCCATGTCAATGAAGTACTGCTTTGCTCGATCTACCGGGCCAAAGTAGATCTGTCGACCTTCATAGAGTACTGTCACCTTGTCAAAGCACTATTTACAGCACATACGATGCACGGGTCAGTCTGAAAGCTTTATGCAGCACGTCGAGGGAGTGAAAACACACATCGTAGGCCTGTTGCGAAGCCTGGTACAAAGCAACCACAGCTGCAGTACCAGTCATCTTGACGCCCAGTCTGACCGTTTGAATGAACTGCAGCGCGGTGGCGCTGTCCAGCCCGCGGGAGCTGTTGTCCCAGCATTGGATACAGCTTTGTGTCAGGCATGTTTCCGCAATGCTGACACGCTTCCTCTCTCCGCCACTCACCCCGCGGATGAAATCATCCCCAACCTTGGTGTTGATGGTGTGTGAGATACCAAACACCGCCATGACTACATCGCGGAGGTGAGTTGCATAGGTTTCCCGGGATACACCTGGGAGTCGGTTCCGAGGGGTTTTGGCTAGAGCTGCGTACAACAGCGTCTGTCCGACTGTAAGATGCGGGAAATGAACGTCTGTCTCGGCCTGGTAAATCACATCCCCGCGAAATTTGCGATGCATTGTCTTCCATGGAATGCCTGGTTGCAGGAGGAGGTTTTCAGTCAGCTCCCACTCGAAATGTGATGGGGTCTGGCCTACCTTCATAGCTAAGCTCCGTGGAATCTGCCACTGATAGTCCATTGGTATGTCCTGCGATGGTCTTCAACAGGGTAGATACGCCACTACAGGTATAAAATCGAGTCAGTCAAGGCCAATCAAGCTGTTACTCGTACGGTCTGATAGAACGTACCTTCCTGGCTTTCCTAGGACTAGGAGCATCTCGCCGCTGCGGACAATGCCATCGTGTTCTCTCAAAATCTGTACCTCACGTCTTCTTCCGGGGACCAAACCGACCATCAAATCCCTCAACCCCTGCAGCACAACGTTCGCAACAGTTGGTTGGTAAGCAGCGCCACCTCCGTATCCACCCACGCTGAGATGACGGTAGGACACACCCGCTTTGCGCTTGGGGTACCGCTCAGGATCCTGCGAGGTCAATTCAATTAAGGCCTGCACCCATCTCTTGGCGCTGAACTTGGGAGAGTTGGGATCCAGGCACGTATCCTCTGTATCTGTGAAGGGATTGATGGAGGACCCGTGAGGCCACTCATGTATTGAGTCTTGCGTGAAGCGTCTTGCCAATTTGAGGATTTGGCGCTGATTTTCGGGAGATATCTGCGCCGGCTCGGCTTCATCTTCCACGTTGGCTGTCCGATCACTAGACGAGGTCGACGCCGACCTGCTGGCCTGGGTGGTCTGCTCAGGTAATTTGGGTATTGTAGCTGGGTCGAGCATTGTGAAGGGCAACAGAAGAAATTAGGGCACGGAGTCGAGCTCGGTTGGTAAGGTCGTCGAGGAACAAGATTCTCGAAGGTAGCTGTGTGTTGAGAAAACAGACTCCATGACAGCTTATATCATATGCAACACAACACTACATCATCAGCATGTGATTTAAGGGGATTTTCATCCATTCTACTGGGCGAAAAATGCAGCGCAGTACTGTACCCGACATGATGGACGGCGCCGACGAGTGACTAGCGTCGGAGGCCATCGGAGCGGAAGTTAGGGCCACACGGCCTTGGGCATCGGAGCTCATCGGCGGCGAAGACAGCAACGCAATAAGGGGCCGATACTGCCGATACTGAAAGCAACCTTTGTCTCCTCCTCTGCTTCCACATCGTACGCGTATCTGCGCACGTTTGGTGTCATGGAGATGATGTCAGCGGCGGCATCAAGCTCTGCCGCGCTGCACAAGGCGTGCGACGCCTGTCGGACCCGGAAAACGCGATGCAGTGAGTGTGGAATGGAACCCTTTTGAGTGTCTTCCGCTTTGTCTGATTTTGCCAGGTCTCTCAGGCACCAATGCCACGTGCGATCTCTGCCTGGTAAGTCAGGCCACCATCCCTGCAGCCCTCATGGGCCGGTGTTAATCTACTGCAGTCGCAAGGGCGCCCCTGTTCCTTTACGCCAGTGAAAAGACCCCGCAAGCGAAAGTATGAGTCGGAAGGTAGTCTGCGCTGAATTGACGATGGATCTGAGACCCGAACCGGGCTGATGATGTGCACTAGCTTTGACACCTCTTGCGGATACAGATATCACGTCGTTGTCCTCGGGCACCGGCACGCTGTACATGGACTCTCTACTTGTAAATCGACAGGCTTCTCGTCACCTACGAGACTCTGGCCATCCAGACCAGGTGATTGGCATGAGCAGAAGCGCGAGCTGACGGAACACCCTCAACTAATCGTGCTCTTGTAGCTCACCACGATTTCCGGGTTCAATCCCAATATCTCGTTCTTCCCTGCCAAACGAGTCAAGGCGATCAACGAAAGACTGGGGCATAACCGACTAGACCAACTACTCGAACAAATCCGCGCGCTCGTTTCAACGAAGATCAAGACCGCCTGTGCCATTCCGCAGTCTTATATTCAGCGGCGGCACTCGCTAAGCCAGAGCCACCAGTTTCCTGATTGGGCCAGCATCCAAGCTCATATCTCTGGTTTGTTACTATCCACTTCTATCAGACCTTGTGCCCTGTACTGATGATGAGCAGCCTATTTCGAAGCCGTTCACCCAGTCTATCCGTTTCTGTCCCCCGACACATTCCGTCAGAAAGCCACAGCCGAGGACCTACCCCATCTGCTTGCTGCTGACCGCGCTTGGGCGGCATTGTTCTATGCAATTGTTGCCATTGGATGCCAGAACAACGAAGGAGGCAGCTTTGAGGTTGGAGTGGGTGAGGCCTGGCAATACTTCGAGCGGTCGTTGTCGTATTTTCCAGACTTGGTGTTCGGTCGCGGCTCATTGACTGCAGTTCAGGTATGCGTCTCTGCTGTCTCGAGAGAAGAACAATACTAACATGAATCCTAGGCGCTCATGGCTATGGTATGACACTTCAAATAATAAATCATTCCCTTGTATCTAAGACTTACTGCAGGCAATCTTTTCATCCACGGTGTCTGCCTTCCAATTCGAACCCCTCATGTTGTCAGAAGCCAGCATGATGGCGCAGGCACTGGGCTACCACCGCTCGAACGGGGTGCAAGAAACAGCTCACCGGCGCACCTTCTGGGTGCTCTACTATCTTGAAAAGACCTCATGCTTTGGCACGGCAAGGAACTCAGTCAGTCATTCCATGCCAATCGACCTAGCTAGTGTTCCTATACTCACACCAGCCAAACAGGTCATCGACGACTCCAACATCAGTTGCGCCATTCCCGACGTGCTCGAATCTTCCTTTGGCGACTACGACTGGTTCTTCTGCTTCATCAAGTACGGCCGTCTGGTCTCGAAAGTCCACCAGTCGCTCTTCAACGTCAGCGCCGTGAGCCAGCCCTTGCATACGTACAACTCCACCGTGAACAGTCTACGTTCGGAGCTAGAGACCTGGCGTCTGGCGATCCCCGCCCGATTCCGGCCGGGCGAGGTCCCGAAACCTCGTCTCTTGCGTGAGCCCTTGGCTCTCAAGATCGCCTTACTCACGCACTACCTGTACTTCCACGCTCTTCTCACCCTATCGTGGACCATCCTCCACGTAGGGACCGCGCGGGTCGCGGCGGCGCAGCAGGACGTTCTGAAACGAGAACTGTTGCGCACGGCGAGAAGTGTTCTTGAACTGACGGCCTTCATTGAGGTGGCGCCCTCGACGCCTGTTTGGTGAGATTTTCTGCACTCAACATTTGTGTCGGATGTATACGACTGACACAAAATACAATAACGGTAGGATCCTGGCCGTCCTCCCGCTCTCCGCCCTAATGATCCTCTTCGACCTCGTCGTGCACAACCCCACCCACGCCGAAACCGGCCTCAGTCTCGCCCTCCTAGACATGGCCGGCGGGCACTTCAGTCGGATTGAGTATGCCAGCAAAGGAGCACTTCCCGGTTCTCTGGTGGCCGAGTTCGCCCACCTCGCCCGACAGTACGTGTCGGACGTCAGGACTGGCAAAACGCAGGCGGGCGGCGAGATTATCCGCGCGCGGAGGTCTGTCGAGAAAGGAGCAGCAGGAGCAGCAGCGCCCGTCGTCACTGAGGGAGGGGTTCTGGCATCGACGACCGCCCTTGGTGTCCCAGTTGGCAATCCGTTGATGGATGCCAATCGGCCCCAAGAGATCGAGCTCGATCCGACGGCGCCCGTCCAGCCCTGGAGTCCGGCCTCGTTCGACCCTATCTTCTTTCCGCTGCTCGATGATCCGAGCTATGCGCTGGATGACGTGCAGTGGTTGGGGATAGATGTTATGGGGCTTTTTGATCAGTTGTATTGAGATGCGTAGAAGCCTTACTCGGCGAAGCCATTGTGTTGAATAAGATGGAGTTGATTTCACAGATCGAGCACAGGGTAGTACACCGTGATAGTCACGTAGATTATAAAACCAACTAAGGGAGATGTTACATAACACATAGAAGGTACATCACCTCCATCGTTTTATAATAACCTAAAAATGTATGACCTGACTTCGTTTGAGAATAAAAAGCAAAAACAGAAAAGGATGTACAATCTGTGAATGAAACGATCGGGGGACAGATAGATCGGTAGATACTAGGTATTTGGGCAAAGATGTATAACCTAAAAAGGCGCAGGATGGCGGGCTGGCGGTAGACAGCGGGACTAGTCACTCAACCACGCATTTAAACTAATGATGGTGTTTGTTTAAGTATTTGATTACCTGCAGGTTTAGGCCATTGCGTTCACAGCAGTTTGGATCATTGCTTGAGTCTGGGGTCTTGCAAGATAGGCAGTGGTAAGGTTAGCGATTGTTGGCAACTGGCTGGCTTGGTCGAGGGGAATATCTGCCAGTCCAGCCTCGCAGTTGAACCTGAAGTACGACAGCTTCGGTAACAGCCGTGAGACTTGCTCGAAAAAAAGGTGGGTATTCTGCGTGTCCGTCGCGAGTGCAATGATGTTTCGAAACAAGTTCACCAGGGTGAACCTGTTCCAGAACCGCCACCAACTATTCCGTGCCGTCCCCATCTGAGCCGGGGCTGGTTCTCCGGTTCCAATACTTATAATGCAGATGCGTGTGGTGTCTCCGATGCCCATGGACGATCTCTGATCCAGAAACGTCAGGATGGGGTTATTGAAGCCCAAGCCACCGTCCACATAATAGTCCAGTGGACCAAGCTCGGCGGGAGGAAAGTAGGTGGGTGCAGCGCTGGTGGCTAGGGCTGCTTCCCAGACAAGGCGATTGGCTTGTCCGTTTGCGAAACAGGCAAAGCACACAGGGAGGTTGTTGGTGATGAGTCCAAGACTGTCCGAACGGCGGCAAACCACGTAGCTATACATGGAGTTCTCAGTATATCACATACTTCGATTAAGCGGATGAAGCGCTTACCAGTTGCAATGAGTAGGGTTCTGCATCTGCATAAGGGTGCCTGTGATCAGCTGGATTTGTTGCCGAAGCAGTCCCTGACTGAACCGCGATCCAACGAAAAGGCTGGTAAGGGCACTTGGTTCGAAACTTGGTAGAATTGTACGTCGTCGGAACACAGTGTTTGAAACACCACGGAGGTTGTTGATGCATGCCTGCATGGTCATGCCATATTTCTTGACCATCAATGCGCTTAGGCTATTGTTTGTGAGAGGCGGACAAATGAAACGATCTTCATTTCCCTCTCTCGACTTACCCTCCGCCGCTGGTTCCAAAAGCGACATGAAATACATCGCCTGGCGGCTGGCCATCTGCAGCGAGCCCTTTCGTAATGTTATATTGACGCACTATTTCCTCGAGGATGAGGAGAGAGGAGAGGCTGCGCACACCGCCCCCATCTAGGCCCAGTGTTGTTAGTTTTATTCGGCACGAGGTGAAGCAAAGAGTCGTACCAAGCGAAAGGCAATTCTTTTCCGCGTGTAAACTGGGGCGTGACATTGCGCGGATCTTTGCAACGAGTAGCCCGGTATCACCTGCCCTGATCTGGGTTATGAAGATGCTAGATCACTGTACTGTACTGCCTTTCCTCGGGCTTATAACCCCTTCACCGAGTCAGACCCGTCATGTGCACGGTATTATGGTCTCACACAATCATCTACATGGATCGTCGCTTTACGAAAACTTACCATAGATTCCACCAAGCCATCATAATGGAGATAAAGTCCATTCGAGTTTTAAACTTTCTTGGCTTCGTTTTAGACTACCCAGAAAGCAAATGGGCAAGTAATTGTTTGATCGCAATCTTTAGACGCGGAACTAGTATTAGCTGGTAGCACAATGGGGTAGAGCAAGACGTAGGTGAAGGAGCTGCAACATCACGGCAAAGTAGGAAGCAATACAGTCGACGCCAAGGGAAGCAACACGAGGAAGACAAAGGAACATTGCGCCGAAACCGAGATCTCGACCCGAGCATGGATGGTCGATAAGAATAGATCGTGTCTAGAACTAACATGTTCCGAGTGGAAGCGTCAAATGGTCCCAAGGTTGGACAATCGTTTAGGGTTGCGAGTGGAAGGGACATGTGATGCAACCCTTGGGCGACAATTGATTATGTAATTAGTGACGTACGTTTGGCTTGACTGTTATTTTATAGTTGCCATTTCCACTGCATATTTCCATCGACAGAGATAAGGAAGTCCATCGTATTGCCAACCCTGTGGTTCTTAATATGGCCTGGCGCGTGCTCTCGTTGGGTAAGTCCGGACGCCCTCGCTCCCAGATCATAGTGGGGGAGTTTCAGCCTAATAATAATCTGCCTGTTCAGATGGGGGTGGAATTCTCGGCTACAGTGAACTTCTGATCTTAGCCAATATTATGAAGGAAGTTCAACAGCTTCATGGGGAAGAATCAAGTTCTGGCGATATACGCCCGTGTGAATATTTCGATATCATCACCGGCTGTGGTATTGGCGGGTAAGGGATCCTATCAATCGCATATGCCGCCAGTATACAACTAACAGACGAACAGTGTCATTGCGTTACTTCTTGGTCGCCTTCGTCTAACACTAGCACAATGTCTACTTGAATATCGCACTCTCTCCACTTGTATCTTGCGTGAAAGCTGGGGCGGTCCTCTTTTCGATAAGAACAAGCTACAAGAAGTGGCCGACAGTATCGTTGAGAAACACTGCGAGACTCCGTCTGCTCCACTGCTTGAAGACGATATCACAGGCCGAGGAAAGGCGTAGGGCTCCATTTCTTCCGACTCCTCTGAAAAGGTCGCTGACTGTGCAGATTCGTGTTCGCTGTCCAATCGGACCGCAAACCATATTGTTTTCGGACATATCCCTGCCGTAACGATCACAATACCGTCCCTATCCGTATTTCCGACGCAATAGTTGCTCTTCTGTCGGCGAAGGGTCAGCTTGATGAAGTTTCGCTTGAAACATCTGAGGGTCTCACTTCCTTCGCCGATGATCTATATCCTTGTGGCTTCCGCAATCCAATTCTGGATGTTCTCAAGGAGATAAGGGAACAATGGCGGGATCAGACGATCGAACTGATCCTGAGTATAGGAACTGGAATGGTGCCGCCCAGCGATATACCTGATCTCCTCAGGCTTGGGAAGCTGCACGACATCATGATTCCCTCGCTGAGTGATTTATTCCTACCTTGGAAACTGCTCGGCCAGTTGAGGCATCTTGCGTCCATTGGTATGGTCCGCCCTTATCCCGGTATACTTGTATCTACTACATCGCTGATATTTGCATCAAGGTACAACCGATCGGTCACCCGATGAGGTAACGCTTCCAGTCTCCTAATTGAAGTCATGCTAAGAGGCTGACCGTTCTCCAGGTTATCAACAAGATTGAAGACGACGAACGATATATCAAGAATAAGCTTTACTACATGGGATATGAGGAAAGGTACAACCGGTTCGAGATAGGTCCGGTGAAGGACACGGGGCCGAACGACTTTCGAAGTGTGAAGGAAATCGCAGATGAAACAGGTCGCTATTTGAGCCAGCACTCGGAGAGATTGGTCTCAGTGGCAACTCAACTATAGGCTGCTAGACTCAGCTACTAGCATATTGAGTTGTGGGAGTTGCAATTTTCTACATGACAGCATGGCTTGTAACAAAAAAAAAAAAAAAAAACGTACAATACCTTTACATGTGACCTTTGTTTGCGTTTAGGCCTGCGCTTCCGGAGTACTATATGACGGGTGCTCTAAGAACGTCTCTATGCATTGGAATTCTGTAGGGTAAGAAGATCACCTTGCAAACATCCTAAGCATTGGAATTGCCCTTCCTTCCGAGAGCGCAGCGGCGTTGATGCTGGAACTGGTAAGAATCCCGCCGCAGAAAACAAAAAAAGATAAGAGATAACAACAGCTCACTAATTTCATGCCTGGATCGTGTGCCGTAAAAAAAATGAAACGGCGAAAAAAGAAATTGCGTCAGCGGGGAGTCGAACCCCGATCTATTGCTTGGAAGGCAACAATGCTAACCGCTACACCACTAACGCTGCTGTTATGATTAGTGATTTCCCCTACTAAATACAATCTTATTCAAAAAGCTGTGAAACCCTGGATCTATGACGTTCCCCGTGCCATGGATCCGAGTCATCTGTATGTCTTTGTTCGTTGTGCCAGATGATAGGAGACTGTTGGTACAGTCAGTTTAGCTCGGCTTGGTTCCTTGTTCCTGTCAACCCAGGTTGGTAAAGCGCATTTTCTGCCTGGATGACCCGGCGATAATTGGTATGCCGGGGACGGAAATATATATTAGACCATGATTCGGTCGGCCGAACCTGGGGGACTTACATCTGTTTGTGCATATCTAGGATATGCATCTTACAGGTCGTGTGAGTGAATCTATGGCTCACTATATCCCGTACTTTATCTCTTGATTTGTTCATTAGTCATTTCACTACTCATAGATACTCCACGTACAAATGCCGGACAGCATGTCTATAGGGCTGGTAATTAGATTAGTTTTGAGAAGAAGTGGGGGCATGAGGGAGGTAAGAATATATAAAGGTAAACAGAACAAGGCCTCAAAGAGTGTAGCTACCACTGAGTACTTCAGAATACTTAACAGTGTAGCCCATAAGGTCAGCACTTGATCGGAGACTGGCCGAGACACGGCAGTCATTCGTGTTGTCCATTGTATGCATAGAAGCCTCGGAGCGGGAGCTTATATCTCACATTTCGATCATCTCTGTTTGACTAACCCGTCAATGCCCCGCCATGATAAATGCTACATGTACCATCCTCCAGCTGAACTGTGGAGAAAACACCATTTCCATTTTCCACTAGTGACAGGCCCCGATGGGAGGGCCCGTGCCGAATGATACTTTAGTCAAGTCTGCTGGCTCGACATGAGAGCTGATGAACTGGGCGTTGTCATTCATGCGAAGCTATGTGGGCGGCTGGGACATGTCACCATATGCAGTATTGGGGTATTGGCTTATTACTGAATATGTGTGTATATCAATCTTGAGCTGTTGGGCTATATGTAACCTCTCTGCTGTAGATAATGCCTAGGTGCCTCGGTGATAACCTCACCGATCAGCATTGGTACTTCGTAATCTGCGGCACCCCATTCTCCCTGCCACTCTTCAGGATCAACTCGATCTAAAGCCAGTCAGTCAGTCAATCTTCATCAGAACACATCCTCATCATATTAGAAGAATGAAGACATACCACTTCCAAGTCCGCCAACGCTTCCTCGGGCCGCTGCTCGACCTTCATCTCTCCAGAGCTCAACGCCTCCCCCCACGCCCTGATCTCATTCCCAACCGCCAATATCTCCACCGGCAGTGTCTGTCTTTCGTCCTCCTCCCCCTCCACATGCACCGCCACCCCATCATTAGTAACCCGCACATGGCCCTTCTCGCCGACCACCGTCCACCCACTCTCATCCAAGCTCGAACACCCGGACAGCTGGAACGTGCCCTGCGCCCCGGACTCGGTCCGCAGCACCGCATCCACCGTGTCCACCGGCGGCAGCGCGTCCGCGAAGCTGCCCACGAACGCACTCACCTGGGTGATCCGTTCGCCCGGCTTACCGCCCAGGAGATACCGCATCGCGGCGACATGATGCACCCCGATGTCCAGGACGGCGCCGCCCTGATGCTCGGGTTGCTGGCGCCAGGCGAGTGCTGTCCAAACCCAAACATTAGCCACGATCCTCCAGACACACGACAACAGCCACAACCACCGTCAAAGATTCCAACCAACAGGAGAAGGGGGTTTACCGAAGAAAGGCCAGAAAACAAACTTCCCCGGCCGACAATCGAAGTACACCTGCGTCCGGAACTGGCGGATGCGACCGAGACGGGCCAGCTGGGCGCGGCCCTGGCGGAGGCTGTCGAAGTAGCGGAAGTTCTCGGCGACGGACCAGGTCGGAGCCGCCGAGCCCTGGGGCAGGATGGTGGAGCGGTACCAGTCCAGCAGGGTGGTGGCTTCGGCCAGGTCCTTAGCGATGGGTTTCTCGGAGAGGACGTGTTTGCCGGCTGCCAGGGCGGCGCGGACGTATGCTGCTTGGTTGGTTATAGGGAGGCTTTGGGAGTTAGTTGGGTCTGTGGTGTTGGTGCATTGCTGGGAGGGAAGAGTGGACGTACGCGATAATCACGGCTTGGATGTCATCCCGCGCGAGGAGCTGCTCGAGGCCCTGAGATGCATCGTCGGCGTAGCGGTCGAGTGTTTGGTCAGGGGCAATGCTGGCGGCGGATTTCAGCGAGCGCGAGTAGACGGCTTTCAGTTCGAGGTCGTGGGACGCTTGGACTCCTGGCTGCGAGGGTCAGTGCTTCGTTGCTTCGGTCGGTGGGTCTTGCGTACCAGATGGTAGTCCTTGACGAAGAGGCCTGGTGAACTGTATTAGTGCTGGGACTTGGTCCTGGATTCTCAAGGGCTTGACCTGCTCCGATAAATGCAATTCCGATGGTCATTTTGCGGGTTTTGGTCTGGTGGTAGGGTTGAGGAGTAAAGAGGGCAACAGATTTCAAGGTCTATGGCTTATATGCACTGGATCGAGCAGGGAATATGGTCAAACCATGCCACGCATCATTAATAATAAGTGACCGGACGAATTGCTTGATCGGCCGGTCTTTGCTCCGCTTGGCTGGTGATATCGTGAGTTTCATGCATGGATGGCCTGCACGATGGCGTCAGATCGGATTTAGCGCGATGGAGCAGGTGGAACTGACTACCTGCAACCCCAGGCACATTTTTCCCTTCATACTGTTACTGATATTCATGACAAGTGAGTCAGAATGCAGCTGCATAAAGCCCTTCACTGGCATTGTATTCCAGCTGTGGGATCAGGTTGACCATATCCCAATGAAGCAACTACCAAACAAGTCTTGCTGGAAATTTCATTCTAACCAGGATTCGCCCCAAATTCCAAGATTTAGCATGGTTCCAAGCTCGGAATTCATGGCGGACAAGAGCAAAGCTTGAAGCTGGCGTGCAGAAGCTTGCTGTGCCCGGTTGTAGGAAAGCTTATCCTCGATCCGCATGTCCGACCAAGAGTATAAAGAGAGGATGAAGCATCGACTCAGACCAAACACATACTCGGAAGTATCAGCCACCATGGCTCCTCCTTCTAAACGAATGTCCGTGACGTTTCGTCCCTACCTCAAAGATGTCAAACATATCACCGACCACAACGCTGATCCTGCCCAGATCCATATAGAAAACTTCATAGGCTATACGCGGGTCCCTGTCGGACTGGCAGGACCCCTGGACATTCGCACCCCTCACGGTGAGACCCAAAGCATATGCGCTCCCATGGCCACGACGGAGGCAGCCCTGGTCGCCAGCTGCAGTCGGGGCTGCAAAGCGCTGAACGCCAGTGGCGGGGTCGAATACATCGTCGGCCGCGAGCGCATGTCGCGGGGCCCTGCGTTCCAATGTGCCAGTCCTCACCACGCCCACGAATTCATCCAGATCCTGACCTCCGTGCAAAACACCCTCTGCGAGATGGCCGAATCCACCAGCAACCACCTGAAGCTGGTGAGCCTCACCCCGCACCTGATCGGGTGCTACGCCCACGTGATGTTCTACTACACCTGCGGCGACGCGGCGGGACAGAACATGGTCACCATCGCGACGCAGCGGTGTTGCGCCTGGCTGATGGAGACGTATGCGGCGCAGTACCAGATCAAGCGCGTCTCGTTGGACGGACAGATGGCCTCGGAGAAGAAGCCCTCGTGGGGCAACGTGCAGACCCCGCGGGGCGTCGAGGTGACGGCGTGGGCCCGCCTGTCGGACGCGGCCTGCCGCGACGTGCTCGGCTGTTCCTCGGCCCTGCTCTGCGAGACCCTGGAATGGGCCAGGATGCCTGTATCCGGAACGGGAGCCACGGCAACAACATCGACGCGGCCAACGTGGTGACGGCTATTTTCGTCGCAACCGGTCAGGATATCGCCTGCGCTGTGGATTCTTCGTGGAGTCACTTGAGTATGCTCTACGACCAGGATACCAAGGACCTGACCGTGAGCTTGTACTTCCCCACTCTAGCCGTGGGGATCCACGGGGGCGGCACCTCATACGAGACGCAACGGGAAGGGTTGCAAATTATGCAATGTTCTGGGTCGGGACTGAAGGGGCAGTTTGCGGGATTCATAGCATCCTTTGCATTGGGGTTGGAGCTGAGCACTGCTGCGGCTTTCTCCAACAACACGTTTGCGCGTGCCCATGAAAAAATGCGCACGGGTGCGTCGGCTAAATTGTGAGCATGCTAGTTGTAGGTCCTGTTGGTTGAGGGTTGAAGCCATCATATATCACTCAACGATCAAAGGAAGCTTGATAGGCTTAGTCTTTGTCTTTGGTTAGAGCAAGAAATGTTTGTACTCTTGACACAGAAGACAGCTTGTGTTCCCAAGGAGTTCCACATCAAGAATCAATTTATCCTTTGTTTCGATCCACAGCGCAGCATCGGGGTAGTGACTTGTTTGGGGTGCAAGGTAACAGCAAACAAGAGAAACTCGGCAATTTAGTTTCTGCTGCTCAGATGGACCCGAATATACTAGATAGAAAACCAATGGTTTCAAGGCCAAGCCAGTCTATCCAGAAGAAGGAAGAAATGATGAAAGAGATGTATGTGCAGGAACAAGACACTCTTTTCTTAGCCTTCCCACAAAGCCTGCCAGAAATCAAGAACAACATCTCCGCCCTCCGCTAATAACCTTTGAAAATCAGTGCTTGCCCCTAACTGATCAACCGCTGATACAACATAGCTCGTGAGCACATTCCTCATAGCGTCACTCGGCAAGGTACTTTGGTACAACACACGGATCAGCTCGACTAGGTCGATAACATTGTGTTGACACAAGGTAAACTTCGTCAATGTTGTGGCCAGTTTATGCCTGACGAGCTCCTTGAGCAAGAAGATACCGTATCTGTCCGCTAGGATATAGAGTTCCGCATGTTCAAGAAAGACAGTCGTAAAGTCTTCGCGAGGGTGTGAGTTCCCTTGGGGAGCATATTTGGCTTCTCGCCCGACCTCGTCGTGCCAGTGCTGCTCCACGAGTTTCTCGAACCCGACCCGGTGACGCATGTTTAAGAATCTTTTCTTTTTCGAGCGCGGGAGAACGTGATTGTTAAAAGAATCCGAGGGTTCCGCTGCTTTCACCGCGACCACCGGGTCGACGACACCCGCTGAAGCCCTCCGGGGAGGATTAGATTCTGTTCCGATCCGCTATTTACTTTCCAGCCTGCTGGCCGTTTCATCTTAAATGAATCGGGGAGAACCAGCCACACACCATCACCGGGATCTGGAGATTCAGCTAGAGGTTCCGGCTCTGCCGGCTGTTCGGGCAACCGCGATACTGACATGCGTGACGGGACTATCTCTCTCTCCGCGCACGACGGCGGAGTGTAGTTGCGCACATAAGCATATTCGCACAGTCGCAGGAACGTGGCTTCCTCGGTTACCTCCGACCAGTCAACCCGACGAGTTTTGGCCTCAATCATCTCGCCATTGATCAGTTTGTCCAGGGTGGGGGACAGGCTGGCCAGGGCCTCGGAATGCACCGTGATTTCTTTCTTTGCTTTGCCAACGATGAAGGTAAAGAGCGGGGATGAGATGATTCTGCTTCTCGTAAGCGGGTTGTAATTGAATCCAGAACTATCACCATCCTGTACTCACTCGCCGAATTCGGTGTCCATCTCGAGATTCCATAATGACACTAAGATGACTGTTGGAGAGTAGAAGGAAGGGAATCGGTCGAGGGGGTTGAAGGTTAGTCCAACTGGCTATGCAAGTCCCAGATCATTTTGTTGAGAGTCGCCTAGTTGCCACGTCACTCTTGAGATGCAGGGGTGTAAGCTGGCCACGAGGCTCTGGAGAGCAAGTAGCCGAGAACAGAAAGCCAACATAGGCGTCACTAATCCATGTCCGTCTATTGGACGAGAAAACAGGAGGATTTTTGGTCTCCTACAAGATTAAGGATTTTAGAGGACAGGATATTGTGTAGTCTCCCGTCAGGAAGCGTGGTCAGTCATACTACGAAGCAGTGCCTTGGTCAAGAGACCAAGTGAATACCTAGTATGTGGCGGGTTTAGTTTGGCATGAAGGCTGGTTCGTAATTAGTTACCATTTCTGAGTCGAAAGAAATGAGAGAAAGAACAAAGGAGAAAGAAGAAGCAAAGAAAGAAAGCGAAAGGTGTGTGTATCTCGTATGCATATGATATTTCTAGAATAATTGATTGGTTGAGAAAAGCGAAATGTCTAAAGATGCGTTAAGCGCCGGGTTGAGCGGCCAGGTAAATGGATGGCTAGGATGCATGACCAGTGCATTATCGCCTTTTCTCCTTGAATGTACCACATCTGTGATCCTCTTGCCAGAGCATACACATCAAAGGCTCGACTGCGGGGCTAGTGACAAACCTTTTTATGAATTACTGGAGACGATTGTGGACTTGCTTTACGGCATATCTCGTCAACTATGGAGTGAAAAGACCCAGAATTCAGTTTATCAGTTTGTCGAGATGAAGTTCTGGGGCTTCATCGTGTGAAAAACATCATCATCATCATCATTTGTTCAAGATTTTAGAAGATTGAAGAGTTTTGGAATTATATGATTGCCCAGTTTTCACGTTGTCCTGAAGAGAAAGTGTCCTCGTGTAGACAAAAAGTATGACTGGCTAAACTTAGACAGAACTACACCAGTTATACAACAGGTTTCTGCGTAATAATTACCACTGCGCAGCCTTGGCATCATTGATCATACAGCTGAGGAAGACAGCCCGATCCTCTAAAGTTCCGTGAGAACCGCCTTTGTTGCCCGTGGACCCGTGAGCCCCTAACCCCAGTTCCTCGAGATGGGATCCATTTTCAGCAGAGCCATGGGATATTCCAACGACCATGGATCTCCATTAGGAGATCAAGCAATTCGTCTGAAGATTACAACTCAAGGGTATAGCTATGGGATTCCGGCCTGTTTCAAAGACCATTGTCACTGTGCACGGTTCGACAGTCAATACGGAAGAGAGAAGAAGACCACGCAAGGTATGAGATTGCTACCCTTTTGCTCGAGAGTCAACGGTATAGTACAACTCTTACGCAACATATCGACAACAGACAAAAGCTAATCTCGCAGAAGTGAAACGATAACAGAGCTTGAAAATCCGCCTCCACAATCCCAGAATCAGCCTACAGGACCTAATGTCGTTCTTAATGGGTTGGGTAAATAGCATTAATGGGTACGCTACCAGGTACCGGGTCGCGAGAGTTAGAGGATTACCAGGTCTGTTGGACTAGCATAAGCGACCCAGGATTGCGGCTACGTAGTTACATCCTAGCTGTATTAGGCTTCTTCGGAGCCGAGTCGATCACAAAGCTGCAGAATCCGGCTAGTTCAACCGAGTAATACATAGGTACTCCTATTGTGGCCGATAATACATGGTTATTGAGTTATTCTGATTTGCCTACGCGACCGCTTAGCATTTGCGCTAATGAATGTTGGACATACAAATAGGATACCTTAGCTAGTAGGCATTGGACCAGAGGTAGCCTCATATAGGCCCTCTGGTCTATGCTTAAACTTTAAGTCATATCAAAGGCGTCTTATTCGTATATTTCCCTCTGCGCCTGCGTTTGGCAGATCAAGCTTCGATTGCTTGTCTATTTGTGGAGAGCTAGACATAGCCATCGACAGAATCCATGGTCGCTTGAATACATGATGATTGTGAAGCGGAAAATTCTTGGTGGCCCATTCATTCATGCTTCAAGTTAGCCGCTACCGCGGTAATCGTGCTACTAGAACCCGGGATCCCGCTGCAGATTACCAGGACTCAGCCGATGGATGGTTGCCGAGTAGCTCGTATAAAGATTTAAGCTTTCGCAAGAGGCCGGGGGCTTAAACTAATCACTATATAGCTCGGCCGAATGCGCAGACTTGTAAGGATGCGCCCCTTAGTAGTAATGATGACGTCCGCTATGTTACCACAAATGAATAGGCCACTAGGGCCTTTTAAGCCCTTCTAATTCGTGCATCCTGATTATCGCAGTTGTGTCCGTCCCAAGAGTTCTATAGTCCCCGTTATCACAAGGCAGCATGAGTGTAGGTCATAGGGGCAACATTTCTGCATCTGGCCTATTATCTTCAGATACCCGATCAAGGAACACGGCACGACCAAGTGTGACCAGACTAGGCTTTGTTGGCAGAGAGTCTCGACGACCGGTGGTAAGTAAGTCCATACGTGCTAGCTGAGGTCTCCTCCGCTTCCTCTTCGTAGTCTTCTCTATTATTCCCGTTACCCTCCTCCATTACCACTTTCCCACTTACTTCGCTTTTCCGTGGTGAGAGCTTGTGAACGCGCCTGAGTCCTTTTGGTGGCTTTTGTTTGTGATACGTCCACCGCGATTTGCAACAAAGGAAGGGGCCTTCAGTCACAAAAGTGTACCACCAAAACTCATAGATCGGATGGCAAACAATGGCCACACTCGGAAAAAATGACCTCTCGGGCTCATGTTCCAGGAAATCTAAAGCAACCGGCCCTTCTAGCTTCTCTCCTATGATGCGCGAGACTCTTGTGATAGCTCCTTGATCTCGGAAAGAACCAGCGTCCTGGATTGGGCTTGAACGCTGTCTAAAAAGTGATAAATAACCGTTCGATGTCCACCCTAAGAATTGATTCTCGAGGACAATTCATAGTTCGTCGCCCAGGCATCCAATCTGTTTTTGAAATCAGAAATACCAAAGCTTACAAGTTCGATCGCACTCCAACTCAAGGGGCAATATCAAAATGAAAACGCCCTCGCTGCTCCGTCTCGGATGGGTGTTTGTATTGGCACTCGTCGTAGCTTGGGGGGTCTCCGCCTTGCCGGCGCCTGCCGAGACTGAGGACATAGCGCTCAGCAAAAGGCAGGAAATCCAGGCCGCGGGCGGCCAGGGGGGCGGCCAGTCGGGCACAACGCTCAGCGAGACGATGACAATCAAGGGGCACCGAACCCGAACTTTCACGTGGACAATCGACAAGACGGCTAAACCAACCGTACTCAATCTGGTCCAAGGTCAGAGTGGGACCGTGGACTACACGGTGGTGCTGACCAAGGACGACGGGACTGTCCGCACCTGGATCGACGGGCAGGTCTGCATCCATAACGGTGGCAGTGTTGCAACTGAGAACCTCCAGTCAACCCTTAAGGTGACGCAGCCGCCGTCTTCTACGGTCATACTGAGTCCGCAGCTGGATGTGTCGGCTAAGCCGGTCCTGGCTGCCGGGGAGACCTACTGCTACCCCTATAGCATCGACATCCCGAACGCCAACAGCGGCACCTATAAGGTGACAGCCGACACGACGATTACCAATCACTCCGGGCACTTAGGAGAACCGTTTGGGCCGAACGAGTCCGCCACCACAACGATTCCAGCGACTGAGACGCTCGTGCACAACTCCGTAACGGTCTCCGACACCCTTCAGGGCTCGCTAGGGCAGTTTTCCGATGACGGGACAAAGCCCTACACCCGCACATTCACATGTGCTAACGAGGGAGATAATCCCAACACCGCCTCCATCACCTACGACGACGGGTCGCCCGGGCCCAGTGATCAGGCAACGGTGACGGTCAAGTGCAGCGGCGGGGGCGGCGGCGGCGGCTGCACGCGGACGATCGGGTACTGGAAGAATCATATCGAGGCCATCACCCCGCAGCTACTACCGATCTGGCTCGGCACAGAAGGCGGGTCGAAGAGCGTCAAGGTGGAGAGCGCAGCTCAAGCCGTCACCATCGAGGGTATCCCCACCGCTAGCAACGGCATTGACAAGCTGTATGCGCAGTTGCTTGCCGCGAAGCTCAACATCAAAAGCGGTGCGGACGGCTCCGCTGTTGCAAGTACCATCCAGGCTGCGGACGCTTTCCTCGCCACTAAAAATAGCGCAGACTGGACCACCAGCGGTAGCCTCACCAATGCGCAAAAAAGCCAAGTGAATGGCTGGGCCACTACGCTGGACAATTATAACAATGGTGTCACCGGCCCGGGCCATTGCCCCTGAGACTGAACTATCACAAAGCTTTGTCTGTTGGAAAATGATTGAGAATGATTGAACTGATGTTCTGCTGTTGGATGCTGCGAGGGAAGGGAGGTATCCATTTTGGATCTGGTTATGTCACTTTTGCTTGTGTTACAAACACAAAACAAGTCGGTTCTTTCTTTTTTAGTACGGAACCATGTACTAAAAGCTATTGGAGTGTTGTGGTCTTCTTAGCTGAGGTTAATGTATTGACTCGTTAGCATATGTCAACATGTGTTGAGGAGGTGGATAGTGGATGAATTCATCTGAAACAACACCATGATGTATCACCAGCTCTATTGTAAAAGTAGAGGTCTAGCAGTCTCCGTAGAGATATGTAACCAAGTAAAGATCATCTATTAGTTTCGAAGCTCAGTGTGTGTTGGACGGTGGCTTGATGCTTCATGCAGGGGAACCACCGAAACAAAGAGACGGGACGGATGCCTGAGACGGCAGGTGTCGGTTGAGTCAGCCGCCACCGGAGAACCTTAAGGTCACGTGTATCCACGACGGGGGGAGTCCCTGACCAATCAACACATCCCAACGGCATCCCGTGGCTTTCTCCTCCCTCAGTTCGCAATGGGCCCCATCAACAGCGTCATCACCATTACATGATGGGGCTGCGCCTGCTGCGACCCTTCGCCCTCGACTCTTTTGGACTTTCTCTTCGTCCAACAATGCTTGCTCTTTGCACTCCCTTTTCATTCCACTGACAATGGCAGACTTTACGAGCTCATCCTTCCGGGATACCGTCGACCCTGATCCCAGGGAGGCGAACATCCTGTCCCAACACCTCGACCCACAGTTCACCGCTTCGTTGCAGGAGGAACTCGCCCCTCCCGATGCCCCCGACGAGCACAACTCCGGCGAGTCCGGCCCCGAGCCTCAGTCTTCCTTGAGACTCCAAGGCGGCGATATCCACCGGGACCTGTATCGCATCGACGCCCGTTCCAAGCAGGCCCGCCTCGACAAACGAGCCCTGACCTTCTCCCACCTTCCCCGCCAGAACGACGATGCCGTCGAGGAGAGCGTCGCTGCGCTCGAACCGGGCAGCTTCCGACGGCACTTCCTGCAGAACAAGTACGGTCGGCTGGATGGACGTGGCGTGACGGCCTCCTTCCTCGACTTCTTGGACAACTACGGCAACTTCGCGGGCGAGGACTTGGTTGATACAGATGAGGAGGAATCGGCGATCGCGGAGGAAGAAGAACGGGAGGCCCACGAGCGGAGCCCGTTGCTGCGTCGTAGGAAGAGCGCCCGCGTCAGTCGACCCGGGGATGCGTCCAACGTGAAGACCTTCTTCACGCTGCTCAAGGCCTTCGTGGGCACGGGCATCATCTTCCTCCCCAAGGCCTTCCGCAACGGAGGGATCCTGTTCTCATCCATCACGCTCGTCACAGTATCGCTGATCAGCACCCTGTGCTTTCATCTGTTGTTGGAATGTCGCAGACGGTACGGCGGAGGCTACGGTGACATTGGAGAACACATCGCCGGCCCGCGCGCACGGTCGCTGATCCTGTCGTCGATCGCCATCTCGCAGTTCGGGTTCGTGTGCGCGTGCATCATCTTCACGGCGGAGAATGTCCACTCCTTCATAACAGCGGTGAGCTCCGCGCCGCCCGAGGCGCTGACCACGGGGGCTCTGATCGGGCTGCAGCTGGTGGTGTTGGTCCCGATGGCGTTGATCCGGAACATCTCCAAGCTGGGGCCCGTGGCACTACTGGCGGACGTGTTCATCCTGATGGGACTCAGCTACATCTACTGCTACGACATCGCGAGCCTGGCCTCACACGGGCTGGCGTCGACGGTGGAGCTGTTCAACCGGCAGTCGTTCACCCTGACCATCGGGTCGTGCATCTTCACCTTCGAGGGCATCGGGCTGATCCTCCCGATCCAGTCGTCCATGAAACACCCCGAGCACTTCGACCGCCTCCTCTACCTGGTCATGGGGATCACCACCGTCCTCTTCACGGCGGTCGGGGCGCTCTCGTACGCCACCTTCGGCGCGGACACCAAGACGGAGATCATCAGCAACTTCCCGCAGGGCGACCGGTTCGTCAACGCGCTGCAGCTGATCTACTCGCTGGCCATCCTCATCAGCACGCCGATTCAGCTGTTCCCCGCCGTGCGCATCCTGGAGGGCAAGCTGTTTGGCCAGGGATCGGGCAAGCGGGACCCGATGATCAAGTGGAAGAAGAACGTGTTCCGGACAATAGCCGTGCTGGGCTGCGGGGTGTTGTCCGCCGTGGGCGCTGGGGACCTGGACAAGTTTGTCTCGCTGATTGGCTCGTTCGCCTGCGTGCCGCTGGTATACATCTACCCGGCGTATCTGCACTACAAGGGGGTGGCGCAGTCGCCGTGGGCCAAGCGCGGCGACATTGCGATGGTGGTGCTAGGCTTTGGATTCATGATCTACACGACATCTGCGACGGTGTCAGTCTGGGTGGGGAGTTCTTAGCTTTTGCTTGGTTGTGCATTCGGTGGTGCATTCAGTGGTGCATTCGGTGTGGTGGCCAGCATTGGGCATTTCTGGTGGTCGCATGTATTGCTTTATGCCATTGTTTGAGTGGAGGACGACCAGCATGTGTGGAGGGGTTGCTGTGATGCATTATGAGTTTATGCCATGTATTTGTGCGAGTGCATGTTGCTGGGGGGTGGGAGGGTGGTTGCATGCTAATGATTTAGGGTGTTTGCGGTTGCGTTGCACTAATGTGATACAGGATAGACGTGTACGAGGTGGACCGGGCGACCGGTCTACAGAAACTCATCGATAAATAGGTGGGGGTGGTGTCTTGCTTCATAGTTCAATGCATTCGATGATGCGTAGGTAGAGTTTAGCCTGAGTCTGAAGTCTGGAGCATCTAGGATACGACTGTCCACAGTGGCTAACCGGCAATGGGGTAGACGACTGCATGATATAGTAACCCATTTACAGCCATACCCTCCCTCCCATCTCCACTTCAGAACGAAATGCCGATCCACAGCTCTGTATCGATATAGTATAGTATAGAATAGCATAGTTACAAACCACGTCAACCCCCGTCCACCCATCACCTCGCCCCCTGACCACCACCACCTTTCCCCCCAAATTCCACCCCCTAAGGACACCCACTATCCGGATAATTGCAACTATCCCCACTCCCGCCGGTAATACTGACGCCCTCGAACGTAAAATTCTCACAGCTCCCATCGCCGCACAGGATATAATAATCCTTACCATCGCTCATCGTGCCCGTGACATCGACGAACGTGACATTCTCGATGGCCACCCCATTCGTCGGCTCGCCAGTCGGCCCGCCATTCAGATAATCCTGCTGGACATCGATGCCGTAGTCCGAGATGCCGGAGAGTGTGATATTCTCGTAGCGGATGTTGTACACCTCGCCGGTCTCGCCGGAGTTGGTCTTGATGCGGCACCCGTTCTCCGAGTTGACGACCTGCGAGTTGCTGAAAGTCACGCCGTCGACGGTGTTGTCGGACTTGCCGCCGATGGAGCCGATGCTCAGCCCGTGGCCGCCATAACAATACAGGTTGTCGACGACGATGTTCGTGCCCGAGGTGATGGCCACGCAGTCGTCTTGGTTGTGCACCCAGCTGTTGCTCAGCGTCAGGTCCGTCGAGGATTTGATGTCGAAGCCGTCGCTGTTGTGCGCGGCCGGGTCGTCGCCGCTCAGGCTGTTGGGCGAGTCGCCCGCGGTGTTGTTGAGCGTGATGCCCGTCAGGGTTAGGCCTTCGCTGGATTCGACGTCGAAGCAGTGTACCGGCCAGTTCTGGATGTACAGGTTGCTGATCGTGCTGTTGTAGATTTTCTTGAGGACGATGAAGTGGTCCGGTCTTTTGGCGGAGGTTAGTACTGGTTGATGGGGGGGGGAGGGTTGGGGTTAAAGGGGCAGGGGGGGCGTACTTGTCCTGTCCGCCGTTGGAACCCTCGCCGTCCCAGTAGGCCTGGCCGTTGCCGTCGATGACGTGGCCCTCTGCACCGGTGATGGTCAGGTCCGTGCCGGAGATTACGATGGGGTCGAAGTCGCTGTCGTAGGTGTCGCCGAAGGTCTGGAGGCGTTAGTCTGGTTACGATTGGAAAAAGGGGAGGGCAGGGCAGCGTACGGTTTCACCGGCGAAGATCACAGCCGCCCCCGTCTGCAGCCCGGTCAGGTCGATCGTGCTGGACGCCGGGGCGCTGACGCCCGACAGCAGGATGTTGGAGCACGAGGCCACCGCCGACGAGATCGACGCGTACTCGGTCACCGTGCAGGTCGTGCCGCCGTTGCCCACGGCCGAGGTGGCCGCCACCGCGATCTCGGTGGTGACGGGCGCCAGCGTCGTGGACGCTGTTTGGCTGGTCGAGGCCACCTTCGAGGAGGTCTGGAAGGTGGAGGCTGCGGCGGCGGTGGTGGAGGTCGCGACGACGGGGGCTGCGGTGCTCTGCTGGGGGTTAGGTGATGCTGTCACAGCGGTCGGGGACTGGAATCATCGTACCACACTGGTGGCGGCCGCGGCAGCCCCGGTGGCAGGCCCCAGACAGCTGCAGGCGCTGGACAGGTGCTTGGTCTTGTAGTCGCAGGCCGACAGGAAGGCGTCCGGCACGCCGGTCGTCTCGCTCACCGCGCTGGCAGTGAAGGTGGCGCAGAAGCTGGCTGCAGCCACGGAGGAAACAGAGTAGATGGAGGCACAAGCGTGGTTTTTGGGGCTCTCGCAGGCCAGCGCCAGAGGCGCGGCCAAGGCCAAAAGGAGCGCACTGCGCTGCTGCATGGTAAAAGAATGAAAGAACGACGGGAAAGAGTGAAAAGTACAGGTCAACGAAAAGAAAGAAAAGAAGGACTGGGTTGGTGATGACAGCAGAGGGAGGGTCGTCCCCAGCGCATCTTAAGTATCATCGTGAGCAAGCAGCATGACAGCCGGGAAATACGGATAGCTTAGCGCTGGTCGTGTTGAGGACCGACTGGTGGTTTCAGGATTCTCCGTGCCAAGGGGGAAGATGGAGAAACTCGACAACAAGCGTTAGCCAAGTTGTTGAAGCTATGGTTGGCACTTGGCAGGGGAGGAGGTGCGTGTGAGTGAGTGCGAGTGTGGGATGAGGTTGTATGCATGGTTGACGGAGTATGCACGGGCGCTGATGGAGGTGGGTGGGGGGAGGGGGGTGGGGAGGATCCAGTCAGGGCACAATTTTCATTGGTACGGTCGGCATTAGCCGAGCTCGAGACGAAGTCCTCGCTGCTGCAAAACCCCTGGTGTGGTTTCATCTTGATGTTCGCTTGGTGTTTATTAGATTACTGCTTCTGCAGGGGTCGTTGAAATGCCCGGTGGAGCCAAGATTCCGCCGCGTCATCCTCCAGTCCACGAGTCAGTTGACCAGTAGATACTGTGCATCAATCATCAGAAACCAGACTCACAAGCTCGAGCCACTGACTCCACCGGAGTCGAGCTCTTCTCCTGCAAAACCCTCAACTCACCCTTCTAAGTTCTACGTAACCAATCCGGACCTCAGTGCGAAAACTTCGGCATTAACAAGGGTACGGTGCGCGCTGTGGACTATTTAGCCGAGGAGCAACCGATTTTGCCCATTGCCCCATGGGAACAGGTCATTCCAGATTGCAGTGGACTATCTGTGCCGGTTGGGTGATATTAATATATCCGACACTGTGATACGAACCTGAGCGCGACTGACCCTTGGCAACGGCGCCTGCACATCGCCCCCCATTCCATCCCATCCCCAGATTCATTTCGACTCTTCCTTCGGCAGTTGAGTCCCATTGGGCCACGAACCCTTCTCTTCCCCCGAGGAGATTAAGCATCATGGTCTGCTGTGTGGCTGTGTTGGCACTAAGTGGGGTCCGACACTTTTATCTCGGGAATGGGATGGGATGGAACGCGCCCCAGTCGGAGGTCGGGGGGCGGCCCTCCTCGATACCGACGACAGTTATGTAGAGCGCCAACCTACGGGTCTGGCCCCTGGTTGTCTGTGAGTTCTGATTATGGGTAAATGAACTTCCTCAGGACTATGGCTGGGGTTCACAGCTGTCTTTTGCACGTGTCTACCATGAGAGGAGGATGCGAGAATATTAGAAGAGATTGCCCTTTCTCAGCTATGTCCGTTAGGGCTCACAGTGTCAGGTGCACCTCCACCTTTGACACGGCATCACCTGGCACTCCTGGATAGTCGAGGAGGCGAATAGCATGATCCCTGTCGCTTTGTGCAACTCTCTCGCCTACGTGATTGCCTGATAGGATACCTCTCTGTTCGCGGGGTTAGCAAACTTGCATCATGCCGCTTGCAGGAGGTAGACACAGCTATTCAGCATGACAGAAGAAACGAAGCCTCAAAGCAGTCGCATCACGCGAAAATGCATGCTGTGTACAGCACCACAGCCTGAAACAAACGATATCGGGCCTTGCAGGGACCACACCCCGGATGAGACGCAGGAGATAGCAGACAGAGCTCAGTGCCTGCTCACACTTTTGCCAATAGTCCGAGTTGGGCGATGCATACCAGACAGTCTAGCTTACTGACCGAGCACAGATCTGCCGAAAGTCTCAAATGACCATGAACCACTACCAGGTCACCTCCCTTCAGGGCACGTCCCCAATCACAATCCCCATTCAAACACTCCCCCGCGAATTATCAAGGACCGCTCCACGGTCTTGAAAGCTATCGATAATCTTCACAACCAACTCTACACTGAGGTTGATATTGGGGATTGGGGATGGACGGTGGGAGTGCCTCACGTTGGGAGATTTTCAGGCTTGCTGTCCTGGTGGAGGGTTCGCCAATGAACAAGTTATATAGGCTTGAGCATGTTCCAAGCCGTGGCGCTGCAGTCATATTGGTAGAATGTTCCAGTGGTCAATTTCAAGTGAATTGGCAAGTCGCTTAACAATATCATTATGTCAGTTTGGCTACAGGACTGCAGACACAACGCAAGCGGCACCTGCACAGGTGAAGTCAAGACTGATCAAACACCGACTCGATGACCTTCTCAACCCTATCCACTAGATCCTCCACCTCAGCAGCAGTGATGTTATATGCAGGAGCAATCAGAACAATATCGCCCTGAGTCCCGTCAACATTTCCGCTACTAGGCAGTAAGGAAATGCAATACTCATCCTGCAAGCCTACCAGATGCACTGTCTGCGCAACATGGTCACTGACGGGGAAGGGTGTCTTTGCCTTTTTTTCGGCCACAAACTCGATCTATGCCTCATTAGCAAGAGTCAGCTTTTGTTACTCACAGTAAAAAAGCAACTCACCCCCCAAAACAGTCCCCGACCGCGGACATCCCCCACGTTCGGATGACCTCCGATGCGTTCTGTCAGCAGTCTCCCCAGGTAGTCGCCCTGAACTCTGACGTTGTCCAGCAGGTTCTGTTCTTGAATTAAGGTCTGGACAGCATACGCAGCAGCACAAGCGACCGGATGGCCCTGATACGTCTGGCTGTGCACAAACCCGCCCGTACCCTGGGTCAGCACATCAACCACCTTCTTCCCCACGAGCAGGGCCCCAATAGGCGCGTACCCGGCCCCCAGACCTTTGGCCACGGTCTGCAGATCCGGAACGACACCCTCCTGCTCCCATGCATGCAGAGTCCCCGAGCGCCCCATGCCCGACATGACCTCGTCCATGATCAACAGGGCACCGTGGCGGTCGCATACTGCCTTGATCGCTGGGAAGTAGCCCGGCACAGGAGAAGCGCAACCAAGTGTCTGTTCTATCGGTCAGCGCCCCTCAGTCTGCCAAATACACAGTCTAGCCAAGCCGACACTTACAGCCCCCGTAATCGTCTCCGCGAGAAAAGCGCAAACGGTGTTCGGTCCAACGGCCTGAAACTCCCTTTCCAACTCATCCGCCAGCCGCTGAACATAGCGCTCATCACTCTCCCCGGGTGTCTTACCTCGGTACGGGTAGCACGGCGACACATGGGAGACATTCTTGGACAGTATGTCCTCGTACACCGCTCTCCGTGCTTTGTGGTGTCCCGTCGCGAGCGCCCCCAGAGTGTTGCCATGGTAGGACTGCCTCCGCGCGATGAACCGGGTCCGCTGGGGCTCTCCGCGTTCGACATGGTACTGCCGGGCGATTTTGAGAGATGCTTCGATGGCTTCCGTACCTGCATTGTTTCACCTTAGCTTGGTTGTTTGTCACGTATGAGGAGTGCGCATACCGGAGCTAACGATGAAGGTCTTGGTCATCTCGCCATTCGTGGACTCAGTGAGAAAGGTTGCGATGCGCTCGGCAGCCGGAGTGGTGAAGAAGGGGGAGTAGCAGTACGCCACTTCATCTAGTTGCTGGATGATGGCGTTCTTGATGGTCGGGTGGTTGTGACCGACTGCCGCGACGGCTGCACCGCCTGTCGCGTCGAAGATCTCCCGGCCATCTTCCGTGATGAGGTAGTGGCCTCGGCTGGCGATGACTTTGGACGGGGGAGAGTTGATCTTTGCGTAGAGAATCGAGGAGGGAGTCGCGATCGAGGACTGAGAGCGTAGAGAGGTTAGTGGATGACGGAGTTTGGTGACGGAGCTTCGAGCCTGCGCGCTGATCATGATTGCGTGCGGTCTGTACAATTGTCGAGTTGAGCTTGTATATGTGTCCGGGTGGTGTCTAGAATCACGGTGGAGCTAAACGAGTGGGTATTGATGGCAATTGAGGAGAGTACCAGGATCAAGGAGAGTGAATAAAAGAAGCTGGGACCTTGCAATGGCCAAGGGGCTCGGTGTAAACAACAAATAGGAGGATCCTCAAACGCCGCTGGACTGCATATCAACTCCGACGATAAGACTGCACTGCGGGGATGATACAAGACATGCAGTGCCAGGACCGCTGAACCGCATCTGGAAGGTGCAGAGTAACTCAGCTGATACGTGGCCTTGCAGGAAGGAACTCGATAGGTCCATTCTGCACAGGATTGCGTTCGATCACAGCCAACGCCAACATCGTGGTATCACAGACTCCAGTAGGTGTAGTTGCTATGCTCATTGCCCGTCAATGCTTATCTTATCGTCGATAGCAAACGCAATCACCCAAGCCCCGCATAGACTAACCCAGAGGAGCAGCTTGTTGGAGAAGTGACGGTGGATGCCTTCGTCCGCTTTCAATCGGGGCAACACTCTTTTCTACCCTCAGATCCGCCGGGGATAGCGTCTGTCAACCATCACTCTCCTCCAAGTGGCAGTCAAAGGTAGTACAGCTTGATACACAGCTCTGAACACACCTGTCGATCACGCCACGCCAAGACCTGACCCCGCCATATCGGCCTCGTAGCCACCGTGGCTGAGAAACAACAGATTGATAGCAGAACATACACACGATCAGCTCAATCCAGACCATAGCCATCATGTCAGTAGAATACTTCGATCTCGGGACCTACCACCGCCCCGTCACCACCGCCTCCTCCACCAGCCAAACATGGTTCAACCGCGGCCTCATCTGGATGTACGCCTTCAACCACGAAGAATCCGCCCGGTGCTTTGAGCATGCCATCGAATCCGACGAGACCTGCGCCATGGCCTACTGGGGGCTAGCCTATGCCATCGGCGCCAACTACAACAAGCCCTGGAGCTATTTCGACGAGGTCGATCTCGCCACCGTCGTCCGGCGCGGACACGCCGCCGCGAAGACCGCCGAATCCCACGCTCCCCACGTATCAGCCGTCGAAGCCGCACTCATCCAGGCAATCCAGTCGCGATATCCAGAGGAGACCCCCACCAAGCCATTCTCCGCATGGAACGAGGACTTCGCCCAAGCCATGGAGGCAGTATACCGCGAATTCCCCGATGATCTCGACGTCATCACCGCCTACGCGGACGCGCTGATGAACCTGCACCCGTGGGACCTGTGGGACCTGCGAACCGGCGCACCCACCGAGGGCGCGCCCACGCTCACGATCAAAGCCCTGCTCGACCGCGCTTTAGCCCTGCCCACTGCCCTCCAACACCCGGGGCTTCTCCACCTCTACATCCACCTCATGGAGATGTCCCCCTCACCCGAATCCGCCCTGCCCGTCGCCGACCACCTCCGCGGCCTGGTCCCCGACGGCGGACACCTGCACCACATGCCCACGCACCTGGACCTGCTCTGCGGCCAGTACACCGAAGCCATCACCTGGAACTCGGCCGCCATCGCCGCCGACGAGCGGTACCACGCGCGCAACGGGGCCGAGAACTTCTACACCCTGTACCGCTCGCACGACTACCACTTCCGCATCTACGCCGCCCTGTTCGCCGGGCAGTCCGAAATCGCCCTCAGCACCGCATCCCAGCTCGAAGCCTCGATCCCCGAGTCGCTCCTCCAAGTGGAATCCCCGCCGATGGCCGACTGGCTCGAAGCCTTCCTCTCCGTGCGCGTGCACGTGCTGATCCGCTTCGGCCGGTGGGCCGACATCCTCGCCCTCGCCCTCCCGGCCAACCAGACCCTCTACACCATGACCACCGCGATAACCCACTACGCGAAGGGCATCGCCCACGCCGCCACGGGGGACACGGCCTCGTGCCGCGCGCAGCGCCAGCACTTCCACGCCGCCGTCTCGCGCGTGCAGCCCTCGCGCGCCCTCTTCAATAACAAGTGCGCCGACATCCTCGCCATCGCCGCCGCCATGCTCGACGGCGAGCTCGCCTACCGCGAGGGCGACTTCGAGGCCGCCTTCACCGCCCTCCGCAACGCCATCGCGCTCGAGGACAATCTCCCCTACGACGAACCGTGGGGCTGGATGCAGCCGACGCGCCACGCGTACGGGGCGCTGCTGATGGAGCAGGGCCGCGTCGCGGAGGCTGTCGCGGTCTACGAGGCGGATCTGGGGATGACGGATGCGCTGCCGCGGGCGCTGCGGCATCCGGAGAATGTGTGGGCGTTGCATGGGGTGCATGAGTGTTTTGTGCGGTTGGGGAGGGTCGAGGATGCGGAGCGTGTGGAGGGGCGGATGCGGGCTGCGGTGGCCGGGGCGGATGTGCCGGTGCGGGCGTCGTGTTTTTGTCGGTTGGAGGTGGTGAATGGGGAAAAGGGGGAGGGGGGGTGTTGTCGGTAGGGCTCGCGGTATCTGCTCTTGGATTGGGAGGTTGGATGAGGGTTATACTGCATTTTCATGCGGGGATTGGGGAGGTGTGTATACCACGGAGCTATATCGTTAGGTGAGCTCTTATCCCTGCTGCACTTGCTGCATCACGTCAACACCCTAAGTAGATGTCCCCATCCTGCCATCACTCTGAGAATCGCCACCTGGCAGAAAGCCACCCTACACACCAAGAAAAGAACCAAATCAAGTCCCGCCAACCAAATAAAATTACTATGTCCGTAAATAAATGCCAAGGCCGACCTTCAACAAATCGATCCCAAGCACACTTATAAGACGAGAACAGATTTTCATCGACTTGACACACCAACCACCCCTATCCCCTTACAAGCTAGTCCGCTGAACCGGGACAACGGCTTAAGCCTCCTCCTCGTAGATCTCCTCGCCCTCGCCCTCGTAGTGGTCGACGCCCTCGCCATCGGAGATGGACGCATCCTGGTACTGCTGGTACTCGGACATCAGGTCGTTCATGTTGCTCTCAGCTTCAGTGAACTCCATCTCGTCCATGCCCTCGCCGGTGTACCAGTGCAAGAAGGCCTTGCGGCGGAACATGGCGGTGAACTGGGTAGCAACCCGGTGGAACAGCTCCTGCACGGAGGTCGAGTTTCCAACAAAGGTGGCCGCCATCTTCAGGTTCTTGGGGGGCACGGAGCACAGCGCCGTCTGCACGTTGTTGGGGATCCACTCCACGAAGTAGGTCGAGTTCTTGTTCTGCACGTTGCGGACCTGGTCCTCCACTTCCTTCATGGAGACCTTACCGCGGCTGGTTGGGGGGAGGGGGATTAGCATTGGTTGGTCGAGGGCGAGGGTTCAGGGATTTAGGAAGAAAGGGGGCAGGACATACAACAAAGTCGAACAGGTCAGGAAGCGACCGTTCTGGAAGTTGGCGTTGGTCATCATGTTGCGGGGATCGAACATCTGCTGGGTGAGCTCGGGCACGGTCACGGCGCGGAAGGAGTGGGCGCCGCGGCTGGTCAGGGGCGCGAAGCCGACCATGAAGAAGTGCAGACGCGGGAAGGGGATCATGTTGACGGCCAACTTGCGGAGATCCGAGTTCAGCTGGCCGGGGAAGCGCAGGCTGACGGTGATACCGGACATGACGGCGGACACGAGGTGGTTGAGGTCGCCGTACGAGGGGGAGGACAGCTTCAGGGTGCGCTGGCAGATGTCGTACAGGGCGTCGTTGTCCAGACAGAAGGTCTCGTCGGCGTGCTCGACCAGCTGGTGCACCGACAGGGTGGCGTTGTAGGGCTCAACCACGGTGTCGGACACCTTGGGGGAGGGCATCACCGAGAAGGTGGCCATCATGCGGTCGGGGAACTCCTCGCGGATCTTGGAGATCAGGAGGGTACCCATACCGGAACCGGTACCACCACCCAGGGAGTGGGTGATCTGGAAACCCTGCAGGCAGTCGCAGTTCTCGGCCTCGCGGCGCACCACGTCCACCACCTGGTCGACCAGCTCGGCACCCTCAGTGTAGTGACCCTTGGCCCAGTTGTTGCCGGCACCGGACTGGCCGAACACGTAGTTGTCGGGACGGAACAGGCCGCCCATGGGGCCGGAGCGCAGAGCGTCCATCGTACCGGGCTCCAAATCAACCAGCACCGCGCGGGGCACGTACTTGTTGTTGCCGGCTTCGTTGAAGTAGACGTTCATGCGTTCCAGCTGGAGGTCGGAGGAGCCATTGTATCTAGGAAGGATGTCAGAAGGGGAAGGAGTCGAGTGCCCGCGGGATCACTGACACGCCGTCGCCGTCGAGGCCATGTTCGCCGGAGATGGTCTGCCTGGTGGGTGTTAGCCATGGTGATTGGGGTTGTTGGTGAGATGTAGTCAAAGTTGGGGCTTACCAGAAAGCAGAACCAATTTGGTTACCCTGTAGAGAGGGAGTTCGTAAGTACAGTACTAGGGAGACGACTGGCAGTTCCCGAATGGGTGCAACGTACACACTGGCCGGTTTGGAGGTGAACCTAGATGTGGGGAGGCAAGAGTTAGCATTTCGTGTTTCAAGCGATCGATAAGCTCAAGATGAACAAGCCGACTCACGATTTCACGCATGATGAGTTGATGGTGAGGGTATTTGGGGGGGGGGGGGGGGGGGGAAATTAGGGAGGAAGTGGGACTGGGGGGGAAAACAAGTGGAAGGAGATCCGGAGGAGAGAAATGAGGAGAAAAGGTTGAGGCACGGAGGTTGAGCGGTCAGTCAGTCAGACAGACAGACAGAGACTCAGAACTGGCCACTAGCTCTGGCTTGGCTGGTACCTAACTGGAAGTAGAGAACCTAACCCAAAGCTAAGCTAAGCTGGATTGTTTCCCGTGGAAATACTCCTAATTCGCTCCGTGTGTGTGATCAGTGCAATGTGGGATGACCGATAAGGGTATTGGATATTATTGATCACGTGGGCACAATTATCGAAAACATCAACAATCACACTACGCTAACTGTTCTGGTGCTTAGCGGCACCGGTGCCGCTCGGCCCGGTCGCTCCTTTACCCCTTAACAATCTTAGCATTTTAACATAACATTCTGACAGCTCAGTTCTGCCCATCGGGCGGAACATCAAGCCATACCACCGCCCAATTCACCTGCGAACAGTCCCAACTAGGACGTATATTGGGCTCAGCGAGATATCCAACTTTGAGTATGATCACATGTTGCCCTCAGATCCTTAAATTCATTCCCATTGCCTCTACACGCGAATCCTTACTCCGTACTCCGTAGATTGTTTACCCTTCCAATTTCTTTCTCAGATTGCCAATCCTGGACCCTTGCGTCAGCCGCGCATAATGGCGGCTAGTCTTGTCTTCCGGCCACTTATTTTTCATATCAAAACAATTTAACCCTTTCAAACGAATTTTGTGTCCATAAAATTGTTCGGTTTGGAGAGCATCACCATTTCTAGACGACCAATCAGACACTTCGAACCACTATCGGCAGAAAACAACTCTAAGCCATGAACTACTAGGTATACTTGCTCAAGGCTGCCGATAGAAACTAAAAAGAGAGGATTTCATAGTAGAAATACCATTCTACCTCGCCTTCCACGTCCTCGCCTTCTCCTTCTCCATCCTCATAAGCAAGACCTTTTCAAACTCCTGAAGCTGCCGAAGGAATTTCCGGAGAAACCGGGTACCCGCATCATCGTTGTCGTCCTGCTGTGCGATGAAGAGCTGTAGTTTGCGCACACAATACAGAGCCTCCTCGATAGTGACAAGTGGTGCTTTCTCTGTGCCGAGCATTGTTATATCAAGGACGATGTTCACCAAAATCTCCTTATATCGCGAGTCACGTGGTCCCAATATCGTTATATCGGAACGGTGACTGTAGACAGTTCTCCGCTAATGTGGCTGGGTGAACCAGGCTGGAAATCATTGTGGCGATTTGAGAGGGGGTTTGAAGCGGCATTGGGCAATGAACTTTGGCAGGCGTATCATGGATCATGTAGCGTGGAACAATCTAAGCCAAGTACTGACTTGTTATTTTTGATTTAGGATCTCCGCTGCATATACTGAACACTATCGTCTCTTGTGTCCCACCAGGAATGACGAAAAATTGGCATTAAGAGTGTGAATGTGCGCTCCTTATACCTACAGCCTCTCGATATTTTGTCCAACTACCTAGGCTCAATGAACTTCCATGCCGAACCTTTTTTTTATGCCCCGGTTCTACCCTAGATAGACACTAATCAGACGGACACAGGGACTTAAAAAGCTAGAATTCATGAACCGATCTTATCCTTGAATGGAAAATCACACTCTTTTATCCCTAGGCCCGATCCATACCGCCGTGCTAATAAGTAGCAGGCATAACACTCAACCGACCACCATCAGTAAGCACACAATTCCCATTACAGTACGCCCCAGCGCGCGAGGCCAAATACAACAGCGGGCCCATGATATCCTCGGGGGTACCAGCGCGCTCAGCCGGGATTTGATCCAGCGGGAACGCCCCTTCCTCCGTGGGGCTCTTGCCATGAATCAGGTCCGTCGTCAAATCGGTTGGAAACACTGGCCCCTATTGTCAGCATATTGTCCTCGACTTGTGATTTTCCTCCTAAACTCTCGCTTACATCCAGGACAAAGCACATTCGCTCGGATCCGATACGGCACCAGGTACGTCGCCAGCACCTTCAACAGCATCGTGGTCGCGGCCTTGCTGGCTCCGTACGCGAACCCCGCCGTGATGCGTCGATTGAAGCTCCCGATACTGCTGGTCGCGATCACCTGACTCCGACAGCCCTTGCGGGCGTAGTCGTTCTGGGTCTGGTTCCCTGCATCGAGCAGTCCGAGGAACGCAATGGCCGTGTAGAACACGGCCGTGCAGTTCACGTGGAAGGTATTCGTGAACTCCTGCATGGAGATTCGGAGCAAGGCCTCCTGCACCTGCGGGATGCTCGACCCAGAAGGTACGCTCCCCGAGGGCCCGGCGATGCCGGAGTTGGCAACAAGGAGATTGATATAGCCGATGTCTTTCTCGATGAATGCGACCGCGGATTTTAGGGCGTCTGGATCCGTGACATCGCACTGGATTGGGATGATGTTGTCTTGGCCCTGATAGCAGTTAGGAAAGACGATTGTTTGGTGTCGGGGGTTTGCAAGACGGACGATTTCAGCCACCGCTTGATCCAGGATATGTCTCCTTCGTCCAATGATGTAGACTTTCTTTGCACCGTTGGTTGCTAGTGCCCGCGTCATTTCCAGGCCGAGCCCTTCACAAACGCCCATTAGCTTGCGATGAATGACGATGTCCAGTCTTGCGGGTTTGCGCGCTTACCACTTCCGCCGCCGGTCACTACCGCGACAATACCCGTCACGTCGAAGAGGTTTGTTATTGAGCTAGTTGCGGCCATAGTGCGAGAGATCCGCCGGAGTCAATGACGGGAAGCAAGAATCTAGAGGACAATCACCGCGAGGTTGGGCTGTTGCAGCCGTCTTGGATCGCGATACCTTCTTATATGCAGAAGAGCAATTCATCCTGCCCGATTAGATCCATCATATGCTGCAACTTGGGGACTCCGCGGCGGAGGGTTTCGGTATCACATTCCAAGATGGGGTCAACTGCGCGGTAGGTATAGACCCCTCCGCTCTGCCCCTCCGGAAGCGCTTGCCAATTTCGGCACCGCTGCTGAATGGGAACACGCCTGACGCATCTCCCATGTAATTGGGAGGCAAACCTTAGTTTCTCATCGAGTCGGGCACATTTTCCGACTGTCTGGCGTTGCTTATGGATATCGGTTTCAAATATCTCACCAGTGTGGCCAGAAAAATGTTTGTTGTGATCTCGGGAACACCGATGGTACCTGAAGCTTTCGTTTCGGCCTGGTTTGGTTTATAATTCCAGCAGGCTTCTAGGGACTAGGGACTAGGAAGGTCTTCCAGAACCTCCTTGCAATTAGAATGGGGGCATCGGTTGACCTGAGGAAGGAATGTCCAGTGAATCCGTCTACTTCCATTGGTCGACGCAGAAAATCTATCATCATCTGAGCATCCGAAGAGGGGCAACAATTTACTTTACATGAGTTTACTACCTAGAAAACAATCATTCACTATCCCAAAGAGCCGAAACCTCTTCGCAAAACACTAACCACGTCTCCGTGAGCCCCAGGACCCTGCCCCCCTTCCCCTCACAACAACCTCAAACCCCGGAATCGATCTCATTCACAAACTCCTGACCACTGAAAACCGCCCACTCATGACACGTCTTCGCCAGGGAGGCGGGGATCTTAAGCTGCTGGATCTTCTCCGGTTGTTCCTAAAGACAGTCCCTCAGTCAGTAGCTATTCATCACCGCGCCAGAAAGGCCATCAGCACTCGCATGGAACAGGAACAAACAGACAATAATATTCAACGACAGCCCCATGCTGACATGATACGACATGTGACAATGCAGCGGCCACACGCCCGGATTATCCAGCTCCCATTCCAGCACGACATACGCGGGATTCTCCGGGGTGCCCGCCTGCATCATCTGCGTGTCTCGCCGCTGCGGATTCGCAGGGTTCACCACGACACCGTCCCACGTTCCTCGACCCTCGGCCAGGACCCAGAAATTATGGCCGTGTAAGTGCAGCGGGTGGTGCATGGGGTAGATGTTGTTGAAGATTAGGCGCACGCTGGAGTTGGCGCCGGAGTTGTAGGCGTTGGCGTTGGCGTAGTAAGGGTCGGAGAAGTTGCCCGTGCGGCCGAGGAGGAGGAGCGGGGCGTTGTAGTTGGCGCGGAAGGTCGCGTTGTTCATGTAGAAGAGGTAGTGACCTGTTGCGTTCTGGGCGAGGTTGATCTCGATGGTTTCGGTCGTGGAGGGGGTGCCTGGCGGGGTGAGCGGGTAGTATGGGACGGTCTGGTTGAGGGGATCCCCGGCGCAGTTGTTGCTCTGCCAGACGGCGGTGCTGGTGGTGTTGGGCCAGGCGGATGGGTCGGCGTCTTCGTAGTAGATCGCTGCGGTGACGGTTGGGTATGTTGCGGTCGAGTTGAGGCAGTCCATGTCAATGGATGATCGCATCCAGTAGGCATCGCGGGGGCTGCCGGTGGCCTTGACGAGGACGTCGGTGCGTTGTCCGGCGCCTAAGGTGACGACGTCCGTGTTGTAGGGCTTGACGGGGATGAAGTCGTTCGCGATCACGGTCATCGTATGGCCGTCTATGCTGATCTTCTGGTTAGCGTTAGATCCGGTGTTCAAGAGCCTGAGTCGGTGGACTTTGCCGCTTCTGAAGCTGAAGCGAGAGAGACTGGCGCCGGGGCTGCAGTCGGTTCCGCTGCAGTTGTAGATGCCACGGCCATTGATCAGGTTGTTGTCCACATTCGGGATCACGGGTGGCCTGGAGAAGATTTCCACCAGATTTGACCAGTAGTCGTGATGGTGATATTCTGAGATCATGATGGGCCCAAGGTCGTAGTCGTAGTTGGCGTGGTTGGGACCGTGAACAATAACCGGGCCAAAGACGCCATCGGTCAATTGAGCACTATAGTGGGAATGATACCATCCAGTCCCATATTGATCAGCCTGGAAGGTGTAGGTGAAGCTGGATCGAGGCACGATGGGGCATTGCGTGACACCAGGTACTCCGTCCTCCCAAGGAGTGCCTTTCTGCGTGATTCCGTGCCAGTGCATGGCCAGGCCTTCCTCTGTTCCGGTCTTTATCATATTATTCACTGTCACGGAGATTGTATCACCCCAGTTTGCCTCGATTGTTGGCCCGGGGAATTGGCCGTTGATCAACATGGCGCTTTTCCTGTACCCATCTGGTGCAGTTATGTCGCGCATGACGGTGAAGTTATAATGACGCGTTACCCCGGTATCGGGGGGAGGTCCTAACGGAGAGACGTCTCGCCATGGTGGGTATTGAGTTACCCCCTGAGTTGAATCAGTGAGCCGTCGTTTCCAGGGACCTTGGTGTCTGACTCGATCATACCTCGTCCTTGATGAAAGGGGGAAGATATTTGGTAGGTAGTGTACCGTAAGGATATAGGCCTTGGGTAGAATTGATGTCAGCTCCCTTGCCAGTTGGAGACAACCGAATACAACATTGGAATAGCGCAGGGAGCATGATTGATCCTTACTATTTTCTTCACTGATATTACAAGCTGCACTGATGGCTGTTGCACCACGAAGGAAAAAGGGTAACCAAGGCACCATGGTAAGTCACACGAAACGTGGTCTCGAAAATCAGGGCTAGCACTGATGGACTGAAAAGGGCATATCACACTACATCAATCCTCAGAAGGGCGCAGCGGCAATTATGTATCTTCAAATATGGTGAACTATCTCCTCAGCGAGAGCTATGCTCAAAGGCAACAGACAAGACAGTCCCTCACATTGTCACTATTTACTGCCTAAACACAAACTGTTTGCTACGGTATTGCTTTTGATGAAGACAGATATTGCTTATTGTCATGGGTTCGAGATGCATGAGCTGGCAAGGCTACATGATGGACTAGGTAATCCAGAGCATGGCTATCGGGGGCTGTAGAAGTGTGCGCTGAGCATGCTGCTTTTTGGTCGCCGACCACGCTCCCAATTGAGACAACCGTCTGAGGGTGTGATTTTCACGTTAGTCAAGCACCATCATATAAGGCTGCAAGAGGGCTTTGACGGTGGCCGAGACTGCACACCCTGACAGACACAGCATTAGCTCTAGATACGGCCCGGTTTTCCCAAGGCAGCTTGCAAATCGTTTGACAGAAAGATGCAAGCAGCTCGTCATAATTGGGTGAAGGCATGTCTCTCCTAGGATTGGCCTACTGATTCTTTTGGAGTACGCACAATACACCTTTTCTCGAACAAGCTATCCTGGTGCTTCGGTCTAAAGCAGAATGGCTTGGCACTCTGGCATCGGACTTACCCAGTCGGAAGATTGATTTGCATGTTTAAATCACCTCGGAGACGAACATCCTTGTCTCAAGGTCTCACAGGCGTCTTCTTATCTGGTTGCCCGTGCAACTTTATCACATGGCCTCTTGTGCCACCTTAACTCGGCCGGGAAACCACAGGGAATACAACTGCAGGTTATGGTACCCGGAAGAGATTTTCTTCGGTGCCCAATCGCACTGAAACCGTCGAGAATTTGTTTTCGACATGGTGAAAGCTTTCTTTGATGATGTATGCTGGCTATATGATCCGCATATCCTGGCAGTAGTCCAGCCAACCAACCTCTATCGACATAGACTGGCTGGAAGCCCACAGAACGCTGGTCTGGGCTAAAATTTCGGATCTCTAGTTTGACTCAGGGATCTAAGATTAGACAGTAAGACGCCTTGAGCCGAGCCCTGCTCCAGCTTCTTCGTCACTAACCACTTCTAGAACTGACTTCCTGATATAGCCAGTCCCTCCAACCCTGATCGCTGAGGATCGATCTTACCCGAGCCTCCAGCCACTCTGTATTTCCCCAGAACCCCCAAGAGGCCTGGAATCTGCACCAGTCCACAAGTGCCGTCTCCCAGTGTCGTCGAAATGTCTTCCACGGGTACATGTCTGACTCCTGACCCTGGAGGAGCCGCGCGCGATACCCCTCCAGCAGCCTTTTCTCCCCGTCCTGCATCGGCAGCTGCTCGGGCAGATAATCCTCGTCTTCAACCAGCATCTCGAGCGGGACCGAGCACGTAAACAGCTTGGCGAGATCACACACCCCCAGGCCCAGCCCGACGTACTGGAAGTCAAAGAAGGCGACCCGCTCTCCACTGTCCGAGGTGAACAGGTTCTCCGACTTGACGTCCCCATGGATATACGACTCCGTCGGCCTCCCGCAAGGCGTCAACACCAACGCCACCATCTCAGCCACAGACAAGGAGAAGCCTTCGGGTGCGCTGCACAGCGCCTCGGACCACTCCGAGTCCGTATCATCGACAAGAGAAGCGTACTCCTTCCTTCGGGTGGCAAGGTACGTATACCCACCATTCAACCACAACCCACTGCCACCTTTTTCATTCCTGCTCTGCCTTCTCGTAGCTTCCTCAAGCGGCGGCAGAACCAATTCATCCCTGCTACCCGACAACAACGCCCACGACCGACCGTGAAACCCAGCCAGCCAGTGCAGCGCCGCGCGCACCTGCGTACTGCTCAGAGAGCTCCTCTTGCCCCCGGCCACCGGATATGCGGGCCGCAGATCCACCATGATGGTAGCCATCAGGCCCCGGAGCTCATCCTCGCCAGGCCTACCGGCCATATCGCGCGTCGAGGCCAGACACTTGGCCACGCCGATCTCGTCGCCCAGCCGCGGCACCACCTCGCTGTAGAAGCACTGCTCGACCTCGTAGCTCAGCATCTTGCGCAGGTGGCCCTCATCCTGGGTGCCGGCCTTTGTGCTCGGCGGGGAGATGAGCTTTAGGATGAGCGGGTAGGTGCCCCCGGCGCCTTTTGAGTCCACTCCGCAGAGCTGGGCGAGATGGGCGGCGGCCTCGGAGGTGGTGGCGCGGGCGGAGATAGCGCAGATGTGGCCGTACCCTGCCCACAGCGTTTGGAGGGTTGAACATGACACGAGCTCGAGCGAGAGCCAGGACAGCATGATGCTGGCGACGCGTGAAGGAGATGGCGTCATCTTAACTGGCCTGGTTTGATCAGCCAACGGCGGCGCTGCAATATGTATGGATATTTTTGTTGATATCGCTCTAGCTTCAATTGGGTAGGAATTGAGATGCCATCGATGGGATCGGTGGGGAGCATGTTATGCGGATGCATTGCTTAGGTCAGCGATAGCTTGACTCGCACACCATTGGATAATCCCGGATTAATGCAGCACAACTTGTGCTGTTTGCTCGGTTTGTTTATTTCGCGGATACAGAAAGGCTAATCCTAATCTGGACTAGCTGCACATATTCAGGTGTTTCCATCATGGTGAGGGTATGAGGTAGTATATAACTGTAGGTACTTAGGTAAACACTTGATTGTCCACCTGGTCCAGGTGATGCTCGCACATACTAGGCTATACAAGCTTGAAAGATGAGAGATCAAGCCAGCTGGTCTTCACGAGGGTGAGAGAAAAGACATGCTTAGATGGCTGCCATCCGCAAGCGACCACCGGGGATATATCCCTCACCAGTGTACCCGTAAATCAAGACTGACAACTCCTTACTACATGCTCAAGTTGTATGAGGCACTTCTTTGCAGCGCTGCGTTGACTGAAAGCAAGTCGAGGAATAATATTCTGCAGAAAAAAGTCACGGCTTTGATGACTACCTCCTTCGGCATAAAACAAGACCCCAGAATTCCTATGTAGAATCCGCCAAGCACCGCCCCGGCTCCCGCCTCCGCCCCCTTGCATTAGTTCAATTGAATCCTCCCTCCATCAAGCTTACACCCACGCAGCGATACCAGCCCAACGCATGGCTGCGAGGTACCTATCGGCCATACAGAATGGCATACCCCTTACCAAGTCTATCCTGATCATCTCACGAGTAGTAGTCTTGCACGGGAAACGTGCATTATGTTCCCAGCCACACACCAACCCCAGACGATCCCTCTGGGAGGAAGAGAGGCTACCATTCTATAAGCCCCAACAGTTCTATCCTGTACACGTCGGTGAGATCCTAAACACACGATACCAGGTGGTAGGCAAGCTAGGTTACGGCTCTTACTCCACTGTCTGGCTATGTAGGGACAAAAGGTTCGTCGCTTAACAAAACGATAAAGGGTACAGTTGAGCAAAAAACAGTATTGACCTAGCTCTACACAGTGAAAGCAAATATGTAGCCATCAAAGTGCTCACCAACACCAACTCTCCGCGGGCGCTGTCCGAGATCAGGATCTATGACCATCTGAGCAGGCTGAATTCTTCCCACATCGGAAGTGCCTACGTTCGTGGCTTGTATGATACTTTCAGCATTCCTGGCCCAGACGGTACTCACCAATGCTTGGTGCATCCGCCCATACATCTGTCGCTGAACGAACTGCGGATGCTCTCTACGTCCAGACGGCTCAGTGAGCCGCTGCTCAAACAAACCCTGCTTTGCATCCTACAGGGTCTAGACTTTCTCCACCGAGAGGCCGGGGTGGTCCATACTGGTGCGTTCCGCGCCATCTATCCCAAAACTTTCAAATAACCTGAACCACGACAGACATCAGAGCTTCGAATATCATGCTCAGCATTGACGATGACTCGATGCTCAGGGATTTTGAAAAAGCCGAGCAACAAAATCCCAGTCCACGGAAGGTGATAGACGATAACCGGACAATCTACACTTCCCGGAAGCTCCGCCTCCCCAAGGACATCCTATGGGGACAGCCGGTTCTTTGCGACCTGGGACAGGCCAGGATCGGCCATTCTCACAGGGGGATCATTCAGCCGGAGATCTACCGAGCGCCCGAAGTACTATTCGATATGGATTGGGCCTCAAGTGTTGATATTTGGAGTCTTGGTGCGATGGTAAGCGGAACTCAATCGTAAGAAGCACATGTGGGTCTGACTTGGTGTCAGGTGTGGGATGTTTTCGAAGACAGACATCTGTTCAACGCGCTCGACGAAGACGGAGATTTTTCCCCCTCGCATCATGTGGCTGAGATGGTGGCGTATCTCGGGCTGCCGCCTTTATCTTTCGTGCGACGGAGCCAGGAGACTCACCATGTTTTTACAGATGATGGTGAGTTTTCCTTGTTTGGTGGGGGGTCGTACTGACGAGTATATGATAGGTAAATGGCTGGGTGCGGGAGGGGTCACTGTCCCTGCAACTTCACTGCATGAGGTAGAGGAGAACCTTACCGGAGAGAATCAGCAGCTGTTTCTCGATTTTATACGGTCGATGCTGCAGTGGACCCCTGAAAAGAGGAAGACAGCTCAGGAGCTGCTGGACGACCCCTGGCTGAATTCAGATCCATAGTAATACTCCCCTGAAGCTGTATTTCTATTTAACTAGGTACTCATTTATTCATTACAATGGAACCATACTCCCCCGCGGATAAACCCTCCGATCTGACTCCCTCCAACAAAACAACCCCTCCAACAAAATCAACCCCTTCCCACCCACCGCTCCTTAACCCTCTGCGTAAACGCAATAAACTTGGCCACGCCCACCGCAGCCTCCACATGACCCTCCGGATCCTCGACCTCCTCCGGAAACGCAATCCCCACGCCATACAGACCCCTCACGACTACCCCCTCGAGCCCCTCGAGCCCCACGACCCTAAATCCCGAGGACCGCATATCAAACACCAAGTCCCCATCCACCCTCCTCCCCTCCACCAACACCCTCGGGATCGGGTTCCGTTCATACCCCACCGCCCAAACGACATGCGTACACCGCGGCAACCACTCCTCAAACGCTGCCTCCTCATCCTCCCCATCATCCACAAACTGCACAATTCCCGAATCCGGGGATTTCTCCAGCACCTCGCGCGCCCACTCAGCCGTCGCGCCCTTGAGGCCCGTGTTATCGAAGATGATCCCCTCGTCCGTGTAGATGGCGTACTTGATGGGGCGGCGGTGGAAGTTGATGATTTTTACGGAGTGGTCGCCGGCCTGCGCGAGCTCGTAGAGGTTGCGCACGACGAGGATGCCGGAGTGGGAGTTGCCGATGACGGCGATGGTGGAGGGGTGGTTGCGTGGGAGGAGGTCGGGGAGGAGGGAGCGGCGCATGCAGGTGTCGAGGTCGAGTTGGTGGAGGTTCCGGTTGTGGTTTTGGTGGGTGGTTGGGGTGCGCGGGTGGGAGCCGGTGCTGAGGATCGTGCGGTGGGATTTGATGGGGGTTGGGGAGGGGGGTGTGGTGGTTAGGGTCCAGATATTCTTCTGCCGTTGGAGTTAGCGCAGCTCTGGAGTTCTGTTCTTGGTTTCGAGATATATGAGAGTGTAGGGGGTGAAAGGGCGGGAAGGGGAGCCTACGTCTAGACGCGCTTCCTCGACTTGAGCTGTCAGCTTTTCGACCTCTGGACGAGCGAGCAACCCCTCGATTAGCATGCAGATCATGTCGCCGGCGACGCTGAGCTGGCAGGTGGAGTTGTGGTCCATGGATTCGAGTTTGGTGACTGCGTTGGGGGACGGGGTGGAGTCGATGATGGAGCGCAGGGTTTGGGAGGAGTTGATCGCTTTCAGGTAGATTGCGACGGTCGTGTTTCTGGATGAGTTTGTCAATTAGCATGGTGAACATTCCAATTCCTTATCAGTATGATTGGGAGATCTTACGATGAGATCTCCCGGTACAGGCCGTTCAATCGTCCTCCCTGCCAGGCGGGATCAACCCAGAGGACCTTTTGAGCTCCCGCGTCTAGCAGGGCTGCTACGGTGGACATGCCTCCGGGGCCGGCGCCTACGACGACGGCGTCGTATGTTGACTTCATCTTGGTGCTATTGAACATGCGTCGGATCTCGTCGAGGAATGTTGGATGAGATTCAAAGGCGGAATGATATCCTGCTTTTCTCTTGGTAGTGACTGATACAGGGTATTTGCGGCGAATGAGATTATGACATCATCGCGGAGCACTCGGAGTTCGCAGACTTCCTTGAATACAACCAACACGCATACAACTCTGGTGTTTCACAGCTTGAATGAAGCTCAGACACACCTTACCTTATACTGCCAGACCTCATGTCTGGGCATGCAAGAGAGTCGTTCCACTGGCGCAGAACAAGGGACTGGAAGAGCAAACAGTCCCCGAGAATGTGGGGGCGAGCCTCAGTCGCCGGCCTTGGCGGCTCTCGGTGTTTGCAGGCCCAGATCTATACTGTACACCAACACTGACAGTATATAACGCGTTATGATGATCAGGATGTGACAGGTAGTTAATGCCTTGTGACTGAATTTACTATGTTGTTTGTTGTGTTTGTCGGCTCTTTGTCCGATCTCCGACTACTGCACCGACAGCGCATTACTGACACAGGTTGGTGTTGATGTACTTGTTGTGTACCTCCTGAAAGATTTGCCCTTGTACTTTGTAGTTACCGACCAAGTACACTACCTGTTTATTCTAGAATTCACCGAGAAACGTGCTTGTGTAGCACACGCAGCCTAAAAGGTTGGGCCCCTGTAGTACACCCGGGGGTCACTGCACCGGCCCTGATTTCCCAATTGGGAGGGATCAGATAAGCCTCGGGGATAAGATGTGGGGTCAGCCTCAGCCCACTCCACTCATCCCACCAAACTTCTTCACCTCCCTTGCCAAACTTCATCCCAAACAAGACAGTCCCTTGGCGCCAAGCACACGATCAACATGGCTGAATCAAACGTGCAAAGAGACAAGCCCGCCGAACAGTACAGCTGGTACCAGCCCGACCTGGCGCAGGTCAAGGAGCCCGCCCGGACTCTGCTGGCCGAGTACAGCAAGATCCCCGAGGAGAGGATCATCGACCATGTCAAGGAGGTGGTGAGTGAGCGCCGAACCCTCAAGAGTATCCATAATCTAACATACAGTTTCACAGCGCGATCGCGCCTTCGCCGTGGTAAGCCACCCTCCTCCTCTTCAGGTCATCATTGCTGGCACTCCACTAACCAACCACCCAGTTCCCCTACCCCTGCATCGGATCCTTCCGCTTCCTCGACATCACCATCTGCGCCTCCCCAGCTTACCCGGAGATCCTCTCGCGCCTGAAGTCCTCAAACGAGACATACCTAGACCTAGGCTGCGCGATGGGCCAAGACATCCGCTACCTGGTACCTACACCGCCAACTTCACCCAAACCCCAGGACTAACCTCCACCCCCCAGATCCACCAAGGCGCCCCGGCCTCCTCCCTCTACGGAAGCGACCTGCACCCCGAATTCATCACCCTGGGCTACGACCTCTTCGCCGACCGCACCACGCTCACCTCCGAATTCATCCCTAGCGACATCTTCGACCCCTCCTGCGCATTGCTCGAGCGTCTGACCGGACAGGTCGACGTCATCAACGCAGCCTCGTTCTTCCATCTTTTCGACTGGGACCGGCAGGTGGCGCTAGCCAAGCAGGTCATCACGCTGCTGCGGCCGCAGAAGGGGTCGCTGCTCGTCGGCCGGCACGTCGGGGACTTTGTGGCCGGTGAGCGCGAGGACAGCGAGCTGGGGGCTACCTACTACCGGCATGATCTGGAGTCGTGGCGGCGGATGTGGGCGCAGGTGATGGCGGAGACGGGGACGGAGTGGGAGCTCGACGTGCGGGCCGAGGAGTGGGCGGAGGTCAAGCTGAATCGGTATAATCGGCAGAGTTCGTTTAAGATGGTCTTTGTGGTGAGGAGGGTTTAGTTGGGTGGGATGGGTGGTGAGGTGGAGAGGAAGGGAGGTGGTTGAGGGTTTGGACGGAAGTTGTAGTGAGAGTTGTAGGTGGGAGCGGGAAATAGGCAGATGACAGTTAAGTCGCAGAGATACTGGTCAAGCAGTATCATGTGGAAAATGGTTCATTAGTTGTCCCGTGGTGCGCTGTACTGTGCTATACATAAGGTCCTCAATCACAGAGAGCTTTATCTTATCACCCCAAGGGTTGTCCCCAAGGTCCTTGGACAACACACGTTGATAAGCGATGAGCCAATATATTTCGCACCAAATTCACCATTGTCAATTTCCTTTAGACGAAGACAAAGATGATGCACAGTGATCTGGAGGTCGTCAGCCATGGTCGCCATGATATGCACACTAAAACGAAGTACGCAGACACAACCCGCCGGAGAGCAAAACTGACAACCAGCAGAGCGGACTACCTCGTGCTCCCCCTGCTAGCCACCGGCTTCGCAACCTACCAAATCGACCGGACCAACATCGCCAGCGCGTTGACGGGAGGCTTCGCCTCGGCCATCTCCGTGGACCAGAATACCATCAACCTGGGCAACCAGCTTTTGTTCCTGGGCGTCGTCCTGTTAGAGATTCCTTCCAACATGGCTCTACAACGGGTGAGCCGTGCCCCATCTCCGATCCCAGAAGCTCTATCTTTAACACCATCAGGTCGGCCCCCGTCGCTGGATCGGTGCCCAAGTCTTCATCTTTGGCGTCTTGGCCGCCCTACAGATCTTCATCCGTAATCGGACAGGGTTCCTCATCACGCGGGCCGTGCTCGGCCTCGCGGAGGCCGGGTACATCCCGGCCGCGATGTACACACTCTCCACCTGGTACACGAAGGAACAACTGACGAAGCGCATTGCAATCTTCTTCTTCGGGATGTTCGGGGGCGCAGCGATTGCGCCGCTTCTGGGGGCAGCGCTGCTGAAGCTCGATGGACGGGGCGGGTTAGCGGGGTGGAAGTGGATATTCTTGGGTGAGTAGCCAGTAGGCCGACCCTCATCTTCAATCTCAGGCGTATGAAGTATATCACCGCTAAAACAACGCAGTCGAAGGACTGTGGTCCATCATCATGGCCCTCCTCCTCTTCACGGGCCTCCCGGACCGCCCACCCTACTCCCCCCAATCCAACTCACCCACACCCACACCCACAACCAGCAGCAGCAACAGCGACAGCGACAGCAGCAGTAGTCTCGACAAGCCCACCACCGACAAACCCCCAGCCAAATCCCCAAGCTCGCCCGCAAACGACCGCATCCCCTGGTCCCTCGTCTACAAGACCATCACCAACACCGCCAAATGGCCGCACTTCCTCGCCACCGGCTGTGTCTTCGCCACCTGGAGCCCGCTAACTACCTACACGCCCAGCATCATCATGTCCCTCGGTTTCAACCGCATCCTCGCCAACGCCCTGGCCGCCATCGGCAACCTCATCACTCTCCCGGTCATCTTCTTCTTCGCCTGGCTGAGTGACCGATCCCGGCGGCGGGGAAGTACCGTCCTCCTCGCGATCGGCAGCTACCTCGTCGCGCTGGTGGTGCTGCGCACCGTGCAGCCGCACGTGGGGAGATGGGGGCATGTCGGGCTGTGGACGATGGTCAATGGGCTGGCGGTCGGGTACCACCCGGTGCATAATGCGTGGATTCAGGTGAATTGTGAGTCGGCGGGGGAGAGGAGTATTAGTGTTGCGTGAGTTTGCTTTCCTTTCTGGTGTAAATAGAGTGATGTGCTGATCATGTTGATAGGTTGTGTAAGTTTTGAAGCGGTGTGTGTGTGTGTGTGTGTGTGTGTGTGTTTGTGGTGAGGGTGGAGACTGATTGTTGCTTTCTAGTTGTCATGTCCGCGACGGCGGGGTTGATGGCCGGGAGCCAGATCTTCCGGGGAGATGAGGCGGGTGACTTGTGAGTTACCATGGATCAGAGAAATAGTAAGCGTGCTAATGGGAGATCTAGTTATCCGCAGGGGCTGGTGATTATGATTGCGTTGGTGGCGGTAGGGTTTGTGTTGGTGGTCGTGCAGATGGGGATCTATCGGTGGACTGAAAGACAAAAGGGTATGTCAGTGGAGGAAGAGTGCTGGGAATGGCCCAATCGCATAGATCAGTGACTGTTTTATCTGGTGTTTTCTATCAATCTATCATGGCTGGAAAACTGAAAGAGTGGATGCCTCAGAAATTGACCTCATGTGATCCTGCACGACACCCCCAGTAAACAGACCTTTTAGGGTGTATGGCACGCCTCGGGACAACAAGACGCGAGGCCCTGGTCATCCAAGTCCCCAGGCCTTAGGTTGGTCAAATCCCCCGCATTCTTCTCTCTGGATGCTGGTACTTGAGTGGTCCCTGGTGCCGATGTGGAGGACGAACATGGAGCCGACCCCGGAATTCCCACCTCGGCACTGCAGGAATGCGGGGCCCCGCACGAACCCCGTCAATCTGTGGTGACCCTGCCTGGTCCCTGGCAAGGGAGTGAGTTCCACCTTCAACACATTCTTCAGGCCATCGCAGCTCACTCAAGTGAGGCAAATTCCAAGGGCTACAGTGGGAGGGTGATACTGAAGAAGCTGTGTAGGGTATACTGCATGACAGACACGGAGCCGCTATGAACTGACGACGGAGAGGTTAGTTCTTGTCTCTCCGCTACCTGTAGCTTCTGCAAACTGCTGAATGAGCGATATGCACTTCTTTCTTGGCTACTGCTGCCTCGGTTGATCTCTACCCCGAAGGTAAAACACTGTCGGGATATCCGAGCTTGCACCTTCGCCAAGGCCAGAGAAGTATAAAGACTGAGCTTCGCGATGCGGTCCACAAGTCAAGCAAGAGGCTGAGCAGAGATTCTGAGAACAATGCTGTACCTGCTCCTCCTAGTAGCTTCAGCTCTCATTGTACCTGGGACCTCCGCCCACGGCACCAACGACCAGGTCCTGGCTGACCTCGACTACGGGACCTTCCAAAACCCCTCGAACCTCGTGCGGCCGCGCTTCCGGTACTGGGTCAACGATGCATCTGTCAGCCCCAGCACCGTGGAACAAGACTTGAAAGATATCGCGAAGTCCGGTGCCGGGGGCCTCGAACTGCTGGGATACTACAACTATGGCGACTCCGACAATTTTGGGGGCGGGTTGCAGGCGCCGCTGCAGGCGGACTGGACGGAGTACGGGTTCGGCAGTCCGGCCTGGAGTGAGTTCTCGGTCACCTAATGTGCTTTGATTGTGACAGTTAGTGATATGCTCCAGAGAACCTCTCCCTCACGGTGCTGCGGACAGCGAAAGAGCTTGGACTCGTGGTCGACTTCGCTGTCGGCCCGAACCAAGGGGCCGGGGTCCCGGCGCCATATCACGATGAAGCTCTCCTGTGGGATCTAGCTGCACATAATGCCACTTTCTCGACTACTGATGGCTTTGAAGGGAGGCTACCAGGCTGGGGTACCGGCCAGCTCGTCGCCGCGGTGACGGGGTCGGTCAAGTCATCCAGTGGCAGCGTAAAGGTCCTAGCCACGGACTCCCTGCGTGACGTCACAGGCTCCGTCAGCAGCAACGGACACGTTGAAATCTCATCTTCGCAGTCGGCTACTACAACGGAGAGTCACCTCTTTGCGTACTACCTGGTGCACGCGGATTACCGGGAGGTCCAGAGTCCCGCCGACGTGCCCGTGGCAGTCCCGCAATCCCCCATCAAGACGTGGTCGCAGAACGGCTCCTGGGTGGTGGACCATTTTTCAGTCAAGGGCGCTCAGCTCATGGCCTCCTTCTGGCAGCAGTCACTGCTGGATGAGGAGATGCGGGAGCTCCTCCACGAGGTAGGCAACTACATGTGGGAGGATAGCCAAGAATACAAGGCTGCCACCTGGTGGACGCCCCACCTTCCGCAGGCCTTTCAGGCGAATCGCGGGTACAATATCCTCAAGTATCTTCCCATTGTGGTGGGCTCGGGCGTGCAGTCCTCGAATGTGACATATGTCACGGATGAAGCAGACGAAGGGAAAAGCCATGTGCAGGATTACGAGCAGACCGTGCGTGCATTCCGGCCGATCAAGCTACTAGGGCTAACGTGCCGCAGTTGACGGAACTGAACGCCGAATACCTGAGAGCATTGGCCGAGTGGTCCAACGGCCTGGGGGTCCAATGGTCCTCCCAGGTCGTCTACAACATGCCCATGGACATGCTCGCCAACATCCCCGCCGTCAACGGCCCAGAAACCGAGACCTTGGGGTTTAACAACTTGCTGGATGGGTACCGACAATTCGCGGGCCCGGCACACCTCGCCGGGAAGCGGATTGTCTCCAGCGAAGCGGGGGCGATCATGGGATCCGTGTACCAGGAGACCATCGACGAGCTTCTCTGGGGTCTGAAGCGGTCCCTGGCGGGGTCGGTCAACAACTTCATCCTGCATGGGTGGCCCATGGGCGGAAATTATGGCAACACCACCTGGCCGGGGTTCACGACCTTTGCGTACCTGTTCTCGGAGATGCATGGGCCCCGGCAACCTGCATTCGAGTTCTACTCGGACTGGGTTGACTATGTAGCGCGGAATCAGTGGGTGGCGCAGATCGGGATCCCCAAGGTGGATATTGCGTTCTGGGCGAAGAACACCACTGGGTATGAGTCAATTGCGACGTTGTATGCGGCGAGTGATCTTGAGGATGCAGGTAAGCATTTGCCACAGCTGAATTTGTATGTCTTTGCTAACAAATGTAGGTTACACTTATGAATACCTCAGCCCTGATAACTTCAACCTCCCGGAGGCATATGTCGCCAACGGCATCTTAGCGCCGAACAGACAGGCTTTCAAGGCTCTGGTTGTGCGGGCGAACGAGACGTTGACAGTGAATGGCGTGGCCAAATTGGTTGAATATGCACATGAAGGTCTCCCAATTGTCTTTCCAGGCGGTTTGCCCTCCACCTTCAGTGGATACGATCCCAAGGGACAGGCGCAGGCGCTGCATCTCCTCCAGAACATCACCTCCCTCCTCAACGTCCACCTCGTATCCGACCAAAATCTCGCCCAGACCCTCCAGTCTCTCAATCTCCATCCCCGGACAGCCATCGCAACCAACAACACAGTCCACACCACCTGGCGCTACGACCCCACCACCAAAGCCTCCTACATCTACATCTTCAACGACGCCGCCGGCCGACCCGCGAACAGCAGTACCGCCTCAAGCGGGACCATCACCTTCGCAACAACCGGCACACCACACGTGTATGACGCCTGGACGGGGGCTGTCTCCGGAATCGCCATCTACAACCAAAGCGCCGCGCACACGACCATCCCCATCAACCTAGCAGGCAACCAAACCCTGATCATCGGCTTCCATCATACCCCTAACCCCAACACACCACCACCGCACATCCCCATCCCGAACCTTCAGCATACCACCCTCCCCGAAGCAACACTCTCCACCCAGCACAACCAAACAACCCTAACCCTCAAACGCACCTACTCCACCTCCCCCCTCACCCTCCCGCTCTCCACAAGCAGCAACAAAACCCTCCCCCTAAACCCCATACTCACGCCCCCCATCCAGCTAAAAAATTGGACCCTAACCCTCGAATCCTGGACCCCACCCCCCGACATATACAACATCACCCCCGGCCCAACCCGCACAAACACCACCTACCCCGACCTCAACACCCTCCTCCCATGGTCCAGCCTCAACCCCGCCCTCCAAAACGTGTCCGGAATAGGCTACTACACCGCGACCTTCACCCTCTCGCAAAAGCACACACAGCAAGGCGGGGGCGGCGCGATCCTCGACCTGGGCCGAATCTCGCACGCGGTCCGGGTGAAGGTGAACGGGCAGGCGATCGGGCCGGTGGATCTGAGCGCGGCCCGCAAGGATATCGGGGCGTGGGTCCGAGCCGGCCGGAATACGGTGGAGGTGGTCGTGGCGAGTCCGTTGGGGAATGTGTTGCGGGCGTATTGGGGGGTGGTTGGGAGTGGGGGGAAGGGGGCGGCGGAGACGGCGGCGCTGCCGGGGGTGGCGGAGTATGGGTTGGTTGGAACAGCCTGGGTGGTGCCGTATGAGGTTGTGGAGGTTGAGCTTGGGGGCGAGGTTGAATTGGACAGCTAGAGGCAAGGCAGAAAGTCGATTTACCTAATACAGGCTGTCGGCATATTTCGAAGGCTGTGTTGGGTCTTCTCCAGCTTTTTTTTTTTTTTTTTTTTTTCACTTCCGGTACCCTTTGGAGTATGATATTGATATCAGGAGGCCAATATGTCATCGATGGTCAACATGTCCAGCAGGAGATACAGTAGCAGTTTTTTAAAAGACTCCGAGTATTTCGCCGAGGAGCGATCACGTAGACTAGCTGGCAGTTGATTGATAGATAGGAGAGCATGCCGAAGCTATTACCATCCTACGTACTGTGCCTGTCTTGAGCAGAACAGTGCCTTCTAGTAGTAGTGTGGAGCTTGGTGAGAACAACACCCGATTCAGATTCTGTCTCTCTTGGAATTATGTGCTATTGCTGAAAGAATAATAAGCAGATCAATCAATACCTATCTAGCCATCGGATAGAATGTGTGCTATAGCCCCATGAAGAAGAACAAAAAGTCCGTACCAGCTAACAGGTAACGAGCAAGCAATGTTCACCGACCTCGATAGCAAAGGGGGTCTTGATCATCTGCACATCAAATTCCCTGCTCCATCAGACATGGTTCCCCTCCGCATCATATTGAACTTCTTTGCCTGGGTTCGGGGGAGCCACCAACCCCAGCTGCTGGAGAGCCGTCAACGCCTGCTCCTCGCCAATCTCCTCCACAATCCTGCCGTTTTTCAAGGTGAAAATGGTCGTCCCCGAAAAGTGCACCTGTTTACCCGTATTGGGCTGATCCAGCGTTCCCACCGCAAGGTCGTCAAAGGCTCTCCCGGAATGTTTCCCTCCCCCGATCCAGCGACCGACCACATAGTCCCCTTCGGCGATCAGCGGAAACTGGTAGGCGTGGAAGGAAACATCTGGGAACGCCTGTAGGCGATCGGGATTCAGCCGTTTGTCGCACACATGATGCTAGGTGTTTTGCGGGGAGATCCTACCTCGCGAAACTCGGTGAGCATTCTCTTGGCCGCTTCTTTGCCTCGACGCGGGCCGTGCATGGGATAGTCGATGACGAAGTCGTCGGTGCAGAGTTCGTCCACAACATCGACGTTCCCTTTGCCCCAATATTCGTCGAAGTATCTCTGCACCACGGCCTTGTTTCTTTCCTGCTGGGTGGCCATGGGGTTGATGGTTGGATGGTATGTATGGAGGAGATTCAGAAGGAGCGAATTCTGAAAGTGTCACCTGTGCTTAACTTGACTGGAGCATTTACAGACTCTACGAAGTATCTTATATATCCACGGCACGTTCCCGCACTGCATTAGTCTTCGGCTGGGCAAAAACATTGCGATCAAAGTAGCCAATCGCCTCCCGAGATTACCTCTCGACTTATGTGGTCATTGACTTGGAATTCACAAATCAGATGCCTGTTTGGAAATCTAGGTCCTTCGACGATTTCGCTTTCATCATGGGTCTAGTCCGCTGATCGGATACTAATTCTGGAAATTAGACAGCACAACCTGAGTCTTGCAAGCAACTGTCCTGATTGGTCACTTCGAGAGCAAGTATGCGGGTTGCCGTGGTCATGATTTATGGGTTCCAATGAGTGTTATCATCAGGTGTGCTCGCGATATCTCCACACGGGTCAATATCCTCGCAATGTCTACTCAGACCGCCGCCAACGAATGCTTCAACAGACTTGACATCCTACAATCGGGTCATCTTGCCAGCGCCGACCCTATTCCAGATGTCCTTCGACATGATAGAGTTCGCGGCCAGAATAAGGTTGCCACGTCGTGGTGGTACCATTGTCGGAAACACCGTCGAAAAAAGGAAGAGGAGGCGGTGGGGTGGGTCTCGGGGGGTGCGCAAGTTTTCACCGTCCCAGGGACTCCGAGTCCCCTCGCATCGAAGGCGCAATTGAGCACCTTCTTATCACGTCTGCGACAGCAACCGGATTGGGAGGCTCTGTTTCATCTCATGGTTCCAGGCAGCAGCATATGCACCCTCACGGGGATGTAACCGAGATCAGGTTTCCGTATCTGCCCTTGATCATGACGGCCCCGAGGATCCAGGGTAGTCGACCTGCAGCTTGGCGCATCCAGCGCGAGATGCTGCGGTCTGCGGCTCGTCACTGGATCAAGCCCGTGATGATGCCATTCCCCTTGAAACAGGGCAGGTATAGAGGGCGCCATGGAGAATTCTTTGCCAAGGCAAAATGAGATACAGGGGTATTCTGGTTCATTGGGGCGTGAATGCGCGAATAGCGAAAGCCACGGTGCTAATGCTTGATTCAGCACAGGAACAAGTTATGGGGGACACCCTCGGGAGTAGGGGAAAGAGGCCGGCGGAGTATGGGTTGGTTGCAGTGGGAATACTTGTGCCGTATGGGGCTGGGGATGTTGATCGTGGAGTTGAAGTTGGGTTGGTCAGAGAGCCGGATTGGGGCTTGGGTCTGCTGACTTGCTATCCTCTGCTCAAGATGGACCAGGATTCCATATTAACCCCAGCTGGTTCCCAGAGAACCCGAGAATCTGATGCCCTGGGTTATGGCGTATGCGACACTAGTGACCTGCGGAACGCAGCGATGTTCCTTTTTTGCTTTTCGTTATAATCACTGGTATAGCTATGATGCTTCCTATGTACTGCAATCCCGAGCAAGCCCTCATCCACATATGACACGGATTTACTCCGGAATCTGATGCTCCTCCGCCGCCACCCCGGCATGCCACCGATACTTGGCAGCAGGGTGATCCTCCGGCGGCCCCGCTTGCCCCTTCTTGCCGTACAGATTCTCGCGATACGTGCCGCGCGGGACGGCGTAGTCCTCCCAGAAGAGACCCCGGCTCCGCAGCTCGGGCAGGAGCAGGTCGATGATATCCTTGAACGAGCCGGGTTTGATGGCGTATGCCTGTGCCTGTTAGTATTGCTGTATCCTTACCCTGATGCGGTACCCAGCGAGAGCGAAAGTGTAAGCATACCAAATTGAACCCATCGACATCCGCCTCCGCGACCCACCGCTCCATCTCGTCGGCCACCTGCACCGGCGTGCCCACGGGCGTGGCTCCCAGCCCGCCGACGGTGATATGCCGTCCGACGGTGGACTTGGTCCATTTGGCGACTTCGGGGGTGGCTTTCGACCAGCCTTCCACGGCAGACCTGCACACACCCAGCATATCATTAATGTCCCGCTCACCAATTCCTTGACAGAGAAGATGGAAGGGAAGGGAAATACCGAATCGCATTACTCTGCACCCCGCGCAACTCCTCCTCCTCGCCATACGTACTCAGATCAATCCCCGTCCACCCGCCGAACAACGCCAACGCCCCCTCCACATCCCCGTAGCTCTGATACTCCCTGAACTTCGCCTGCGCCTCCTCCGCCGTCGCCGCGAGGACGGGACACAACAACGCCAGAAATTTGATGCTTGAGCCGTCCCGCCCGAACTGCGTGGCAGCCAGCTCCCTAATCTCAGCGATATTGTTCTTGACGACGGAGGGTGAGTGGCCCGCGACGAAGATCGCCTCCGCGTGCTGCGCGGCGAAGAGCTTCCCGGCCTTGGAGGTGCCTGCTTGCAGGATGACGGGCGTGCGCTGCGGGGAGGGCTGGCAGAGGTGCGGGCCGGGGACGGTGAAGGTCTTGCCGGTGTGGTTGATGGGGCGGACGAGGTCCGGGGAGGTGTAGATGCCTGTGGACCGGGAGAGTTGCACGGCGTCGTCGCGCCAGGAGGATTCCCAGAGTTTGTAAGTCACGCGCAGGTATTCTTCGGCGGTTTCGTAGCGGGTGTCGTGCTGGAGGGGTTGTCAGTGGTTGGTCTGGCGATGGGGTGGGTTTGGGTTTGTTTTAGGGATAAGGGGTAGGTAAGGGTGGGGATACCTGGGGCTGTTCGGTGAGCCCTAAGTTGCGGGCCGCTGAGTCGAGGTACCCTGTTACCACCTATTCTCTGTTAGAACTGTTCCCTGGGACAGAGGGACAGCGGGTAGGTGCATACATTCCAACCGACACTATCAACCCAGTTAGCGAAACGTAAAACACCCGGTAGTAGGTCAAGCAAAGGGAAGCATACCGGCCCTTCGTCAAATGGTCCACCGTCGACAACCGCCGTGCCAGGTGGTACGGCTGCTCGTACGTCGTCGCCACCGTCACCCCGAACCCGATGCTCTTCGTCACCGCCGCCATCGCCGGCACGACCGCCAGCGGCTCGTTGACCGGCCACTGCGCGCCCGAGGCGATCGCCGGCCCCAGATTGCGGGGGCCCTTGTACACGTCGTAGCCGCCTGTTACTTTCTCAGCATTTGATCTCTTGATTTTCCTGAGAAGGAACTTAGGGGAGAGGAGGGGGGTTACCAAGAACATCCGCGATAAAGATGCCGTGGAACTTAGCCGCCTCGAGCAGCTGCGCCAGCTCCGTCCAATGCTCGATGTCGTTAAAGCGGTGCGATTCGTCCTCGGGGTGGCGCCACAGACCTGGGGATTGGTGGCCGCTGCCTGTTGGGAGTTAGCCTCTGTTGAGAGCTGGAGTGTAGGGGAGAAGGGGGCAGACTTACACATCTCAACGAAGGCGTTGAGAATGAGAGATTTGCGCGGGCGCGGGGGCTCGGCGGATGTCATTGTTGTGTTGTGGTATAGTCTCGGTGTTGCTGTAGATGTAAGAATAATAGCCGGACCTTTGCAGAAATGAATGTAGGCAGGACGGGACTGTTTCGAATCCTTTATACTGTCCGGGCGTTGTGCGGTTGATCTGCGTGCGTAGCATCAATGTGGGCCGGGATGGCGTGATAACGAGGGGAGTAGGGGTCATTCCCGGCTCTGGGGTACAGAGTGATCAGTATCGGGCGATAGATAGACTTAGACCTCAGACTTAGATATCTACCCGAGAACGATAGTCAACCAGACCGGGCGATAGATGAGTAGCTCGAGTTATGCGGTGGTTAGGGCTGAGGTGTCGCGGAGCTGCGACCAATGCGTTGCCCTACTTTTGAGTCGATGCCGCCAACGCGCAGCCCGGTCACGCAATGCCCCTCCAACACGTCTGCTACATTTCAAGCAAGCACATCTGCGTGTCGGCCGAGAAATTACAATATCAATTTTAGATCGCCAGAGCACCTAATGTAAATACGTGATGGTATAAGAAGCTATGTTGATCACGCTAGAGGGTGCATAACGTGCATCTGGCTGGCATCAAGGGTAGAGTAACAAAATATCCCTAACATAAAACTTTCCCGCCATGATCCCGAGTTCTATGCCTCAGAACCATCTTAGTGACTTTATATGGCTGAGCGGAACAGCTATGGTTCATACAGGGTCTGTAAAGGGTGGTGAATGAGCCACATCTTTTACAGCGCTGTGTAGATTTACTTCGCAATGCGTATTTCCACATATAATTCGATTGGTAGTTAACATCTTCTACATGGACATGGCTTAGAAAAATCCAGAGAAGGGCCTCTGCAAACTATTTATAGGCCATCATGCACAGTATTCTCTTCAAACACCTGCTAGATGACCAAAGTTGTATGCTGCCGTAGAGGCGTGGAGGACTAACCCTGGAGACGCATTTTCCCCCTTTACCTTCGCCATGGCTTCTGCTCTCTGAAGCCGAGTAGTTGGCCCCTAGTCCCTATCATATGCCATATTTGGTCGCGCCAGCGGAAACTAGTGCTTATCTCAAGAACTCCGATCCATAACCAAGAATACATGGCACAATATCCTCGTCTAACTATGCCCCAGGCCTCTTTGACATGTTACAAATGTCACGTGAACAGACTCGGGGCGCACTGCGCAAAGGCACTACAGAACAGCCCCCGCAGGTAAAGGCAAATGCAGACTCTCGAACATCATTGGCCATTCCGTATCCTCTCAGATTGTTGCAGGGAGCTACTTGACACCGGCCCTGACTAGCGTAACACTATTGCATATTGGGAACGGACAATTTCGCTTCATCTGCCCTTGGTCTGATCGGGGCCAAGCCTCAGCCCCGATCCCCGACCCCACTTTTGCCGAGTCGGCCCTGGTTATCCTCATCCCTCCAATCAGTTGTCCATTAAGGCTTCAAGTGCCCAGTAGTATGTAAGATTTCTCCACCGTTCATCTACTACGCTAGGGCTTGTTTCTGCTAGTCTGTGGGATGGTTGGTTAACCAGGCTTGTTACCCCTTTCCACCGGGGGACAGTACTTATTCCATGGCAGTCAGCGCGCCGATTAAAAAACCGACATTCCGCCCACTGTTAGACACATTCACTTCCTTCCTACAGACTGCGCTTGCTACCAGTTCACCATGAAGACCGTTCCTTTCTGGGTCGCTACCGCCCTAACGGTACCACAGGCTCTAGCAGCCCTCACTGCCACCTCCACCACCTCTACGTCCACCACCACTGCCGCCGCAGCAAGCTGTACAGCTTCCCTCATCACGACTCTGTGCGACTACCCGGCCCCGGGCGACGACTTTGCCATCGCCAGCGGGAGCACGGCCTACTGCTGGGATTACTGCAGCGCCCACCCTCCGTGCAGCTTCGTGATCTTCGCCGCCGGCGACCCTCTCACCGGATCCGGCACGTGCTGGGTGTATCCGGGGCAATCCTACAACGCGAGCGAGGGGAGCTCCGATTGCAGCAATCCCTACCTCTCTGTCTATAGCGAGCCCGTGTGTTCGGGCGGGAGCGCAACCACCACCACTGCTGGCGCCTGCACCGCCACCGCGACTCCCACGGCTGTCGCCTCGGTCTGCGGGTACCCGGCGCCCAGCGACTGCTTCGATGATTGCCTCGCGAGTACCGGTGCACCAGAATGTCTGAGTCTCTGTGCCGAGGCCGACTCCTGCAGCTATGTCGTCTTCAACCCCGAGAACCCAGACAACTCGACGTATGCCTCGGGCAACTGCTGGATCTACCCGAACGGCACGTACGACGCTGGGTCTGCGACGACTTGCAGCAGTGATCCGGAGCAGTACGTGTACAACAACGTGTGTCCCAAGGCATCGTCTTCGTCGTCCGCCCTGTCAGCATCTGCTACGGACACTGGAACTGCAGCCACGACTACGGGCTCTACTGGTACTGAAATCGCGGATCAAACCGCGGCCTCGACTACTAGCAGCGAGAATGCGGCACCTGCTGGCCTCTCGCTTACTGGTTCATTGGCGATAGGCGTGGCTATGGTAGTACTGCGGGCGTTTTGGTGATATTCTTGTATCGGTTGTTTGTTCGGCAAAAGAAACACGCTGTTCGAAATAATGTACTATATCGGGTGTCTCCAGAGTCCCGAAGTAAACCACCTAGGACAATGCGAGACGAATTGTATGCCAAGCTGCATCCTTCTGCTGTGTCCAGGTCAACTGGCCAGGTCAAGGGCTGCCCCCTCAGTTCGCCACTGCAAACCAGCTGCATCTGCCGTTATGGTATCTGGCATTTCGGGGCCAGATAGGGCAATAATTCTTGCACAATGTATGAGGACTAATCTAGAAGCATGAGGCGAGGTGTAGCCGTGCGCAAGGGCTGCATCACACCCTCGCTAACATGTATCTATCCAATCAAGCGACTGGCAATCAATCCTTCAGGTAACTTTGTCGTTCGTCGACAAGAGGCTATTGCGCCACCCGGAGGATGACATCTCCGCGCCCACGCCAAGTCTGCGTTTCGGCCCTGCACGCAGTGGTGCCATCAGGGCTTGGTTCGATATCTGATCGCGTGAGCTGGGTGGTCTGTTCTGTAGTCTACAACACGTTCAGAGTGGCCTTCTATTCATCCCACCATGAATACCGCTCAGGATAGCCTGGATATGTCTTTCGTTTCCAACTGTCGTATCTGGTCTCGCTATGCAGATTCTTAAAAACAGGCTGTTCATTATAAGTTCGGCTCTGTGCTAGAATTACCTACAACGCCGTCCTGACGGCTACCCTGGGAGTAAACTTTTGTCTCGCTATGAAGACACATACAGTACATTTCAAATGGCACTGGCCCAGCATCGAATCTAAGTCTTCACCCCCCTACCAGCCAAGCATCCAAGCCATGCCAAGGCCCTCCGTCTCGTATTGCCTTCCATCCCAGAGAATGACCTAGCACGTGGCGAATCCCCGGACTAAGACTCCCCCGGACTCACGATCTTCCCGCGTTACTGTGGGGTACGCGGGGAAATCTGGGGTGACAGCTGCGACAATTCGACGGTGGATACACCCATGCTGACAGACACTTCGTCGACGCTGGAGATGTCCACGGTGTTTCCTTCACCGGTCGACACTCGCAAGCCATGGCTATAAATCGGTATCAGGCCGTACAGGTCTACCACTGCAATGCACTCTTCCTTTACTCGACTCAAGACCAACCCACTCCTGGACGATATTCATGGCAGCGCAGACCCCAGAGAAGACCGATCTCGCTCTCGAGACGCAGAAGACGAGCAATGTACACTTGGAAGACATCAAGTCTGCTGGGCTGCTCGATGCAAAAGAAGGCGATTACTCGGGAGCCACGGGCAAGACTGACGAGGTGGAAATCCGTCTCGTCCGCAAGCTGGACCTCCGAATCATGCCCATTCTGTGGATGATGTATTTCCTCAATTACGTTGGTGATCGACCCGGGGACCCGTATGACCGCCACTAACCGATCCTCCAGCTGGATCGCAATGCCATTGCCAACGCACGTCTCAACAACCTCGAAGAAGACCTGAACCTGGTCGGAACGCAATACAACACCTGCATCTCGATCCTGTTCATCGGGTAGGTGAAGCAAATCCACGCCCACAGCACCCCCCCCCACTGACCACGCGCAGCTACCTGCTCATGCAGATCCCCTCGAACATGTTCATGTCGTCGCCCAAGATCCGCCCCTCACTCTTCATGAGCGTCTGCATGGCCAGCTGGGCGATCGTCTCGGCGCTCACAGCTCTAACCAAGAACTACGTCTCGCTAGTCCTGGTGCGGTTCTTCCTCGGCGTAACGGAGGCCCCCTTCTACCCCGGGGCGCTCTTCCTGCTATCCCTATTCTACACGCGCAAGGAGATCGCGCTGCGCATCTCCATCCTGTACACCGGAAACATCGTGGCCACCGCGGTCGCGGGACTCATCGCGGCAGCCACCTTCGCCACCTTGGACCAAAAGCACAACCTGAAGGGGTGGCAATGGCTCTTCATCATCGAAGGCGTCGTCACATTCTTCATCGCCGCCCTCGGCCTCCTCACGCTCCCCGACCACCCGCTCACCACGCGGTGGCTCACGCCCGCCGAGCGCCAACTCGCCCACGACCGCATCACCCGCGACACCGTCGCCCACGACCCCGAAACCAGCAGCAGCAGCAGCAGCAGCAGCAGCACCTGGACGGCGCTGCGCGACGCCCTCCGCGACCCACGCCTGTACCTCCTAGCGTTCATGCAAAACATGCACCTCAGCGCCTGCAGCTTCAACAACTTCTTCCCGACAGTCGTAGGCAGCCTGGGCTTCAGCCAGACGATGACACTCGTCCTCACCTGCCCGCCCTATTTAGTATCAGGGGTATTCAGCATCGTCATCGGCACGACCTCGGGCCGGTACAACGAGCGCACCTGGCACATCACGGGCAGCATGGGGGCGGCGGTCATCGGGTTCCTCATCGCGTGCGGGACGCTCAACACCGCCGCGCGGTATCTGGCCTGCTTCCTGTTCGCGAGCGGCGCGTACGCCGTCAACTCGGTGATCCTGGGGTGGGTGTCGGCGACGCTGGGCCAGACCCCCGCCAAGAAGGCGGCCTCGCTGTCCGTCGTCAATGTCGTCGCTAATGCCTCGTATGTCTACACGGCGTATCTTTATCCGAAGAGTGATGGGCCGCGGTATTTGGTGGCGATGGCGGCGAATGCAGCGTTCGGGGTGTTGACGATTGCGAGTGCCTGGGCGTTGCGGGGGTGGTTGCGACGGACGAATCGCGCGATCCGCGAGGGGAGGGTGTCGGGCGGGCAGGAGGGGGTGCTGTATGCTTACTAGGTGCTTTGGGGGGTTTGTCTGGCTGGTTGTCTGCACTTAGGGTAGTGGGGGTGGAAGGGGGTGGGTTGTGGTTGTGTACGGTGGTAGGATGAGCTTTTGTTTGAGCCATGTTTTGCTTGTTACGCCGTCACCGTGTGGTCCCATAAAGGATTCTTGAGCCGAAGAGACATTAGATTCAGTAGGAGGGAGGTACAGAGCTTTTCCAACAGATATTTCCATGCGCAAACCCATTGTCCCCCTTTTCTCGCAGGCGTTTCCCCTCCGGAGAACAAGATGACCAAACACTGTACAGTACACACCAGCTGAACAAGAGAATAACAAAAAGCCTACAGTGGCTACCCTCCCCAAACTGGTATAAAGAGCGGTGCCTCGACCCGTATATCCCATTAGCATAAACAAACAAACGTTTCCCAATTATCGTAATGCGCCCATACAGCCCCAGCTCAATCGCAGTGCCCTAGATGACGCACTCAACCGTCGATCCATCTAAACATAGCAATTATTAGCCCATTCCAGTCCAATCCAATCCACTCCCCCCTCCCCCCTTCATCCATACACCACCCAATATCGGAAAGATGGAGAACATACCACATCGCTTCGGCTTATCCTCATCCCTCACCCAGCCGCGGGGCGTTTTGAACCACTTGCCGGAGTCCTCGCCGTACTCCTCGCCATTCCTACACCAAACTCAATTAGCAAACTCAACCCAATCTCAACCCGCCACAGAACTCACTCCAACTAGCTCAACCGCGATACAAAGAAGGGGGGGGTTGGGGGGGCGTACTCATAAAAACAGAACGAAGTAAACGTCGCCCCCAGAATTGAGGTGCCGTTCTGCGGGCTCGACACGCAGGGGAACTTGTAGTAGGGGTAGGACACCCGGACCTGGCAGGGGTTCTGGGAGGTCTGGTAGTTCTTGCCGTCTCCGTCGTTGCCGCGGGCTTCGAGGCTGCTGTCTTCGACCGGGGCGGCGGTTGCGATGCTGAAAGCGAGGGGGAGGAGGATGACGGTGGAGATTGGGGATTTCATGATTTTTTTTGGTGAAAAAGATAAAGGACTTGAGGTGGCTTTTGTCGTGTGGTGGGCAGAGATACTGGTAGAGTATTGTTTCTGTGTTGGAACTGTGCTGAGGTCTGTTCGATGTTTACTAGTGCTGGTCTGGCGTGGATTGGGAGGGTTTTTATAGATCTCGGGTGCATACTGTATCACAGCTACTTATAACTTAGCTGCTGCTTGAGTGTCTATGACTGGAGTCTAGACTTGATTCCACAATGCGAGCAGCATCATCATCATCACTAGTATACACAGCCTCCTTTCTGTCCCCGGGCTGTATCTGCCCCCAAGCCATGGGAACGCCTTTCCGTGAGGTTATCTGGGCAGATATCGGGTTCGAGTGATGCGTGCTCGGTCTTGGCGATGGGGCGGGATGGCAAAACGATACGGTTATTTTGGTTATGACATGCTGCAGATCCCGACCGAGCAAGACCGCTGCCCCGGCGATCTGGCCACCGCGGAGGGATGCTTGGCGTCCATACACTCGGGCAGGAGGAGGAGAGGGATCTTGATCTGGAATACGAATCCAGATGAGAGGACTCCGATTCCTTGGCGATGCGGAAGGGAAGTGACGTCGATCCGGGAGATAACTAGGTAGTGCTTTCTTCCTTGTTGGGTATGCCCGCGGCCACCAGTTAGCTAGCTATGTCGAGCCCTAAGTCTTTCTTTTGTCCCCAAAAGAGCAGATGACTTTCCTGAAATAAAATGCAAAAGGCGTATTGTTTCTTTTCTTAGATAACGTACGTGTTTATTTTGAGTAATCTCTAACAATCTATACTTCGGGCCAAGTTTGCCAGGGTAAAAATCAAACCCTCTTCCCCAACTTCGCGCTTGTCTTGACCCTGATCCCCACCGACAGCCCCGTCGCCGCCAGCGCCATGAACCCCGCGTACAGAATGGCCGGCCGGTACGCCTTCGTGCCCGCGCCTTCACCCCCGGACGCATCGAGGATGTATCCTGCAATCGGCGAGCCCTACCCACTGTCAGTATTCCCACCTAGAACCTCCAACCCACACATTCTGCCAAGAAAGAGAAGGGAAAATCTCACAAGAAGATACCCCCCGGCCCACCCCGTGACAATCATCCCCATCGCGACGCCCACCCGAGCCGACCCAAACACATTCCCCACCACCGTGGGGATCGTCGAGAAGAACCCCCCATTCGACATGCCGTTAATCACCACAAAGACGATGAGCGGGCCGATGGACGTCGACACGGGCCAGATGATCAACATGCTTAAGGCGGAGAGCAGCAGCGAGCCGAACAACGTGTTCAGCGGGCCGATGGTGTCGCTCGCGAAGCCGCAGGTGAGGCGGCCCAGCGCGGAGGAGAAATTGAAGGCGGCGACGACGCCGGCGCCGGCCGTGGAGCCCATGCCCAGGGCATTGACGTAGAGCGGCAGGAAGAACGGAGGCACCAGGAGGGGGAAGGTGGCGATGGCGCCGACGGCGAAGAGGAGGCAGAAGCGGACGTCGCGGAAGAGGCGCCTATTCTCTGGTCAGGTCGGGGGTTGCTGGGGGTGGGTTAGGGTTCGGGGAAAGGGGCGGGGCTGCACGCACCACTCCACCACCGCAGCCCGCGGGATCGGGATGCGCTGCTGCACCAGCCACGCGGCCGGCAGCCCCGTGGCCAGGGTCATGAGCCCGATCACCCGGAAGGTCCAGGCGGTGCCGACGCGGTCGAGGAGGGCGTTGATGAGGAAGCTGAGCGCGGTGCCGCCGAGGCCGCCGGCCGCGTAGACGATGCCGTTGGCGGTGCCGCGCTTGGCCCGGAAGTACTGCGCGGGGATGGTGGAGACGACCATGAAGCACATACTGGATACAGTATACAGTGTCAGCCCTATCACCATCACCATCACCACACCGTTTCCCCCATCACAAGATGCAGACGAACCTAATGCCCACCCCAAACACCACCCCCTGCGTCACAAACAACCCCGCCACGTTCCGGTACGAGAACCCACTCAGAATCGACCCCAGCCCCAGACAGAAAACCCCCAGCATCGCGCTGCGCTGCGTCCCCAGCGTCCGGATCAGCTGCGCGTTGGCAATCCCCAGAAACGAGATGCACGCCGTCGCCAGCGACCCCACGAACGCCAGCGTCGACGCCGCCGCCAGCCCCTCCTGCACCAGCGCCGCCTGCAGCACCCCCCAGCAGTACGAGGTCCCGATCACCCACCACGTCAGCACGGCACACGCCCCGATCACGACCCACCCGCGTCCGCCGTCGGGCACCTCGGCGTCGGCCTGCGCGGACGCCTGCATGATCGCGTCGTCGGCGGGGGCGGCGGTGGGTGCTGCGAGGGGGTGTTTGGGCGCGCGCGACTCCAGTTCGATGGCGGGGGCGGTTTGCCATTGTACTGCTGTGGAGGTCGAGGTGGAGGCCATGGCTGCGGATTGGCGGGAGTAAGTGTACTGTAGATGAGGGCTGTGGTGGCTGTCTTGCGGTGGGTTGGCGGAGGTACTGTATGTAGGCCACCCGGGAGTTGATGTTGTGTGTGACTGCCCTTCGGTGATAGAAAGAAACTCGGAGGTGAAAAGAACCCAGAAAAAGAGTCGATATGATTCACATCTAGTCGGTTACCCTCGGTGGCCCACCCCGAAACCTGGGTCTGGGGTGCAAAATTGGAAAAGTGGAGCATGTCATGACAAGGGCGTGGACGAGGCGAGGCGCCATAGGGTACATACAGTACAGTACACTATGAAAACACCCGAATCGACGAAGTGAAGAATATTCGGCACTGATCCGCTGCTGAGTCAATTGAGCACATGGAAGAAATGAAGTATAAGGGCTGGATCTTGACTTGCTCTACCAGCAGGGTTGCATGAGGTTTTCAGTAGACATTCATACGCGGTGCATAGTTACTAAGCCGGTCATGTGGATGCATGCATGGCTGCTCCGTATACTTTGTATACTTTGTTCACATGCTGGACATCCCCTCTTCTTCAAGTTGATCCTTACTTTGTAGAGGAGAGGTGTGGGAAGCAAAGGCTGAACAGAGTGAATCCAGAGTCAACTTATTTCATACTCATCTTCGTACCCCTCGACGCTAGGTGACATCACCCTTGCATTGGCCGTCTGCCCGACGATCAACTCAACCCCTCTTCACCCCGCACGCTATTCACCCATTCACCCTTATACAAGCACTGCACTGTCCCTACGCCTACTCCTTCCCCGTTCCTCGACTTCACACTCACACTCACAACCACAACCACAACCCACCATGACCACCCTAACCTGGCAGCAAAAAGTCCAAGCCAAGCAAGCCGAAGCCCTGGCCAAGATCCCCGCCGAATGGCGCCTCCCCGCCTCTCTCCTCGCGACAGCCACCCCCATCTCCCCGGAGAATGTCCTCTCCATCCCGCGTGACAGTGGGCTTCTGACCGCGCGCGAGCTGGCCATCACCGAGACAGCAGACGCGACGACCCTGCTCGCGCAGCTGGCGGACGGCACCTACACGGCCGTCGAAGTGACGACAGCCTTCAGCAAGCGCGCGGCCATCGCCCAACAACTGACCCACTGCCTCACAGAAACGATGTTCGAGCAAGCCCAGGCCCGCGCCCAGGAGCTCGACGAACACCTCGCAAGGACAGGCCAGCCCGTGGGGCCGCTGCACGGGCTCCCCGTCAGCATCAAGGACATGTTCCACGTCGCCGGGACAGCGTCGACGCTGGGCTACGTGCACTTCCTGGACCGACCAGCCCAAAAGACCAACACGCCGCTCGTGGACGTGCTGCTGGCCGCCGGCGCCGTGATCTACGTCAAGACCAACGTGCCCCAGACGCTGATGACCGCCGACTCGCACAACAACGTCTTCGGCCGCGTGCTCAACCCGCACCACCGCTCGCTGACCGCCGGCGGCAGCTCGGGCGGCGAGGGCGCCCTCGTCGCCCTACGCGGCTCGCTGCTCGGTGTCGCCACCGACATCGCCGGCTCCATCCGCATCCCCGCCCACTGCTGCGGCCTCGTCGGCTTCAAGCCCTCCATGGGCCGCGTCCCCCACGCCGGCGTCATGAGTCCCGCCGTCGCCGGGTATCTGTCCGGGATCTCCGCGGTGATTGGGCCTGTCTGCCACTCCGTCCGCGACGCGGATCTCTTCATGAAGACTGTCTGCGACGTGCCGCCTTTTGATTTTGATGATCATGCGTTGGGAATCCCCTGGGCTGTAGCCGACCAAGGGAAGGGCGAGAAGCTGCGGATCGGGCTGTTCACGGCGCACCCCGGTTTGCCGCTGCACCCTAACATCGCGCGGAACCTGCATCGGGCGGCGGAGAAGCTTGCTGCTGCGGGCCACGAGATTGTGGATGTTACTACGGAGTTCCCGGACATGGAGGAGGGGAATGAGATCGCGTTCGGGCTGTTCGGGCTCGATGCCGACCGGACCGCGGAGTCGCATTTGCATGCAGCGGGCGAGCCGCCCGTTCCGTCCGTGGGGATCGTCAATGGATCCAGCAAGACAAATCCAAACCCGACCCTGCGCGATCTGTTCAGGTTGACCGCCCGAAAGGCGGAGATCACCGCGCAGACGCGCCGCATGTTTGTGGACAAGAAGCTGGATGTGATCCTGGCGCCGGCGTACCAGAGCTGCGCCCTGCCGCATGATAGGTATAGTCATGTGTGGTATACGGTGTTTTGGAATTTGGTGGATGTATGTTCTACTCTACCACCCTGAGTTTGGGACGGGGGGCATTGGGTGCTGATAGCGTACAGAGTCCGAGCTGCGTGCTGCCGTTCGGCAGGTCAGAGGCTGCTGCGGATCGGGAATGGTTCAGACAGGATGCAGTGTATCGACCCCCTTGTAAGTGTTCCATTCAACCACTGTGAAACTCCAACTGATGGGATGCAGATCGTCCGGAGGAAGTGGAGGGCGCGCCTTGTCATGTGCAGTTGGTCGGACGGCGGCTGAAGGAAGAGTTGCTGGCACGACAGGCGGAGTTGGTCGAGGCGGTCCTAAGAAATGACTAGGCGGTTGGAGCTTGTCAAGGGGTGGGGTGTGGATGGCTGTAGGAGCCTACGCGTTATGATATGGTAGATTACCGATCAAATAGTCCTATCCTCTTAGCCACAAGCAAGAACAACGCGATCAACCCCAAGATAACCCCAAGAATCCCATACCACCAGGCCAGGCTTCCAGGCGAATTGCCCGGCACCATGACGTTCATCCCAAAAAGCCCGGTAATGAATTGCATCGGCACGATGGTCGCCGCCACGACAGTTAAGCGACTCAGCGCCGTGGCGATTTCATTGCGCATGCGCCCGGAGTCGAAGTGCAGCTGCGACAGATACTTCGACTGCGACCGCGAGAGCATCTGCTCCGCCTGCTCCAGATTGGCCATCATGGTCAACACGTGGTCACGGATGTCACTGAGGTACAGTGCCACCTGGGTCGACGTGGCCGCCAGCGCGTCACAGTGGCGCGCAAAGCACCGGATCACGTCCGTCTTGTCATGCAGCAGCTGCCGGATCTGAATCACCTCCTTGCGCCACTTGTAGATCTGCTGCAAGGCCAGTCCAATCTCGTCCGGGCGGGTCACGGCAATGTGATCTTCCATCAGGTCGACGCCAGTCTCCACGCGAGCAATGAACGGGGCGAAACTGTCGACGATCGCGTCACTAGGAGACTCGCGTTAGAGTTGGGAAGAAAAGATGAGGAGGGGACGTACATGATAGCATAGCAGATCCAATCGCTAGTCAACGCCAGATGACTCCGGTGCTCCTTGATGCGATTCCGGACGTGGTCAGCGTGCAAGCTGGTTCCGAAATTGAAGCTGATCACCCCCTCTGGGAAGACGACAGCGTATAGGTTGTGGGAGACGATGCACACGCCCTCGTCGGTCTTGCGGGAACTGGGCGGTCGCAATGAGAGGAAGTAGTAGGAGTCAAACAGCTCGATCTTTTCGCGCGTCTCTCGCAGCGTGATGTCCTCGACGGTCAGCGGGTGGAGACCGAAGCTCCGCGCGAGGGTCTCAATGTCCTCATCGGAGGCGGCGGTCACGTCCAGCCACCAGAGGCCATTATGGACGCCCGTGTCAAGCAGAGCTACCACGGGGTTGTAGATACCACAGAGATCATCCAAGCTGGGGGCGTGGACAAAGAAGTCCAGCTTGGTGGTGAAAAAGTTCAAGGAGGAGGATTCTTTGGCAGCCGGGGCGGCCGAGTCGTCCGCCGGGCGGAAATCCGGGGTCGACGCGGCCATGATCGGCCTCGACAGCCTTTTAGTCGGGGGTGAAGGATGAGATGGTGAGAGGCATCAACTGATAATCGCTGCACGAAACGATCAGGGGCATTCTGATCGGACTGTCATCCCTGGAATGAAGTCAGAAAGGAGAAAGGGGAAAGGTTGCAGACAGACGGGAGAGGGAGAGAGAGTGGCAGTGTCGATGCCAAGAGGAGACTTCGCAACAGGGAAGCCAAGACCTTTCCGTGGTACAGAAAGCAATAATGAATGCAACAGTGCAAACACCGCCCGAACGCCTGAGGCATCGCCTGACGCACCGCCCCCGACTCGGCCCCGGTTCTACGGCCCCGGTTCTACGGCGCCGGTTTAAGGGCCCGGCTTGCAGGGACGGGCACTGCGCTCGGCACTTGCTTTCTTCACCTTGGATTGATCTGCTTTTTTGATACCATCACTTCACAGGTGATCGCTTACACACACACTCTCTCTCTCTCTCACACACACACACACACACACACACACACACACACACACAAAGGTGAGGTGCTAACAATTTCAGTGTCAATGCTAGGCATTCCTCTCTGAGACTCTGATAGCTGCCGTTATCATCACAACGAAGATCTACTATCCATCTCCTGCAGCTGCATCAAGATCCAAGGTCAAGTATATACTCTCCGGATAAGAGCTCATCCCCAAGCCTCGTTTAGCCACCAGTTCTAGACACCACGCGTCCCTGCCTCTGTCTATCCCAATCTCTATCCGATTATCCGGAGACACCAAGGTCTGGTCTGCGAGTCAGACATGTCATGGAACGACCCACTCCAGGGTCCACCGTTTACCCCGGACCCAGCTGCGTGGACGAGGTATAACTAGCTGGTCCCCGGCTGCTCTTCCTCCGAACAACCACATCCAAACACCTTTCAACATGCCATTCAATATCATCATCGTCGGGGCCGGCCTCATCGGCCCCCGCCACGCCCAAACCGTCCAGGCCAACCCCAACACCAACCTCCTCGCCCTGGTGGACCCCTCCCCCAACGCCATCCAAACGGCCGAGACCCTGCAGACAGCCTACTTTCCCTCCGTGGCCGCCCTCCTCGCAAGCCCATTCACTCCCCGCCCCGACGCAGCCATCGTCTGCACCCCCAACCACACGCACATCCCCATTGCCACCGACCTCCTATCACAAGGCATTCACGTGCTGCTGGAGAAGCCCATCAGCGACGACCCAGCCACGGCCCGCGCCCTCCTCTCCACCCTCACCCCGTCATCCCCGAAGCTGCTCATCGGCCACCACCGCCGCTTCAACCCCTACATCACGGCCACGAAGCAGCTCCTCTCCCGCAACGCGCTGGGCCCGCTCATCGCGCTCAACGGCCTCTGGACCCTGTACAAACCCGACAGCTACTTCGCCGCACCGGGCGACTGGCGCCGTAGCACCACCACAGGCGGCGGGGTGCTCTCGATCAACCTGATCCACGACATCGACCTGCTGCACTACCTCTTCGGCCCGATCACGCGGGTCTTCGCCGAGCAAACCCCCTCCACCCGGCCGTCCCCGCCGCACGACGCCGAAGAAGGCGCCGCGATCACCCTGCGGTTCGCCTCCGGCGTGGTCGGCACCTTCCTGGTGTGCGACGCCACGCCGGCGCCGTGGAGCTTCGAGGCCGGCACCGGCGAGAATCCGCTCATCCCGCAGGTGCAGGGGCCGGGCGGCGAAGGGTTCTACCGGATTTTCGGGCAGAAGGGGTCGCTGAGCGTGCCGGACATGCGGCTGTGGAGCTACGAGGGCCGCGCGCAGCGCAGTTGGAACGAGGAGCTGGCCGTGGAGCGGGCGGCGGTGGACACGACGCAGACGCCGTTCGCGCTGCAGCTGGCGCACTTTGTGGAGGTGCTGGAGGGGAAGGTTGAACCGGTTTGTTCGGGAGAAGAGGCGTTGCGGGCGTTGGATGTGGTGGACGCGATCGGCCGGGCGTTGCGGACGGGGCAGGTGGTGGACGTGGAGGATTAGCCTCGGTCTGGATATTTAGCGACTGTAGTATAGTTGGTATCATAATGCCATTGTTTGATTGACCACGTCAACTCCATTCAAGGGCCTGTGTCCCTCCCTGTTCCGCAGGAAACAAAACCACCCGTCATCACTGTAAGACTAGTAAGAGGGAAGGATCGTGGCTCAGCAACTGCGCCATCACATCACCTCCAATAATCCCTCCCCCCCCAATTTATCTTCACCTCCATCAATGGACCACAAATCTCCAAGAAAGCATGCACCGGACCGATCCGCCGTGAAAACCAACATCCATTCACGCATACAATAGCACCATCCAACCACTCCCCAAAATCCATCAGTGATCGGCCGAGATCCTTACCCCCCCCCCCCCCCCCCCCCAACCCCACCAGCGCCACACCACACCACGAGGCTGTGGCTGCGATACGAACTGTGGCTCGGGCAGGGCAGTCAGGCACGGCACAAGCCCGTCCATCCCTCTCCCCTGGACCCTTGTACTATTCCTACCCTCGGCGTGAACTATATCCGGTATACGAAAGATCATAATAGCTGCCTACTAAGACCTTCTTCCAGATTCTTTTCTAGCCAGGTTCTATACGCAGTTGACTAGCTTAAGTTATGACGGTATACAGGGACGAGTCAGGGGCCAAGCGATCCCCACCAACCAACCATCGAGGCCCTAGGGACCGGGTCTGTTGGGGGCTGCAGGCTGCCGCGGGTGCAGTGCAGGGGCAGGCAGCTTCTTCGATCGGGTTCGCTTTGATGACTTCAAGAGATCATGAAGAGAAGAGGCTCTTCTCATGTACTGTATTGTACGTAGTGCAGCTGATTTCTTCGATGTGTACCCTGGGCATTCTCTTACCGCCAGAAAATTAAAAAAAAAAAAAAATAAGAAGAAAAGAAAAACCCAGAGAAATAAAACTGCTGGTGATGTCATGTCATCTGGTTAGTGCAATTGCCCGGGTGACTCGGGCTGGATGATAGGAGAGAGGAAGACAGAGCCCGGGTGACCTTGCTGGACTTATCCCATCATTGCCTAGCTACTCCTAGTAACTACTAACTACCTCTTTCGTAAGGCTGGTACTTCCACCACTATACTGTACACTCACCGACAATCCAACAGATACGAGCAGATATGAATGACTCCCCTCTAGCTGGGAATAGGCATGGTCTGGTGCCTACCTACTATAGCGATACTTACACCACCCTACATTTACTCCAACTCACACTCACACTCACACTCACACTCACCCTGCTCAGCCACACGAAGGCTGGTGTGAAAGGAAAAGAGCCCAGGGCACGAAGCACAAACCCGGTGATCTCCCGTCCATGTGCTCTGGATGACGAGGCAGTAGATATAATGCCTTCGACCCTTCCCCTTGTTTCTACACTAACCCTCGCTCTTTTATCTCTTTTGTCTTTTTCTCCTTGTATGCACCTGCACCTGAACCAGCCGATGCCTCGTACGTTCATGTTCTGCTCCTTTCTCCATCAGGCGCGGTGAACCCATGACTCCTACCACATGTCGCTCGGCACCGAACAACAAGAGTTGCTTGCTTTCACGCTCCCCCTCGTCGTCCTTGTTGCGACAACAACGCCGCGGTCTACACAAAGAGATCGGATGCCACGCCTATTGTTCCCGCTGCTCTACGATGCCGGTGCGCGTCCTTTGTCTTTGAGGGCGGGTTTCATTCGCGAGTCTGTCCCCGCCAAGTATATCTGGCCGCCTTACGGCCCTGCTGTCAGAGAATATCAACGTCATTTGTGGTCCACCTACCTGTCATAGAGTATTTCCCACCCAGTACACGGCAGGTCTGAGAGAGGCTCTGCGCTAATCATGTGTCATATCAGAGAAACCATCGAGGTCCTTCCGGGGGGGATTAGGCGCATCGAGCGGAAGGTGAAGCGCTGCCCCCGAAGCTGGATCAGACTGTGTCGTGAAACAACCCAGACCAGTATCGAACGAGACTGTCGCGGAGTATCAGTAAACATGAACATGAGGGGCCTGGATGACCTGCACGGTATGCCTAGGCCACTGACCCGCAGACGTAGTGGAAGCTTCAAATTTCGGTTTCCCTTTCTCAGACGGCAGCCGGACTCGTCGGAGGATGAACCGAAACGGACGCAGCCACCCCGGCGGCCGCGCGGCCGGCCATCGCCCGTCGTGGTCGACCCGCCCCGTCGCCCTAAGCCCCGGCTGGTGTCGCCCATGCGACCCATGACTTCGCACAGATCGACGCCCTCGCGATCACCCCCCGCGATTCGATTTGCCGCTCCACGTCAAAGCGGACGAGCTCTGCGCGAGGAACCCATGCCTCGAGGGCGGCCTCGACCCGCCACACCGTCACCAGTGGGACTTCCCTCACGCCCTCCCAAACGGAAACGGCTGACCCAAGTGTTGAAGCAGATCTTCGTCACCCAACCAAGACAGCCCACATCTCCAATCGCGATGGATCCGCAAGTGGTACATCGCCCGAACCCTGCGCATAATCATCGTCTGACACGTGCAATCAAACAGGTATTCCGGCCTCGTTCCCGCTCTCAACCCGCCCGATTGACAGTAGAGGTGGAGACTCGCCAGCCCCGGGCTGAGGCGGCAAGAGTGATCTCACCCCGGGCCGTTCCACCCATCCCCCCGCGACGGACCCGGCCCCCGCGCCCGCGCTCCCCCGTGACGGAACGGGAGCCCATCCGGAAGACGCGCTCCCCCGTGACGGAGCGGGAGCCCATCCGCAAGACGCGCTCCACGCCGGGGATGCCGCACCTCCGGACTACGTCGCCGCAACAGAGTAGTCGGAGCATCACCCCGACGCGCCACGTGCACTTCGCCGAGAACCTGGAGCAGGTCCCGCCCAGCTCGAGCGAGAACAGCCCGGTGGAGGACACGACGACCGGCGAATCCAGCGACGACAGCCCCACGCGTCGCATCCCGACGCGCCCCCCACCCAGCAGAATCCCCATCCGCCCGATGAACCGCCGCAGTCGCTCCTTGGACACCCATTCCATCCGTAGCCGCATGTCCCCCCGAGAGCCGGCCCGTCCCCGCACGGCATCGCCGTATCCCACGCGACTTGACTCACGGGCTCGACCCCCGCCAACGACGCCCCGGTCGCACACGCTGCAGCAGGCACGACCTCGCATTATTCAGGAGGGGACGCGGGATCTGCGGGAGCGAGGATCGCGGTTGTTGGAGACCTCGTTTGCGCGGCGGAGCGATGAGGCTGTGAGGAGTGCGGGCCCGACGCGTCGACGGGCCCGACCGCGCACGCGGGTCTCGATGAATGATTATTGGGCGATGTTTCCGGGCGATGAGCGGATTGCGGACGAGGACGATCGGAGTGGAGGGTCGAGGTTGGGACGATGGCGGTAGTTGGGTCGTGCAGGTGTTATGTTGAGTGTGTGTCTTTCATTCAGTCTCCTATGTTGTGTTCTTTGTCTTTGTGCGATGGTTGGAATCTCGGAGGAAGGGCGGGCGACGGCGACTGGGACGACCCCGCATGTGACCCCGCACGTGATGGGGTTACCTCGGCAGCGGCTCAGCGGCTCAGCGGCTACAGGCGGGCGGAGGCGGACTTCGTTCCTTGAGCTTGTTGGATATAACGTTACCTGCGATACCCTCCTTACTTGACTTACTTGCACTTGCACTTACACTTGCACTTACCCTCACTTTAATACCTCTCCTACATCAATCAATCATAATACTACTATCAGAACACCTTCCCTTCCTCGCCTGTAAATTGAACTGCCCACCCCTCCCATCATGCAGCGCACCACTCGAGTGATGCGGGCCCTCCCCGCACGCCCTCCGTTCCAGCGCGCGTTCCACACCACCCGGCCATCTCAGATTGAAGAAGCCTACATCCTGAGTGCAGCTCGCACGCCGACTGCCAAGGTGAGCTCATTCTTGACTCCGTGAACATATTGCCCATACAACCCAATATCACAGTCACCATACGAACATGGGGGAGACCCCCATACCCCCCTCTTTACCATCACCACCCCACCTACCCCATCCCCCAACCCAGGCACATGGGGGGAGAACCCCCCAAACCCCCCCTTTTCTTCCAACAATCCCCCCCTTCTTACCTCCTCCACCACCACTAACCACACCAACGCAACAGTTCAACGGCCCCTTCGCCACCGTCTCAGCCCCGCACCTCGGCGCAACCGCCATCCGCGCCGCAATCACCAAATCCAAGGTCCCAGTATCCGAAATCACAGACCTGTACATGGGCAACGTCCTCTCCGCGAACGTCGGGCAATCCCCCGCCCGGCAGGCAGCCATCTTCGCCGACCTCCCGCCGTCCCTCGACTGCACAACGATCAACAAAGTCTGCGCCTCGGGCCTCAAAGCCGTCGCCCTGGCCGCCCAGAACATCCAGCTCGGACTCTCCCGCGCGCAGATCGCCGGCGGGATGGAGAACATGTCGCGGGTGCCGTACTACCTGCCGCGGAGCGCGCAGCTCCCACCTTTCGGGGACATCAAGCTGGAGGACGGGCTGATCAAGGATGGGCTGTGGGACGTGTACAACCAGATCCACATGGGGATCTGCGCGGAGACGACGGCCAAGAAGCACGGGGTCAGCCGGGAGGCGCAGGACGACTACGCGATCCGCAGCTACGAGCGCGCGCAGGCGGCGTGGCGGACGGGGAAGTTCGCGGCGGAGGTGGTGCCCGTGACGGTGCGGGACAAGAAGGGCAAGGAGACGGTCGTGGGCACGGACGAGGGGTTCGAGAGTCTGCGCGCCGACAAGCTGCGCGCGCTGAAGCCCGCCTTCCTCCGCGACGGGTCGGGCACCGTCACCGCCGGGAACGCGAGTACCATGAACGACGGCGCGTCGGCGCTGGTGCTCGCGTCGAGGGACTTGGCCAGGCAGTATGCCGGGGACGGGAGCAACCCCGTGTTGGCGCGGGTGGTCGCGGCGGCGGATGCGGCGGTCGATCCCGTGGACTTTCCGGTCGCGCCGGCCAAGGCCGTGCCCATTGCGTTGCGGCGGGCCGGGATCACCAAGGAGCAGGTCGCGGTGTGGGAGTTTAACGAGGCGTTCGCGGCGGTGATCAAGGCGAATGAGAAGGTATGTTTGCGTTTGCGTCTACGGTGCGCTATCTGGCGCGCAAGAGGGCATCGTGCTAACGTGAGCGACACTAGATTCTCGGGCTGGAGAACGCGCGCGTCAATCCCCTCGGCGGCGCCATCTCGCTGGGCCATGCGCTCGGCAGCTCGGGCTCGCGCATCCTCGTGACCCTGCTGCACCAGTTGCAGCCGGGCGAGTACGGCGTCGCGGCTATCTGTAATGGCGGCGGTGCGGCGACGGCGATGGTGGTGCAGCGCGTCGAGAGGGTGGATTAGTTTTGTCGGTCTAGGTACAGATTGCAATGCATGGTCCGGATTGGACTTTTTCGGATATGGGATTTTTGGACAGGAAGAGCGGCTGATGTTGGCGTAGATATGGGCGTTGGGCGCTACGAGGCTCAGCTACGCTGCGTTTATACTCTGCTAGGGGGTGATAAAGCCTGGGAGTATTTTTAGCGTCGCGTGAGAAATGTAGGGGATGGATGTAGTTTGCTGCACTGGGTACTGGGTTATAGAAAGTAAGGAAAGGGGCCCGCGGTGTAGATGTGGAGCTCTGCGAAGGATTGGTTCTCACGCACAGGTAGCTGTGTTGCATTTTGTCTGGTATGCGCAGTACTGATATCTTAGATTGCAACAAGCCTACGAAGATGACCAACCGGCGTATTATCCAACCCCGCTCCAAGCACCAGTATCCAGGGACAGCCACTGGAGGATGCAGTCCAAATAAGCCCGCAATGACCCAATAGACACATCCAGAATTCGGTATCAGCCGAAAGACCACCACCGTACCGCAACACCACCTCCCATACCTACCAACGAACTCACACCTTGGCCGCAACATCCGCGCGCTCCGCATGCGTCGCCGTCCCAAAATGCTCCTCCGCATGCTCCTGCTTCTCACTGACCACGAGATCCCGCTGCTCGGCATCGCGGTTCCCATACCGCCCGATCTTGTACCACGGCAGCTCGAACAAGCGATCCATACTCTCCAGACTCCGTCCCGCCGTCTCGGGCACGCTGAACCACACCCACCCGCCACCCAGCACGGTCACCGCAGCGAAGAACCAGAAAGTCCCCTTGGGGGTGATGCCGCCGTCGCCGGTGCCGAGCAGCATGTTGGGCACGGCGCGCGAGTTGCCGTACTGATTGACGAAGTGCAGGGTCATGGCGGCCGAGGTGGCCAGGGCGCGGATGCGCAGCGGGAACAGCTCGGCCGTCAGGAGGTACTGCATCGAGTTCCAGCCCAGGGCCCAGCCGACGCCCGAGATGTAGATCATCGCGATGGCGCCGCGGCTGATGCCCTTCTTCGAGTCGGGGAGCACGAAGGCGTCGTCGATGCCCATTTGCGGGACGTCCGTCAGGAAGGCCGCGATGTAGACCATCGCGATGCCCTGGAGGGTGATGCCGAGCAGGAGGGCGCGTTTGCGACCGATCACGTCGACGAGGAAGAGCGCGCAGATGATGGCTGCGACCAGTTTGACGATGCCGAAGACGGCGGTCACGAGGAGCGATTCGTTGGAGCCCGTGATGCCGAGGAGCTTGAAGAGATCCGGTGCGTACAGCGTGATCGAGCCGGCGCCGGACCACTGCGACAGAAGCTGCGCCATGGCGGCCAGGTACAGGCGGTACAGGTTGCTCGGGATGAGGAAGGCCTCTTTGAGGACGCCAAGCCAGCCGGCGCCCAGGGTGGCTTCCAGCTCAGCCTGGTGGGCTTGCTGAATGGCGGTGATCTCTCGCACGACATACTCGTGGTCTTGTGGGAGGTTGCGGATGCGCGCGAGGTTACGCAGGGCTTGTTCGGGGTTTCCTTTCTTGATCAGGAATCGGGGGGATTCGTATTGGAGGAACGAGAGGATGATGATCAGGCCGGCGAAGATGATGTGCAAACTGGTGGGGATTTCCTGTGGCCAGTTAAATTAGCTTCGCGGTAATGGAAAGAGAACGTGGTGACATACCCATCGCTTGTGGGTGTTGTCTCCGAGATTCACTTGGCAGCCGTAGTTTGTGAAGTAGGCGAGCACAATGCCGAGATAGACGAATCCGGTAAAGACACAGGTACACAAGCCTCGGATAGATGCAGGCGCCTCCAACGGGTTAGTTGGGTTCGCAATCCATGTTCTGGGCCTCACTCACAATCTCAGCCAGGTAAACGGGTCCAACCACGACCGTTTGTCCTACTCCCAACCCGGCCACAAACCGACCGGCATAGATCGCACCCAGGTTACCGTTGGCTCCCATGAAGATGGCGATGCCGATGATCCATAAGACGCACAGTTGACGAGTAGCCCAGATCCGTCCAATTCGGTCACAAACGAGGAAAGCACTGGGTAGCATCATATATAAGCGATGAACCAACCCGTGAGGGCCAGAAGACTTACAAAAGAGCACCACCGACCGACCCAATCTGCACCATAGCGGACACATTCGCTTTGATATTGGTCTGTTCGACCGCGCTATAGGAGCTGTAATGGATGGTACGTTTGAAGTCTGCGGAGTTGAAAGCGCCCGAGATCAACCCCTCGTCCACTCCGCGAGCTGCGCCCATCAGGCCAAAGGAGAGAACGGCGAACCATAGCTTCCAATTGAAGATCTCCTTCGGGTCGCCGAGGTTCCTCAGACGGAAGATATTGACCGGTTTCTTGGAGCCAGCCATAGTAGGGCAAAGAGGCACAATCAACTATAGTACTGCTTGAGTAGAAAGGTATGATGGGAATGCATCTGGAGTGCGTCACGTTGCGGTTTATAAAAGGTCAAAAAGCGGATGCACCCCGAGCAAGCGATGAGCCTGTACCACACCAACCACAGTAGTGTGGGGTGCATCGGAATGAGCGAGAAGTTTGTGAATGAGAGGCACCAATCATCATGATCGTCTGACCAACTTGCGTCGGTGAATGCATGGGCTAGAGGAGGAAACGCAGGTTGCCGAGCGTGTAATCCGGCATGTCCCCTGTCGACCGTCCGAGTTTTCACGAGGAGCTTATCAATGAGAAAACACTGGAACGCCCTGTTTGACTGGCGGACACAGACTCCCCCACGTTCTGGCAAAGGGACCGTGGGGCCGCTGCGAGGTCTTTTTCCCCGGATGGAGAGGGCTGCATCCCTCGAGAGGCGGGGAAATGGCATGCGCTGGCTTGGCTGAGGGAGGTTCGGTCAACTTCCGCGCACGAATTCCGAGCAAATGAGGGTGTATGGGACGGCACAAACCCACAAACCCGGGGAAGACCCGCCTTGACCGGGGAAATTATGGGGAAAGCGTGGGACTGGGGGGCGGGTCACGCGAGATGGAATGCGTTAATGTGGGCAGCTCACTAGACTAAAGGTTGACCTAGTCTTAATGTCACCTCGTGGTACGGAGTAGCGATCAGCAATGCATTGCTCTGTTTAGGGTTAGTTGAGTGGTCCCTCATCAAAGAGATGTGCGGGTGAATTCTGACCGATCGAACAAAGATGTTTTCCACCGCCGGAGTCAGTGGGTGGTGGGTGGTGGGTGGTGGGCGCCTTGACTGAGTTTAAAGAACAGTGTAACTGTAAGACAAGATGCGGTGAATTGTCCAGATGGACAACATCATCACTGATTACCTTCAAACAGATGAGGATCCAAACCAAACAAACAGCCAGTCAAACCAACAAACCAGACAAACATGTGCCATCACTGGTGCATCATCCTCCCATTACATCATCCGCATCCTCAATCCGGCCTCTCTTCACCAGCCATGATTCGCATTCCAAGTCTCCACCATCACCACCACCATCATCATAATCATCATCATCGTCATGGAACTTGAATCTGTTATAAAATGACCCGGCCAAAGGGTCCAGGTGGAGCGATCTTCAGGGTCTCTGGATTATCCTGATCGATCGCCCGACCTGCGCAATGGCCGCTACTCTCATCCAAGACTCGGTCTTTGGCCATGCCATTCGCCTTCTCACCAGAAATCGCTGCTTTCGATACGCTGAAGAACGAGATCCGGAACTATGGAAGCGATACATCAGCCTGGAGAAGTCAGGCCAGATGGCTCACGAAGGTCGAGTCGACTCAGCCATCAATGTCCCCGACGAAGAGCACCACTCTCCCCGTGAACACCTGTCTCGAATCCCCTCGACGGCATGGGAACACAGCGGTCACAATTTCCAAGGCTTGACGGGCGTACGAATCAACCCCGAGAAAGGCAAAGACGTCAATGTCATCGACTGGTGGGACGAGAATGATCAAGAGGTATGTGCGCCTCCGTTCACATGCCCACACCTGTTGCACACATACCAACCTAATTCTGGTCCAGAATCCTCAGAACTGGCCCTTGTGGAAGAAAGTCTTTGTTACGTTCGAGATCTGCCTCCTAACCTTCAGCGTCTACATCGGGAGCTCTATCTTTACTCCAGGAATTGTGACGGTCACCAAAGAGTTCCAGATCAGCCAAGTTGCTGCCACGTTGGGGCTGACGCTCTTCGTTGCGGGATACGGACTGGGTCCGTTGATCTGGTCGCCGATGAGCGAGGTGCCCCAGATTGGACGCAACCCGGTCTATATCGCCACCCTCATCATCTTCGTGTGCCTCCAGGTGCCCACCGCGCTCGCCAAAAACCTGGGGACATTGCTGGCGTTTCGGTTTCTGACGGGCTTCTTCGGTTCTCCCGCCCTAGCCACCGTAAGTTTTCTTCCCTGAGAATCGAGAAATCGTCGACAAACACTAACTTCCATCAGGGTGGCGCGACCATTTCCGACATGTTCCGCCCCGCGAAACGCGCCTACGCGATCGGCATCTGGGGCATCAGCGCCGTCTGCGGCCCCGTCATCGGACCCTTAGTCGGAGGATTCGCCGCGCAAGCCAAGGGCTGGACCTGGACCATTTGGGAACTGATGTGGCTATCAGGCTTTTCGCTGGTGATGCTCATCTTCCTCCTGCCCGAGACCTCGTCGGCCAACATTCTTTACCGCCGAGCGCGTCGCCTCCGCAGACTCACGGGCCGCGAGAACCTGAAATGCGAGCCCGAGATCGAAAGCGAGGGCCTGATGGGCCGCGAGCTGGTGATGATCACGCTCGTGCGCCCCCTCACCCTGAACTTCCTGGAGCCGATGGTCTTCCTCCTCAACCTGTACATCGCCCTGATCTACGGCCTGCTGTACGTCTGGTTCGAGTCCTTCTCCATCGTCTTCGAGGAGATCTACGGCTTCAACCTGGGCCAAGAGGGCCTCGCCTTCATCGGCATCCTCGTGGGCGTCCTCCTCGTCCTGCCGCCGTACTACTGGTGGATGCACCGATACCTGGAGCCCCAGTTCGACGAGAACGGCAACATCGCCCCGGAGGCCCGCCTCCCGCCCGCCATCGTCGGCGGCTGCTGCATCCCCGTCTGTCTGTTCTGGTTCGGCTGGAGCGCCCGCCCCGACATCCACTGGATCATGCCCATCGTCGGCTCCGGGTTCTTCGGCCTCGGCGCCTTCCTTCTCTTCAACCCGGTCTTGAATTACCTGCCCGACGCGTACCCCGCGTACGCCGCGTCCGTCCTGGCGGGCAACGACCTGTTCCGCTCCGCGTTCGGCGCGGGGTTCCCGCTGTTCGCGTCGGCCATGTATAAGAATCTGGGCGTCGATTGGGCCAGCTCCACCCTGGCGTTCTTGTCGATTGTCTTCATCCCGATTCCGTTCGTGTTGATGAAGGTGAGCTTTCCCCGCTCCTTCCGCCCTGGTGATTGATATTTTCTTGGTTGTGATGCTGATGCTACATTGTCTAGTATGGAGAGACGCTAAGGAAGAAACATAGTCGGTATGCGAGGAAGGATATCTAGATTCTGAGGCGGTGTCTTTTGCGAGTAATAGCGGCAGTAGATGCCTATAGACTAGCGGTAGGGGATGGTACGTTGTACATGGTTTGCGGAATTGCCACAGCTTGTAAGATATGCACATCTTCAAAATAGTAATAGATTTAGCACATTTATATAATTATCATATATATACACGCGATAATAGTATTCAAGTTCCACGACAAGAATAAAATACTTAATCAATAGACAAACATCAATACATAATAAACGCCGCAAACGCTTGCGCTCCGAAACACCCATACACCCAACCGGAACACCTATGAGCCACCCAGCCAGCTCCGAACAACACTCCCAGAGAGACGTTTACATCTTCCACTTGAAGGCGGGATTGCGCCAGTCCAGATCCTGGATCTGCTCCTGCGAGAGATCGGCCAGCGCGCGATCGATATCGACCTGCTCGCGGCGGCGGTTGTCCCAGCGCATCCACATCCACATCAACGCCCCCAAAATCAGGGTCATGGAGGCGGTGGCCAGGTTGAGGCCGTTGCCGATGTGGTAGTCCGGGGCGTCGGAGGGGAGGAAGGACCAGGTGGAGACGAGGCCGCCGACGTTGCCGAACATGACGTTGGTGCCGATGGCGGCGGAGCGGGCGGTGTCGGAGACAACATTATTGGAAACGTGGGCGTTGCAGAGGGCGCCGAAGCTGAAGGCGCCGGCGGCGATGAGGAAGGTGGCGCCGTAGCGGACCTGCGGGTTGGCGCTGGCCAGGAACATGATGTAGCCGGTGATGGTGAGCGGCGGGGCGAGGACGAAGAAGGGCAGGCGCCGGTCGAAGCGCCAGCTCAGGAAGGGGAAGAGCACCGTGAAGAAGGCGCCCACGATGTACGGCGGCACCGTGTGCAGCTGCTGCGAGACGACGCTGCTGGTCGGGTAGATGGTGCGCACGATGGTCGGGGCGAAGAAGGCCAAGCCTTGCACGGTGACGTTGTTGAGCAGGAAGATGAACGCCGTGGTCAGCGTCGCCGGGCTGAAGATCCCCCGCATCATCTTAGCCTTGTCCATCTTGTCGAGCACCTCGGTCGTCGCGACGCGCTCGGACTTGATCCGCGCGATGGCGAGGTCTTTCTGTTCCTGCGTGAGCCAGCGTGCGGTCTCGGGCCGGTCCGTTAGCGTCACGAAGGCGAGGAGCCCCAGCCCGATCGTGATGATGCCTTCGATGGCGAAGATCATGCGCCACGTGTGCAGGCTGCCGAAGTGGTCGATCTTGAGGATCGCCGAGGCCAGCAGCCCGCCGAACGCCCCCGCCAGCGGAGCCATCACGATGTACAGCGACAGGTAGAAGGCCAGCTCCTTGCGCCGGTACCAGCGCGAGAGGTAGTAGGCGATGCCCGGCAGCATGCCGGCTTCGAAGATTCCGAGGAGAAAGCGCACCCCGGCGGCGCTCTGCTTGTTCTGGACGAACGCGGTGCCCAGCGAACAGATGCCAAAGGCGACGGTCACCGCGGGGAGGAACCAGCCCGGGCCGATCAACTTGCAGGCGATGTTGGAGGGGATCTCGAAGAGGATGTAGGAGACGTAGAAGACGGAGAGGACGATGTTGTAGTCGTAGCCGGTGAAGCCTAGGTCTTTCTCGAGACCGGCCAATTTGGCATTTCCTATGACGGAGGGCGGTTAGAGGCACGCGCATTGTAACCTGTTGGTGTCATGCTTACCAATGTTGGCTCGATCGATGAAACAGAACAGGTAGATGAGCGAGACGGTGGGGAGGATGAACAGGTCAATCTTGCGGCGCAGGCGGCGCTCTGCGGCTGGATCGAATTCGATCAACGCCCGTCCATACTGGTCGGTGGCTGCGAGGCCTTGACCAGCGGCTTTGGATGCATCTTGAGTGAAGACGTCTTCTTGGTGATGCGAGATGCCTTTCTCGGAGGCCATTGTATCTTTATCTTTCTGCATCGTTCAAGTCACGGGGTTCTGGAGCATGTGATTGAGGAAGATGAGGAAGAGGAGGAAGAGGAAGAGGAAGAGGAAGATGGAGGGGAGGCGGGAGGAAAGTGCGGAGATTCCTGCACCAGTGCAACCACAACCAACTGTCCCAGCCCACAACTTTATAGCTCTTCTGCTGCTGCTCGCTTCTTGTCAACGGCAATTCCAACGGCAATATCAACAAGCGGTCCAGACTTTGCAATTCGCACCTTGACACGATAGAATATGGTCGGGATGTCCGCGTCATGGTTATGGTTATGACGGGCATCGGCTAGTATGAGCGGTTCTTATCGTGGCTTTTTGCCAAGCATCTCTTTACGAGGGCCCAAGAAGTCTCTCTCGCGCCCATCCAGTGAAGGGCCGTTCCACGTGTCCAGGGACTCCCAACCGTGTGACTCCCCCCCGGTCATCACGGCTGGACAGATTGGAACCACCCCTTGAAAGCCAATCAATGAGCCGGGGAGATAATCAAGGTTCGCATCAGTGCAGCACAGACAGTTAGCCGACGAGGAAGACGACGAGAGGCGACCCGAGACGAGGAGAAGGAAGCAGGTGGCAGCTTTCCCCGCGTTTTGCCCAACCCCGCAACCCCGGACTGGCCAAGACCTGACAGGAGTTGTTTTGTCCGTGGGAACACTCCCTTGGCGAAAGGTTTGATACAGGATCGGAAAGTCTCTGCAGTCTCCTTGGGTGAACTAGCCGAGGCATACGGTATTCCCACGGAGGAGATCAAGGTGCAGATCTGCCGGTGCACGTCGTTTTGGACATGGAATGTCGCCATGGACGAGTCAAAGAGGAATCGATGACAGATACACCCGGAGAGTTCGTGGTTGAATCTTGGCAGCGTGACATATCCCAACCAGCGGAGAATATTGAAGCCAACGACGACGACGACTTGAGGCTAGTCGGAATATCCGAGATTCTCGCCACTGACAATGGCTCAAACGCTTTATGGATCTTGCCCCCTTCCCCGGACAAAGGGAGAGGGGAGTTGTCTTTGGAGCCCAGTGGCGTTGCCAAGAAACTCTCCGCGATGCCATCCAGTCGCTCCGCCGTGGCGTTGGACAGATTTCCTCCAGCTTGAGAAAGTCAAGCTAGCACGGTCCAGATCGTTGAGATTTCCCCTTTGATCGGGATTTCTGATGTACAGGAAATGCGATGCCTCGATTTCTCCTTCCCTCGCTATACTTTTGCTATGCTTTTGCTCAACCCCGGCTTTGAAGACATACACTGGCAGTATTACTTGACAGGTCTGGTGAGATTAACTAGAGTCAGCGTCCTTCGATGAAGAGAAATAGTCTAAGATCCATGTAACTCGATCATATGTGAACGCACCAGCGACATGCTCATTCCTTTTCAACTTGGCTATCGACCTGAACATATATTTCCCCGGGAGCCAACCCTCGTTATCTCTCTTTTTTTTATTTTAGCCGATGTCCTTCGAAACGTCGCAGACATCATTGCCATTGCAGCTCAAAAAGATGGATAGAATGGAACTAACTCCCTTCTCACAAACATCGAAAGAAGCGATTGTAGTCAATCTGTAGAAACTGGTTGGTCGAATCCGTCTCTCAGGCTAGGACGGATCTGGCGCGGAATAACGGATCAATTCACGTGATCTATATCCGATCCTCCGAACTGCCTCCCAATGAATGACGCATCATGATGATTCTTCCATCTTCAAGATCGATCATCAGATCCGAGACACAACCGAGTTAACCAGCCCAAATTGCCCAGTGCAGATGGCTGACGCCGAGTCCCCAGCTCACTCAACGGGTTGGCGGATCGCCAAGGCGTGTCAAGAGTGCAGGAAGCGGAAGATCAAATGCAACGGAGTCAACCCCTGCAAAACCTGCCAGCTGCGGGGCACCCCGTGCGTCTATCGCGATGTGATCCGCCAGCGGAAGAAGAGATATCAATATCAAGAGAGGCTCGACACTGACAGATCTGGGTCTAATGGGGCCACCACCACTACCCGGCCCGACGAAGGCAGTGCTGCGCGGCAGCTGTCTCCCGGCCCGTCACACCACCAAGCCCAAGCCCATGCCCAACCACGTCGGCGGAACCCATCTGTCAGTCTAAATTTCAACAATAGCGTCTCAGCCACTCACATGACATCGCCCTCCTGCAAGGTCCAACTGTACTATGGCTCTACCTCGCACTTTGCCCTCATGCACGAGGTCTACAGAGGCTTGGTGGCGAAGAGCCAACCAGCCGAGGTCGATCGCCCCCAGGGTGAGGTCGAAGAAGCCGGGGCTGGCTTGGACATGTTCAGCTTCCGCCGGATCTTCTTCGGCACACCCACTGATGCCCATGAGGCAAACAAGACCCTCGCGAGCTTGGATTCTCAGCTGCTGTTCTTGCCCTATGAGCTCGCCAAGTGCTTTCTCGAACGGTTCTTGGCTACCTTATACAACCTGGCCCCGATGTGGCCCAAGGAAGAGTTCTATTATCAGCTGGATCAGATGTACGGCCAAGGGCCGGAGGTTCGTCCCGATAAAGTAACCCAGTCAATCCTGCTTGTAGCCATGGCGATTGGAGCACTAGCCACCCAGCATCACAGTTGGGGCGATACGCTGTACGACCGCGTCAAGCTATCCATGCATTCACTTGACGATGTCGTGAACTTACAGACCATCCAACTGGCGATCATCATGATAAGTAGTCTTCGGGACCGTTGCGAGGCGACGTCACTGACCTCTCCTGCTAGCACGCTCACTACCAAAGCGAACAGGGCAGGCCCAACTCAACATTCCTGCTCATGGGCACAGCCACCCGAAAGGCTATCTCAGCTGGGTTGCACAAGGAAGCCCCAAGCGCGGGTGAAGACGCCGCCGAGAGCACCGAAGAACGACGTGCGACGTTCTGGTCCCTCTGCTTCTATGAAATGTATGAGACTAGCCACTATTATGTACTGTGTTTTGCCCACCGCTGATTTGATGCACAGCTGGACGTGCTTTCATCTTGGACGACCAAGCTCTCTCTCATTGAAGGATGTCAGTATCGCCCTTCCGGAGGATTCTTTCCTCCAGGTTCTCATCAGCCTTGGCAAGATCGTTGCTCGATCAGCGTCTGAGATGTACGGTCGCCGCCACGAGTCCTTGCTGCAAATGTGGAAGATTGCCAGATCAATCATCGACGAGCTCCGCGGATTCGACGGCTTGATGAGACAGGCACTGGGCTTTGGGCTGGACAAATGTGCCCAGCCAGGGAGCTTGGGAGTGCGACAGATCATTGCGACCACTCGTAAGAGACAGGGAACCAGCATCGTTGACTGAGTTGCTGATTGCCACAGTGTATTATCACACCATCCTTCTCACCTTTCGACCATTTCTGATATTTCGCGGACGGTGGCATCAGGATATGAAACGGTCATCATGCGTTGCGAGTACGAAACGTGCGACTGAAATCCCCTCGTGGCTCAATGACGCCTGCACCCAAGCCCTGAGCGCTGCATGCAGGACCATTCATCATCTTTGCGAAGCATCGGCATGCAATGAACTTGTCAGAGTATGTTGTTCTTTGAAGGTGTATTTGAGCATCCGAGGGCTGATGACTTCTTAGGAACTGCGGTATCATGGTTACTTCCTAGGCAACTCATCTTTTGCGCTCATGTACGACCTCATGCACGGAGAGAACCTTGCGGCCACACATCTGCCCTGGATACACGCTGCCGTGCAAGGGATGTCAATGATGCGGCCCGGGGATCCGATCAAGAGCTCCATTACCGCCATTCAGACTGTTCTACGGAAGATCCATCCCTCGTACGAGTGGGTAGCACCGGAGACGACCAAAAGCCAAATGTATGATTATGAACACACCCCGCCCTTCCACCCCCAGCGCCATCCGACTTCCGCCTCCCACCAAGGGCAGAGCCTCATGGCAGTGACTGCACCCGGGGATCCGGCGGTAGTAGGGACCCTCCCCATGCTGTCTGATCTCCAAGGAAACTTGTTACAGGACGGCATACGCATACCCAGCGGCAGCGTAGGCAGTGGAGATGATCTTCTCGATTTCACCCAATCCGACATGGGCTGGGACTTTGATTTCTCCACGATGGATCTGGAAGCTTTCTTTTCCATCAATGCAAATTTAGACCCGATGGCGTTTTGACACAGGGCCTGGCGCATAATCGAACACTCTCCTTCTGCGGTTGGGACATGCAAGGCCAGGCACACTGCGCTGGGGCCTACCTAGAAGTGTACTGCTACGGGTACAGTGCATATCGGCGGAAGACAAAATAGGCAAAACTAGTTGATCCTTCGATACTCATGATTTGGAATGGTTCATTTGGCTGGTGAGCGGTTGGAGATCTGGACTAATGGCATGCTCGATAGTACGGACTATCACAGTATCACCCCTGGGCCTTAGTAGCCAAGACTGGATACAGACTGACACCGAGCTCGATGCATGGCAATGGATTCGAACCATTTCCTTGATTTGAGCCGGTAGATCGGCCTAGCGCTGGTACCCGGCGATGATACATCAATCGCGGGTACGGGTGTGGTGGGTTTCAGGTTTCCCATCCGTGCCGGAGGACAGTTCCTCCCTCCCTGGGGAAGGAATTGGATACTACCGATCGATATGTGGGATGGATTACTGGTCTGCCAACTTCTTCTTCCTTCTTTCCCCCACATGTGCGGCTAGAAAGGTGGTTTTTGGACGTGCAGACAGCGGAACATGCAGCTGTCTCATCAGCACGATGATAGCTCACTTTCCGAACCTGTCGCTACGGTCAACGGAGTACAGAGCTTCTAGATACGGAGTACTGTCCATTTCTATAGTTAGATGTTGGTCTAGCCTTGATGGGTAAAAGTACTTTCCCACTAGTAGTTCGTTGCGGTGGTGAGCTGCTAGTTAGGATCTAGAACCTTAGATATACGTCCTGTTGCAATAGTGCAATACCTGCGAGTATCTACCATCATGATTGATTTCAAATCGTGAATCATGACCATGAATAATAACATAACATAATCATGAGTAGATAATCAATAATTGGTTGCCTCAGGCAGGAAAATGAGAAAGAATTGAAGGCAACCAGGCCAGGCCAGGCCAGGCCGGCACGGGCGGGAATCGGGATTGAAGCCGCGAGATCGCCCTTTTCTACTCCTCATTCTTCTTCCCACTTCCCACTTTTTCTCTCCTCCAGTTTTCTTCCCTCTTTGCCTTTTCCGGCCACCTCACATCGTGCACAACTCTAGTGTGGAGTTCTCGCTAAGTTTCTTTTTTCCTCGCATCATGCTTCTCGTGAACACAGTTACATCCGTCCATCCATCCATCTAACGATCCCACCACAACCTACTCTCTCGCGCAATCTCCACGATGCCCCAGCAACGGTCCGCCCTCCCTCCCCGATCCCCGAAACCCGCTGCCTCGGGAAAGAATTCCTCCCAAGCATCTCGCTAGGTTTCTCCGATCGATAGATATCCTTACCCTTATCCTTATCCTGCCGCCTCGCCTCGCCTCGCCTCGCAGGGGATACTTCGGAGCCGAAATTCTCCCCCCCACAGGAAGCTTTTCGGCCGGATCATGCGCTCAGAGTCGTCATGATCGAACCGTGGATCACCAACGGTCGTTCCCGGGAATCGACCAGGTAGAAAGCCAACGCACCGAGTTATTTGGGGCCGTCGATGATCCCCTTACCCAAGCTGCGACCCTATGAGCGGAGACGCTGGACGGCCTAGACCCATTTCCGCACCGACTCCACTTCTAAGCCCACTTGGCTCGGGGGCTTTCCTGTTCAGCTCCGACGGTGGCCAATTTCTCAACTTTATTTGACCTTCAAAGCTGCGCGGCAATCTCGGCCCTTGCACACTCAACGATATAGCTGAACCTCTTCGCTGTGCCCTGTCATTCTTCCTCATCGTCTTTCTTCCCACCGGGGTTATCGGATGAGCTCGTATCCTCACTTGCGATGCCATAAAGACTCTGGCCTTCAGCTATTGCGAATAGCGGCGTTCTAGCTCTGCCCGCGATGGCTCCAGATCAGACCAAGTATGATCTCTTCTTGCTGCTATCTGACGGCCCCAGCCGGCCTTTTGCTATAATTCATCCTACCACACTGGACAATCGACTAACCAGTTGGACTCTTGCGCAGGGTATTCAGCTTCCAGGCTATAGACCGCACGGATGGCCTGCCGCAGCCGCTGTCGACACCGTCGCCAGCCGACGAGCCAGACGGCTTATCGAAGCCTTGTTCCCCTCCAGACCCAACCCTGACCGCTCTTTCTCGGCTCGGTGTATTCCAACTGAGCTGCAAAGGTGCGTTTGTGGCGTCATTCGAAAACGGGCAGACGCATATCATCGCGGAAGCAGGGTTATCGGTTCTCAGGGACAACGAGGTGTCGGTTCTGGGACTCACGACACTAGGTCTACGCTTTGACAAGGAGGAAATATCTCATTCCCATCATCCGTCCAAGGACGCATACAACATTATCCAGGACATTTCCGTGCTGACCGACACCGAATCACACGCTTTCATCCAACAGCACCCCCGTGCCAGGTTTTATGCGGAGGTTCCGGTATGCAGCTCATCCGGAGAAGTCATTGGTACATATGGTGCTGTAGATATTCAGGCCCGGCCGTCTTTTGGCGAGTCGGAATTGGCGGGTCTTCGCGAGATCTCCGATTCGGTAGCAAACCACCTGGAAAACGTCCGGACTGCGCGTCGCCACCTCCAGGCCGACCGTTTGCTTACGGGGCTTACGGCATTTTCTCAAGGCCAGGCTAGCGCACAAAACGTCAATTGGAGCAGCCGGCGGAAGAGCATCGCATCAAACAGGATTTCTCCTCGATCGCTGGATGTGCCAGACATTGCTCGTCTGTCCGTCTCGTCCACGGCTACCCGTCAAATCTCGCCGTCTTCGGGTAGACAGCGGGACAATGCTCAGGAGTCGTCCTTCTTTCAGCGTCGACCCTCAAGTACCCCCAAGGCAGCCTCGCCTTGGGAACAGTCGCAGACTCCTAGAAAAAGGTCGGACGACACGAACAAGCTGGTGATTGTCCCGGAATATACCGCCACCTCGGAGAAAACCTCACAGCTGTTCACTCGGGCCAGTGCTCTGCTACAAGAAAGCATGGAGTTGGATGGGGTCATCTTTGTAGATGCATCCCGGACTAACTCCCGCAGGTAAGGCGTAAAGTCCTCGATCCGTAAACTAGCTACCTAACCTGGACACAGTAGCTCCACTGCTAGCGTAGGTGACTGGGACATGCTTTCCAGGGACAGTGACTTGGGGATGTCCAGTCGCTCGCCAAGTCTCTCCTCTCATGGACAATGGGCCGAACGGTCATGCGAGACTCTGGGCCTTGCCACATCCGACCGGGTGAACGAGAGCACCGCCAGCTCGCTTCGACCAGCATTGACCGAGGGCTTGTTCCATGATCTTTTCAACGCTTGCCCTTACGGGGAGATTTTCAACCCTCCACAGTCAACCACCCTTTCACCACCGAATCTGCTCAATCGACGCAACAGTCAATCCCGGAAGGAGAGCGACGTGACGTTGCGTCAGTCGGTCGAGACTCGGCTGGCACAAACATATCCCGAAGCGCGGTCCTTCATCTTTCTGCCTTTATGGAACTGGAACAAATCGCGCTGGCTCGCTGGGACCCTGATATGGACCTGTGACGGTGAGCGATTGTTCGACCAGGACGATCTGCACTTCTTGAAAGTATTTGGTGACTCTGTGATCTGCAAGTATTGTCAGCTTGACTGGACGGCGACCGAGAAATCCAAGTCGGATCTGCTCTCCTCGGTCAGCCATGAATTGCGGTCGCCATTGCACGGCATGCTTACAAGCACGGAGCTTCTGCAGTCGACGGGGCTCGAGTCCGCTCAGCAGGACATGGTTACCATGATTGAGACTTGCGGTTTGACATTGTTGGATACTGTGAACCATCTGTAAGTTCAGCTACATGAGCTCCCACCACTCGACTGATTTTTTCAAGGCTTGACTTCACCAAGATCAACAACCTGACCCTTGCGCACAAGAAGGGAGCCAATGGAAGTGCACTCGACAACTTGAAGACCGATTTCGATCTGGACATACTCATCGAGGACGTGGCTGACTCTTTGTATGTCGGCCATCGCTCTCTCATCAATGCTTCCAAGATTGCGGGACGGTATTTGCAGACTGGCACGTCTATGACGAGTGGAGCTACCAAGACTAACAACCCCGATGACCTGTCGGTCATTATTCAGATCGAGGATCTCGGCTCGTGGAACATCCAGTCGTTATCAGGTGGCTGGCGCCGGATTGTCATGAACATTTTGGGCAATGCTTTCAAGTTCACTCGGTCGGGATACATCGAGATCTCCTTGGCGAAGAAGGTGCATCGAGCTGCAGGATCCAAGAAGGTCTTCGCGCACTTTTCTGTGAAGGATACTGGAAGCGGAATCTCGCCTGAATTTCTGGAGCATCAGCTGTTCACCCCGTTTGCACAGGAGAATATTTTGACCGAAGGGGTGGGATTGGGCTTGAGCGTGGTGAATCAGGTGGTGACCTATCTGGGGGGAGAGGTGGAAGTCAAAAGCACTGTCGGCGTCGGAACGCAGTTCGACGTTTATGTGCCTCTGGACTTTGTGGCGGAGACTTTCGCGCCGTCTGAGCCCTTTCCGAGCTCGATTACGCGGGTTTCGTTGGTCGGATTGAATGCCTATGCAGACTTGAGACAAGCCCCGGACGGACTTCTGCGGCCGGAGGCGAAGCGCAAATTGGCTCTTCGGAGCGCGTTGAGCAATGTGCTGTTGAGTCAACCGGGATGGATGCTGTCATTTGCCGACTCGGTCGACAAAGCATCCGGCGACATTGGTGTCATCGAGGAGTCCGCGCTGAAGGCGCTTCATGAGAAAGGCGGGACTCGACTGAAGTTCAACACGGTCATTGTTATAGGGGAACAGGGTGTTTCCATTCCGCCAGACCTCACTCTCGAGGGTTCCGATGTGATCTACATCCCGCAGCCGTAAGTATCATCCCGTAACCAGGCACAGTCTCATGCTGAGAGAAGAACAGTATCGGTCCGCGGAAGATCGTCCAGGCCTTGCAACGAGTCAACGAAGCTCGCCTGCAAGCCCCTTTGGCGGAGCAGGATTATATCATTGGCCCGTTCTCCGGTGCTCAGCGCGGACGCAGCCTGTCGGATGCGTTCGCTCTGGCCAAGGGATCGGAGTCGCCTCCGGTGGTGCGGGAGAATGTGTCCGAGTTCGCGCCGGACATGTCACGGAAATCGAGACAAAATGACCCTCACGTGCTGATCGTCGACGACAATGATATCAATGTCAAGGTGTGTCTACAGGCTGCTGTTTGGTTGTTTTCTAGGTCCATGCGCTAACAGCTCTAGGTCTTGACCACCTTCATGCGCAAAATTGGCTGCAGCTATGAGACTGCCACGGATGGCCTTATCGCCTTGGAAAAATTCAAAGCGTCGACGAAACACTTCGACTACATCCTTATGGGTATGCCTGTCACCCGTTCCCATGCGCTTTCCATGCTCTTCAGCAAGATAATCACTAACGGCTGAGAACCAGACATCTCCATGCCCGTGATGGACGGTATCGAATCCTCCAGCAAGATGCGGGAATTCGAGGAGGAGAACTCGCGCCCGCGCACGGCCATTATGGCGGTCACCGGGGTGGCGTCGAGCGAGATGCAGCAGCAGGCCTTTGCGGCGGGGATCGACGACTATCTGGTCAAACCCCTGTCGCTTCACGACTTGAAACGAATAATGAACATTGCATGATTGAATTTACGGGGGAGGGAGCTTCGGGGCGGATGAAAAGTGAGGGATCATCATTTATAGAACCCATGTTTCGGTGTTGGTGTTGCGGTGGAGGATACTTCAGGTTTGCTTTTTGATTCCTGCGGGGATTTAGATGTATAAACTAGACGCATTGGTGGCTTGCTTGGGTGGTAGGAGTTGAGGTATCTCTATGCAGTCAACGTTATTACTTGGTGTTTGTCCCTACTGGCAAGATACAACAAAGAAAGTCCTTATAGCCCCGGTATGATACCGGTACAGTCTTAACAACTGCATCGACCTGGCCAGACCGGTTAGTCACGAGTAGCAGTCATGTGACCCAGCTGTGCCGATAACAGTGGAGGTCAGATGACTTCACCGCCGGTCCAATCACGGTTAGCGGCGGCGACCTCCGACAAGGAGCGAGTTCTGTATACTTAGTCAACTGTCGTCTGTTGTCCTACCTTCGTCTGTCTGCCTCCTTGCTTCTCCATCATCTTTGCTTGCTTATCTTCCTTGACCCCCGTCAATACATATTACATCCACAGTCCTCCGATCTGACAATCATCTGGAACCAATTGACTGCACCTGCACCCCATCTCAAGCGGGGAACCCAGCCCGCAACAGTCCCTCCCACCCAACCACCCAACCACCCAACCCACCATGACCACCCGCTACCGTGTTGAATATGCCCTCAAGTCCCACCGACGGGACCAACTGATCGAGTGGATCAAAGGCCTGCTAGCAGTACCATTCGTCCTGCATTCACAGCCCACCGCCGTCTACCAGGAGCACAGCGAGAACCTGATCGCGGTCGCCGCCGACACCCACCAACGGTATGCGGAGATCTTCCGCGACGTGGAGAAGCTGATCCGCGACCACATCACGCACCAGGCGCAGGAGGCGCCCGGCAAGTCGAAGCTCAAGCTGCTGGTGCCGACGGTGGGCTCGTTCTTCACGCCGCTGTTCCTGGAGGACGCCTTCAACTACCAGGACCGGCAGCGGTTCATCAGCCGGCGGCGCTTCGTGGCGCCCTCCTTCAACGACGTGCGGCTGATCCTCAACTCGGCCCAGCTGTTCGGCCTGGCCCGCACCACCGGCGTCGACCTGGTCACCTTCGACGGCGACGTGACCCTCTACGACGACGGCGCCTGCCTGACCGACGACAACCCGGTCATCGCGCGCATCACCCGCCTCCTCCTGGCCGGCCGCAAGGTCGGCATCGTCACCGCCGCCGGCTACACCGAGGCCGCCAAGTACTACGAGCGGCTGCGCGGCCTGCTCGATGCCATGCACGCCTCCCCCAGCCTGACCGACCCCCAGCGCGCCGGCCTCGTCGTCATGGGCGGCGAGAGCAACTTCCTCTTCCGCTACGACCACGCCTCCCCGCACCGCCTCGTCTACGTGCCCCGCTCCGAGTGGGTGCTCGAGGACATGCGCTCCTGGCAGGAGGGCGACATCACCGAGTTGCTGGACATCGCCGAGTCCTCGCTCCGCGCCTGCGCCGCCAACCTCAGCCTGCCCGTCGCCGTGCTCCGCAAGGACCGCGCCGTCGGCGTCTACCCCCTCGACCGCAGCAAGATCACCCGCGAGCAGCTCGAGGAGACCGTGCTCGTCGTGCAGAACACCGTCGAGCGGTCGTCGGTCGGCTCGCGGCTGCCGTTCTGCGCTTTCAACGGTAGCTCCCCCTCCCCCTGTTTCACTCGGCCCCAAGTCCCATGGCAAGGCTTCCCGGGGGGGAACCCCCGGACCCCCCTTTTCTTTCAACTTCCCAGTAACACTCAATCCTGAGTCCGGGAGTAAACACGTCCCGGGGGAGAACCCCCGGACCCCCCTTTCTTTCAACTCCCCAGCAAAGCTCAATCATAGCAAACATTTCACAGCCGAGTCTTCTGCTTTCTTGATGATTGGACAGTGCTAACGGTTTTGTCAGGCGGCAACGACGTATTCGTGGACATCGGCGACAAGTCCTGGGGTGTGCGGGCGTGCCAGAAGTACTTCGGCGGCATCGAGCCCGCGCGCACGCTGCACGTGGGCGACCAGTTCCTGTCGGCGGGCGCCAATGATTTCAAGGTGAGTCTGCCCCTGTCTGCGTCTGTGTGAAAATAGTGAGCCTGACAGAATGCAGGCGAGGCTGGCGTCGACTACGGCGTGGATCGCGAGTCCGGCGGAGACGGTGCAGCTCCTCGATGAGCTTGAAGGGCTGTCGGAGGTTCAGTGATTACGTAGGAATCTGTGTGTTGTTGCTTGTCGGGCAACAAATGGCTTGGGTTATGCTCCTGGGCTCATGGGAGCTGCAAGGACTGCTCGTATTGCCCGCAGCAGGAGTCTGATTCTTTGTTGTGATTTATCAGCGTGACTTTGTCTGTGAGCGATGCTTTATAATCAACGCCGTTGCCGAGCGGGAATTTCCAAGCGGTGCCGTGCTTATCACTAATCTGATGCATGTACACACGTACCAGTCATGCTGCCTAGTAGACCCTGGCAGTGGTAGTGGTAATGTCGGTCTGCGATCTGCAGCAAAGTGGGCCCACACAAGCGCGTCAGCACGCAAAGTCGTCGTCTACACCCCAGTTGTACAGGCACACTCTAAGAGTATCAACCTGTGGAACGGGTATAAATCCACCGACATCCGTCCCGTACCTGAACTCATCTCCAATCTACCAACCACCTATTCCACCCCCATCCCCACCTTCAAAATACCACCAAACAAACCGAAGAGAAATGCCAACCGTCCTCATCCTCGGCGCCTCCGTCGCCGGCCTGCCCATCGCGCACGCCCTCCTCAAAAACAACACCAGCAGCAGCAACAAAACAAAGGTCATCCTCGTCAACCCCTCGCGCGACTTCTTCTGGATGATCGCCGCCCCGCGCATCCTCACCAAGCCCGCCGCCTTCCGCGCGGAGCAGTACCTCATCCCGATTGAGCCGGGGTTTTCGGGGTATCCCAAAGAGGAATTCGAGTTCGTGCACGGCGCCGCGAGGGCTGTGGACTTTCCGGCGAAGACGGTGAGCGTAGCGCTGTCCGCCCCTGCATCCGAAGCCGACGGACCTGCTGCGCGGACGATAGAGTACGGATACGATCACCTCGTCCTCGCGACGGGGAGCACCACGCCGTCGTCGATTGCCACCCCAACCGAGAGCGGGGGCCACGCGGTGCTGTATCCGTTCAAGCCCCCTCCTCCTTCCACTTCCCCCAGCCCTCCCCCCACCTCCCTCGGGGACTTGATCGCCACAGCGCAAAGCCGCATCAGCCAAGCGAAGCGGATCGTCATCGGCGGCGCCGGCCCGATCGGCCTCGAGACGGCGGGCGAACTCGCGGACCTGCCGCATAAACCGTCCATCACGCTGATCTCGGCGGCTGCGCGGGTCCTCCCTGGGTCAACGGAGGGCGCGAGCCGGTCGGCGGAGACGCAGCTCGCGAGCAAGGGGGTGTATGTGATCACGCGCCGGAAGGTCGTCGGCTACTCCCCGGAGGAAGGGGTGGTGAGATTGGACAACGGGGAGACTCTGTCCACGGACGTGTATATCCCGACGACCGGGGTGCTCCCTAACACCTCGTATCTCCCGGCGGGCGTCCTCGATGAGAAGGGGTGGGTCAATGTGGATGAGGAGCTGCGCGTGCGCGGCGTGGAAAATGTCTATGCGGCCGGGGATATCACCTCGTATCCTGCGCGGTTGGCCCAGCGGGCCGGCGAGCAGGCTGGTATTGTGGCGCATAATCTGGTCGTGGAGATTGGTGGTGGTGGTGCTGCTGCCGGCAAGAGGAAGCGGTTTGCCCCGGGCAGGGCGATGATGGTTGTGCCTATTGGGGCGGCCGGGGGGACCGGCGAGTTGTGGTTTGGGTGGGTGCCGTTTGTTTGGTTGGTGCGGTTGGTTAAGGGGCGGGACTTTTTTATTGCCAAAGCTAAGAGCTTGGTCTACTCCTAGAGGGGGGTCCGGGGGTCTCCCCCGGTACTTCTCTCTATTTGTCTTTGAGGGAAATAATGCTTAGTGAACTGATGAGGGGGGGTACGGGGGGTCTCCCCCCGTAACTTTTATATCTATCTATATATGGGTTAATGATAATTTACTTAAGAAGGGGGGCCCGGGGGTCTCCCCCGGTACATTCTATGTGTATCTCTCTTTCTAGGGGTTTTATGCTTGGTTGAACTAAAGAGGGGGATACTAAAGAGGGGGGTTATATATGTTGGGGTAATGCTTAATGACCATTTGGTACATTCGAGAGTGGATGTTTGATCTGATGTAGGAGGGGGGTCCGGGGGTCTCCCCCGGTACTTATCCAGATATCTCTCTGTGTTTGTCTTTTACAAGTATCATACTGACTAAGGGGGTCGGGGGTTTCTCTGACTATAATTTCTTGATATTTCTGTTCTTTGGTTTATGCTTGGTTTAGATCATGGGGGTGGTATTGGGGGTATTTTGCGGTAATTACGTATATTTCTGTATGGTTCTTTGGTTCTTTACTATCTCCTGTGGTTGAGTAATGCTAGAAGAATATATATTCTGGTTTAGGCTTGAATGTCACTCAGGGAAGCCTATTTTATATGGTTTAGGGTTGAATGTGAGCGATACTGGGAAGCTGAAAAGAAGGGGGTCCGGGGGCCTTACTCTGGGTATACATTGGGGTTGAGTGTTACTGGGGAGCTGAAAAGAAGGGGGGTCCGGGGGTTCTCCCCCGGAACGTGTTTATACTAGGCATATATTAGAGTGAGTGTTACTGGGAAGTTGAAAAGAAGGGGGGTCCGGGGGTTCTCCCCCGGAACGTGTTAGTTCTAGGACTTGGGGTGAGTGTAGCTGGGAAGAGGGTGATTGTACTTGGGAAGGTGGCAAGAAGGTTCTTTCCCTAGGTATACATCAGGTTGGCCCTACAGGAAGGTGCCAGGGGGGTTCTTACTCTAAGTGTACACCAGGTCGGTCCTACGGGGAAGGCGCAGAGGGCGGGTTGTTAACACATCAACAAGTCCATTGATGAACGAATCATTATCCATATCGCATAACACCCATTGTATCGATCTTTTCTTCATGCCTCATGCCAGCTGGTGTCCAGCCTAACCCAGCCCTCTCAGCCCTCTCAGCCCTGTCGGCCAGCCCCAACCATCCTAAGCAGCGTAAGAGGTCCAGGCGGCTGCGTTCTCCTTGCTGCTCCGCCCGGACAGGATGTTGACCGTGTCCTGCAGCTCCAGCCAGAACTCGGTCTTGGGCCGACGCCGCGACCAGTCGGTCTCGGTCGCCTCCAGCCCAGTCTCGCCGCCCATCGCCGAGAACAGCACCTGCGAGCCCTTGATGCCGATCACAGAGGCGGACATCTCGTCCTGGGCGATCTCCTCCGGCGACTGGCCCGCGTAGCTCTCCAGGTGGATCATACACTTGGTGGCCATGCGCAGCGCCCGGATCCGGTCCATCGGCGACGGCTTGCCGCCCTGCTGGAAGTGGCCGGGCACGGCGGCACGCGACTCGAAGCGGCCCTTGGCCTCCTCCTTGAGAATGTCGGCGATCACCTGCGTGGTGTACGTGTTGGAGGCACACTCGTTGCGCAGGATGATCTTGCCGGCGCGGTTGGCACCCTTGTCGCGGGTGAAGCTCTCGCGCAGGAAGTCGATGTCGCGCGACAGCGTCTTGATGTCGATGCCCTCCTCGGGAATGTACACAGCCGCCGCGCCCACCGACAGACCGGCCGTCGTGGCAATGTAGCCCGACTTGCCGCCCTGCGTCTCGATGACGAACACACGACGCCGCGAGGACGAGGCCGACTGGCGGATGATGTCGCAGAAGTCGATCAGCGTGTTGAGACAGGTGTCGCTTCCCAGCGAGTACTCCGTACCGGGCACGTTGTTGGAGATCGTGGCCGGCAGCACGGTCATGGGGATCTTGAAGGCAGGGAACTTCTCGCGCGCCTGGCGCAGCTGGCTGACAGCAGTGAAGGCCTCGAATCCACCGACGACAAACAGCGCGTCGAACTTGAACTTCTCGAAGCACTTGGCGGTCGTCTCCAGGTCCTCACCGGGCAGGCTGCGGTTCGTTCCGATGTCGGATCCTCCCTCGTTGACCCAGCTGTCGGACTCGATCCACTTGATCTCGCGGACCGAGCTGACCGGGGTATCGGCGTGGTGGCGGCAGAGACCGGGGAAGCCGTTGTGGATCGCAAGGGGAGTGTGGCCGCGGGTCAGACAGTAGGCGACGGCGGCGCGAGTGGCCTGGTTCATACCACCAGCGGGGGCACCGACGTGCACAATAGCGATGCGCATTCTCTGTTTTCGATCAGCACACGTACCAAACACCAACACGGAGAACTTACCTTGTTCTCAGGGAGCAAGAGCTTCGGGTGGTCGGGGGTGGAGGTGTTCTTGTAGGAGAAGTGGTATTCCTTGAATTCCGAATCGCGCAGAGCCATGGCCTTGTCGAACTCCTTGTTCTCGATGTGTGCGGTGACGGTCTTGGTGAGCTTCACGGCCTCCATCAACGGCGTGCGCATGATCTTGTTCTCGCGGATGGTGATGACGGGCGACGGCGAGTCGGGCTTGGTATCGAGGACGGCGCGGACGGCCTCCACACCCTGCAGAGTCGACAGCCAGCGGTCATAGGCACAAGCCGCACCACCTCTCTGGGTGTGGCCCAGCACCGTCACACGGGTATCCAGACCCAGACGCTCGGTCAGAATGTCCTTGACCTTCGAGCTCGAGATCTTGTTCAGGTGTCGGTCCTGTGCTCCCTCGGCCACGATGACGATGGTCCTCCGCTTTCCGCGCTCCTTTCTGTTCTGCAAGATGTTAGCTGACTCGCGGGGAAATGTGTCAGGGATAGCGATTTACCTTGGTGATGATGGAGCACATGTCATTCTCCCATCCATCCTTGGGAGGCATTTCAGGCACGAAGAGCCAGTCCGCACCGGTACTGATGGCAGCCATCAAGGCGAGCCAACCGCAGTGACGTCCCATGACCTCAATGACGAAGCCTCTCTGGTGGGAGAAGGCAGTATCGAACACGTCGTCGACGGCGTCACAGATACGGGTCAGGGACGAGTAGCAACCGATGGTGGCGTCCGTGCCGGACATGTCGTTGTCGATGGATCCAACCAGACCGACGATGTTCAAGATCTTGTAGGGCTCGACTTGCTCCTTGGTCAATTCCTTCTTCTCAACCAGCTCCTCCAGCAGACCCGGCCACTCGGAGCGGAAGAGATCGGCACCCGTCAAGCTACCGTCACCACCGCAGACGACCAGGGCGTCGATGCCGCGGAGGACCATGTTCTTGGCGGCCTTGAGACGACCGGGGCGCTCGCGGAAGGTCAAGCAGCGAGCAGAGCCGATCAGGGTACCACCCTGCGACAGCCAGCCGCGGACGTCTTCCCAGTAGACCTGACGGATCATGTCTCCGCCGTTGACCAGACCTTCGTAACCTTCGAAGACGGCGTAGGCCTCGCAGTCGGAGTGGATGGCCATGCGGACGACGGCCCGGACGGCGCCGTTCATACCAGGAGCATCACCACCCGAGGTCAGGACCGCGATGCGGCGTCTCTTGGGGGGTTGCACGGGATTTTGGGGGGCAGCCATCGTGTCGATGACGACGAGTTCAGTTTATGAGGGGTTGTAGCTCCAATCCACGCGGGGGGGATGAGCAATGTATTTGGTGAGGGGAGGATAGGCGACGGATGATGAGTGAAAGAGCTGGCAATGGCGGGTTTGCGGAACGTTCCTAAGGTAAGATACCTTACTTGTGTGACGGTGGGGGAGAAGTTCCGGTGAGAAAAAGCGGGTGTGGGCAACAGTACGTCACAGACTTGAGGACTGGAGAGGTCCGGTAGTGCCCCGCCGAGAAAGTAACGGGGAGGTGGTGGAGGAGGGTGCGAGGAAACAACGACAAGAACACAGAAGAGTCAAGCGAATGGACTTCTAGTCTTGATGAGATGCGGATGCAGCTGTCCTTTAATGCTCGTGTCAGCTCTGGTGAGGTGAAGCTGGAGGCATCTGGCATGGCATGGCATGACGAAAGAGGGGGAGCGAGGCCAAAGGCGGCCATGTGCGGCAATTGATGTCACCGCTTCTGCGCACCCCCGAAACTGACTAGTGCGGGACACTGCACGTGACTGTTGCTAGGGTAGGGCCATTTCTCGCACGTGAAGTCATGTGATTCTGCCTCAAAAGAGGATCCACGCGCATAATCTGGCGGATCCGATTGGAGCAAGCTAGCCTTGCTGTTTGATCCAGCTCGGATTCGAACCGGACAGTAGGGTCTCGCGGGCCGACCGTCGTTGCGCCCAGCCGGCACCCTAGACACTTAACATCATACCTCACAGAACTGGTTTGCCAGTGGAGAATGAAATGACAACATCGGAGGGGAAAACATTAGGGTAATTTGATAGCGAATACACTTGCTTAACACTCATCTCTACACATTCAATTCTAAAAGCCTTGCGGCTCAATGCTAATGCTGGCTCGTAGACAGATAAGGTAGATATATTTAGCCCTCGGACCGCCAGCCGATCATCGGGCACGTTTCTAACACGCAACGTGAGAACTGAAATCTCACCATATACTCATATTCAACACTGGAAGAGTTAGTGTAGAACATGAAGTAAACAAGTGACGACCGCAGACGGACTGCTTCCAGCCAGGGGTGGATGTTGCAACACTATTGGTCTCGTACCATGTACCATGTACCATTTTCACTACGTGTGTTAGCAGTCTAAAATGATAGGTCCAGACAAGCAGAGCACATAGCTCTAACAGCCGACAGCAAATGGACAGTGCTTCATTTTTACAACTAGCTGATAACCTTTCTGTTTGAAGGTAGATTCTGCCGGAATAGCACGTCTCAGCATCAATGCCGACACTTACCTCATCAACACGAGGATGTTGGACAATTGTCTGCAGCATGAGTATATGTGTAGAGAAAAGCAGGAGAGCGAGCGTCAGTGACCACATACTGGATCATGCACTGCCTTTCTAATGATATGTTTCGCACGTCAAGCAATTTCAATCCGAGCAACACTGAAGCCTTATCGGAAGTGATAAGCCGGAGGACACTAAGACCAACCCGGACTAGCGGAAACAAGCTGCTCCGTCACGTGCAC